CACGCCTGTGTCGTTGATTGCGTTAGGTACATGTAACACTGTGTTTGCTCAACTCTAAATTTCCCAACGGTCATTCAAGATTCTTTAAAGGGATACACACGCTTTCTAAAAACGTACGTGTGTGCTTTCGTGCGAAGACGTATGTGTGATGCAAGGTCATACAAGAAGGGTTTACAGACTACAGGAAATTAGTGAGTGAGTTTTTTTAACGCCAGTTTAAACAATATTTCAGTTATATCACGGCGTGTCAGCTTCATGTGGGAGGTAAGCCCGAATTGATTTAGGTCTAAGACGTTTACTACTTTTGTAAAACCCACGAGAACGTGCACGCGGCTAACAAACGTTTAAATGGAAACATAATTTGGGCGAACGAGGATCAGAACCCGCGATCGCAGGTTCCTGGTACGCCTAAGGGAAGCAACTCTGCACAGCGAATTGCGTTGCTTTGAACGACTGGACCACCCGTACTTTTTGAAGGGACCATCCCCTATAACATAACAGCTTCTATATTTTACATGTGTTTGTGGGTGCGTTTATGAGTGAGATTAACACTGCAATGAACAATTCTTTCAGTTATATCACGCCATGCCAGTTAAGGTGACGTGAAATTGGGTTTAACGTCGCGTCCAAGATTATTGCACTTATATAGCGACGTGCATGCACATATGTGTGTGTGTGGCTGCTTGTACTAGTCCGGACTGATGCCGATTTATAGTGCTAGCTCACTGAGACACTATGCCGAAGTTTAACATGAATACCCCACTCAGACACAGTATACGGACTCCGAGCCGACCAGTCCTTGTTTTAGCCCCTTAATGCCGAGCGCCAGACAGGGTAACAACAAGTACCATCTTTTAACGTCTTTTGGTATGACGCGGCCGGGGATCGAACCCCGGACCTTCCGCTCTCCGGGGGGACGCTCTACCTCTAAACCACGGAGGCGGTCCATGCCAGTTAAAGTGGAAGGACATCAACAGTGATGCAGGTTCACGACCTTTATAAAGTTTCTGAAGCCAACGAGCACAGCAAAAACTGCGCTACACCAAGGATGGCTGTGCCAGAACGCACAAAATATCTCGTGCCATGCAGGAGATGTACTTCACATAGGTACTCAAATGTCAAACGCAAAGCTGGAAAGTTAAAGTTTAACTTCATTTAAAATTCAGTTGCTCGAAACCTCGAACACTTTCTCAGACTGTTGACGGCACTGGCGTTCTCTCATTAATGTTTTAGTCGTGCAAGAGTTCATTACATACACCTCGGGTGGAGAGTAGGTTTAATGTCTACGAGGTTCCACGAAATGAATCACTTGAGGGAAAGCTAAAATATTCTAAGGTGTGTGTGTAGGTGTGTGCGTGCGGAGGGGTGGGGGCGCATTCAGACGGGATATTGTGCATATTGTTGTATATTTGATTTTATTACTCACCCACATTCAAGTATATTCCTCTTAAATGTTCCTGGTCTAACTGCCGGGCAAATGAAGGTATACACCCATGCTTGACAGTGCCTAGAAATTTAACAGACAAGAAATGGTTAATCGATGGTGATGTAGTTCATATGAGTATCATAACTGTGTTTTTGGTCTTAGGTTTGCAGTGTATCGGCGACTGTTTTCCGCCTTGTCACGTTCTGATATCGCCTGCGATGTTTGGATCAAATCCAGTTTTCAAGTGTATACTTTCTTTTGCCCGGCAGTTTCTTAAACCCTCAAATCTGAAACCAGGTTTTGCTCGGTTATCAATATTTGCGGTCTTTTTTTAATTCGTACAAACATATACCATTGAGGACAGTAAACCATCCATAATAATTATCATTCAGAGTTAATTATTTTTTCATATCACAAACAAGCTCAGCTATCGCTGACACTGATGTAATCGTTGTTTGTTTGTTTTCTGAAACAGGCTGTGGTTACCGCTATAGAGCTATAAGGTATCGATATCGTTATTAAAGATGCAGACCTCGGGTCACGATATAGAATGCGCAGTTGCAGCTGAAAGCTATAAGATACATGTTTGCAACTGTAGAGCGCGATCATGATATCCACTGCATAATTACAGCTGTAGAGCTATAGAGTCATTATGCCCACTGCATAGTTGCAGCTGTAGAGCCATAGAGTTATAGAGTACTTATGCCCACTGGATAGACGCAGCTGTAGAGCTATAGAGTCCTGATACCCACTGCTAGTTGCAGCTGTAGAGCCACAGATCTATAGAGTCCATATGCCCACTGGATAGATGCAGCTGTAGAGCTATAGAGTCCTTATACCCACTGCATAGTTGGATCTGTAGAGCTATAGAGTCCTAATACCCACTGCATAGTTGCAGCTGCAGAGCTATAGAGTCCTTATGCCCACTGCATAGTTGGATCTGTAGAGCTATAGAGTCCTGATACCCACTGCATAGTTGCAGCTGCAGAGCTATAGAGTCCTTATGCCCACTGCATAGTTGCAGCTGTAGAGGGCTCAAACTACAAAGATAGCAGCTATAGTTGTAAAACTTGGGTCCCGACGTTTACTTCATGGTGTAAAGCTGTAGAGTTATTGGTGTCCTTCAAGCTGCAGAAGGGTCCCGACAACCATTGCATTGTTGCCCTTGTGGAGCCAGCGTCCCGATATCACGCTTGCATTTTAGAGCTGGAATCCCTACATCGTACTTGCGGTTGTAGAACCAAGATCCGGACATCCTCTGGATGTTTTCGGTTTCATATGAGTGCCAACATCAGATGAATCATAGATATCTATCGACTCGGAGGATCCCCACAAATAATCTGTTAGCAGTCCAAGGGAGACAACTATGCTCCAAATAGCGCTGTAGGGATTGTTCCCCATAAAGACAGGAAAAGCAAGTTCTGCAGTGCTGCTGTAGAACATCTGCTCAGCGTCTTTTTGTCATCATCCTAAAATAGTTACTGAAATTTTTCCAATTAGCAATACAACACTATCTGCGAGAAGGTTGGCACAAAATAGCACCTGAATCGAATATGAGCATCTACTTTACTGTGTTCTTCTTTTTGGAAATCAAATTATTTAATGAAAACAAATATAGACGACTTTAATTTCTCTCCGTCATTTGTAGCATGTTCACGGTGGGTGGCTCGCCTGGACTGTCAAGGTCAAGCCTGGCGTTATAAACCAATGAATGAATGCATGCTGCTGTACGTTTGGACGCTCAAGGTTAAGCCTGGTGTTATAAACCAATGAATGAATACATGCTGCTGTACGTTTGGACGCTCAAGGTCAAGACTGGTGTTATAAACCAATGATTGAATGCATGCTGCTGTACGTTTGAACACTCAAGGTCAAGACTGGTGTTATAAACCAATGAATGAATGCATGCTGATGTACGTCTGGACGTTCAAGGTCAAGGCTGGTGTTATAAACCAATGAATGAATGCAGGCTGATGTACGTCTGGACGTTCAAGGTCAAGGCTGGTGTTATAAACCAATGATTGAATGCATGCTGCTGTACGTTTGGGCGTTCAAGGTCAAGGCTGGTGTTATAAACCAATGAATGAATGCATGCTGCTGTACGTTTGGACGCTCAAGGTCAAGACTGGTGTTATAAACCAATGAATGAATGCATGCTGCTGTACGTTTGGACGCTCAAGGTCAAGACTGGTGTTATAAACCAATGAATGAATGCATGCTGCTGTACGTTTGGACGCTCAAGGTCAAGACTGGTGTTAGAAACTAATGAATGAATGCATGCTGCTGTACGTTTGGACGCTCAAGGTCAAGACTGGCGTTATAAACCAATGAATGAATGCATGCTGCTGTACGTCTGGACGCTCAAGGTCAAGACTGGCGTTATAAACCAATGAATGAATGCATGCTGATGTACGTCTGGACGCTCAAGGTCAAGACTGGTGTTATAAACCAATGAATGAATGCATGCTGATGTACGTCTGGACGCTCAAGGTCAAGACTGGCGTTATAAACCAATGAATGAATGCATGCTGCTGTACGTCTGGACGCTCAAGGTCAAGACTGGCGTTATAAACCAATGAATGAATGCATGCTGATGTACGTCTGGACGCTCAAGGTCAAGACTGGTGTTATAAACCAATGAATGAATGCATGCTGATGTACGTCTGGACGCTCAAGGTCAAGACTGGCGTTATAAACCAATGAATGAATGCATGCTGATGTACGTCTGGACGCTCAAGGTCAAGACTGGTGTTATAAACCAATGAATGAATGCATGCTGATGTACGTCTGGACGCTCAAGGTCAAGACTGGCATTATAAACCAATGAATGATACAAACCCCTGTGGTCCGACCTTGCATGGTTGATTGTGTGTCATCGTACCCTGGCGGCACGGGTAGTTGCTCATAATATTAATCATGTTAATCACTGTTTGCTCTGGTCTTTGACTCGATTGTTTACAGGCCGTCGTCATATTGCCTGCCGGAAAACTATCTGAGGCACACATAAAATCTCGAAATTCGACCACATATTCAAAATATGCACATTCACCAGTTGTGGTTGTTTTCAATTCGCACAACTCACAGAAACCATTAAATGAAGCTTTTTGTGGATGTTGGAATTGTGATTCAAGTTTGACATACTTACAAATGGTTAATTTGCAGCGCTTACACTTACACATGCAAAACGTTTGTCAACTTGCCAAGAAAACCTGTGCAGCGCTGTTTCCAGTGTTATTGATATTTCAATGTAAGTGGCAGGACACTTCCCATGAGTTGATTATAGTTTCAACATTGATAAGAATCGCATGTCGATTCAACAAACAACCAGTTAAATTTGTATAGTTTGCAGTTATCTGGATAGAAGAGCTACTGGTCTCCTGTGTTATCTTGTGCACTGGAGACATTACTTTTCAAAATCGCAATAATCTGTTGTATATTCTGTATTCTATTTCCTACTTTTTAAGATGCAGAATTGTAAGTATTTATGCTAGACCGAAATGACATAGAAAACAAACGTTTTGAAGACAAAGTGTATTATTATCAATACATGTAATTTAACATTTAGAATAATTCTTTGATACCATTTCTACCTGTCATAAATTTGGGACAGATATCTTTTCAACCTAAACACAACATTGATCTAACAAAAGATATATATTCTCATCATGGTCTGACATCTGCTCATGGTATTTTCAACTTTTGATTCTAAAATGGCACCAATTGAATTTGGTTACTGAAAAACCAAAAGAATGTCTTTATCATGTTTATGACAACACATGGGCACAAATACACTGAGGACTGCAGGTTATTTATACTTTCAAGCCATGCTAAATTTACCAATTAATTATCATTGTGTGTTAAAATCAGATTTCTTTCACAAATAAGTCCACATGTTTTACTTATGGTTTACATATTTTGCTGACCAATCAGCTTTGGTCAGTTGAATCAAACATAATAAATAGTTGTGTTGGTCAACCTTTATCTATTAATAATGTAAAAACGAGCAGATTCGCCCCGAGAAGGTTCTTGGTATGCCACCACTATGCCTGTGCAATGTGGCAAGTGTGCACCATCTGCATCATATAAGTCATGTAACTGTCATTAAAACCTGTACAAAATGATGATAAACCATCTCATTCACTACAAGCTAAAAGTTCATTTTGTAGAGGTACAAACTGCTTGTCAGAAAGTAATCCAAATAACTAATCAACAACAAAAATATATGTGTAAATATACTATATTTTGACTAAATGTTTAGCATCTTTTTTTTTTAAATAATATATTATGCAGTGATCAATGAATACTCCTACAAGTCATTGTCGACATTAGGTCTGGGACGATACACCAACTGTGCAATCCGCTATGTATCACGATACCTTGCTCACAATCCGATACGTATCATGATTCTTGCATGTGCTCTTGTCTGTAGTCCCGAAGCTATTTTTTTCAGACAGGATTGCCAAATACCTGGCACACTGACAATTTACAGTTGGCAGTGTCAAGTATGGCACAATGGATGAAAATATTTACGTTTTCACTGCTAATTTTCACTAATTAGTGTTTAGTGTGACAGTTATTCAAGCAAACACTGAAGTGAGAATCGATACTTTTTACTTTGTGTGTGACTGTGATCGATACTTGTATCGAGAAGTAAAAAATCACGATCCAGGGATGAATTGATGTATCGTCCCACCATGACCATATATTAACACATCTGTGCACATTCACATGCTCAATTTCGATTTCAAATCTGAAAGAGGATCCAAAAATAAGTCTTTCTGTATAATGAAAAAATGACTATTGTGATAAACTGACAATGAAATAAGCCTACACCTATATTGGCAACAGAACACTCCAAAGTCTATAATCATGTTCTACTGCATATTCAAACAAATACCAAATCTTCAGTTTTTCACACAAACATGATAGAAGAGACATGAGCTCTGTTTACTAGGATTCACTCTGATCAATTTTAAACCAGCATTTTTAATCAGCTCCCCAGCCAGCTCCCTGCTCCAAGCAGCACCAAGTCCGATTCCGCCATTTTGTTCAAGGCTTGCTGGGAGACACAGGAAGGTGCTCATTCCGTACAGTGAGCACGCACCCATATCTCCGACAATGTCCGTTCTTTCCTTTTTTGTGTGTATATCTGCCATAATGAAGTACCCCCCATCTTTCAGAGCACGATGTATCTCCTTCAAAGCCTTCTCTGGGTCATTCAAGTCATGGATGACATCAAAACAAACGATCAAATCAAACTTTGCCACCATGGTGTCTGGAATGTTACAGATGTCTACCTTTTCAAACGTAACATTTTCTAAGTTCTTCGAAGCGGAACCTTCCCTTGCCATGCTGAGAGCTTGATCAGAGATGTCGCTGCCGTGAACACGGCTGTTTGGAAACCTCTCGGCCAGACTCCGAGACAGAATGCCTGTTCCACAGCCTATTTCGGCTATGTCTATTCCAGATTCTGAAAATGTCAATTACATGATTCACCAGGATAATATATGAATGAGAGTAGAATATGAGTGAGTGAGTGAGTGAGTGAGTGAGTGAGTGGGTGGGTGAGTGGGTGGTTTAACGCATTTGTGAACAGTATTTAAGTCATATTGCAGCATATCTGCTTGATATCAGAGTAAAAACCAGAAGTGATGCAGGTTATAGACGCTTACCACTTTGCTGAGTGAGTGAGTGAGTTGGGTTTAACGCCGCTTTTAACAGTATTCCAGTCCTATCACGGTGTGCCAGCTTAATGTGGGAGGAAAGCCCAAAGTTCACTTTGCTGAAACTCAGGAGCCTGGGTGTGGTGCTGACACACCTAGATACAAATTGAGGGCAAACTGGGATTCAAACCCAAGATTGCAGGTTTCTTGCATGCCAAAATGATGAAACTTTGCGCAGCAAACTGTGGCACATTAGAAACATTCCCCAAGTGGAATATGAAATTTGAAACGCTGAAACTGATGGGGTGTAGTTCGTCCCAGATCATGCCCCCACAATCACTTTGAGAAATCTTGTTCATTAATAACAATGTTTTAATTGCTGCAAGGCATAAGAACATACAAGGGAAACCGATCTATTTGACTTTGTGTTGAAAAAACCCCAATCAGGATCAGAAGTGTGTGGATAACTAATCTGTTTCAACATTCTTATCAAAACTGCTAAAAAACTCCTTTCAACTCCCTTAACCCCCAAGCAGGGGTTGGCCCTGAACCTGAACAGAGCATCTGGCCACATGATCCTGGCAAATAGAATATCTCACTAAATGAAACATTGTGTGCAGTCATAATGTTATCAAGTCAAGACCAGAGATGAAAAGAAATTCCACCCTTGCAATGGGTTACACTGACTCAATGGATCATCTGAGGGGATATCATCCTACCATCCATGTACCGGTAGTACCAGAATACAAGTATAGTACCGGTATACAACCATCCAAGCCACAATGTAGAGTTAACCGACTCCACATAAAATCTCCAACTTACGATAGTTCTCTGATAGCATGTCTGCCTCTACAACTAAATCACATAAATGGTCTGAATGATTGGTTGGTTGGTTTGTTGTTTAACGCTGCACTCAGCAATATTCCAGCTATATGATGGCGGTCTGTTAATATTCGAGTCTGGACCAGACAATCCAGTGATTGACATCATGAGCATCTATCCACGCAATTGGGATCGATGACATGCATCAACCAAGTCAGCGAGCCTGACCACCCGATCCCATTAGTCGCCTTTTATGACAAGCATAGTCACCTTTTACAGCAAGCATGTGGTCTGAATGAACAAAAACAGACAGTCTTTCCCACCATACTTCATATAACTGCCCAAAACAGAGGTGTTCGGAATGATGCCCCACCACTAATGATAGTGTACCTAGTTTAGGAAGGAGCTCGCTGATGGCAGGTAGTAGCTCATCCTCCATATTCTTCTTCTGGGACACAACTCGCATCTCGTTGAACACTGAGAAGATTCCTGGAAACTTTTCATGGCCAACACCTGCAACGTAATTATAGTTTAACAAGAATTCATGTCATTTGGATTATTGCTTAGGGAGTGAGTGAGTATGGTTTTACACCGATTTCAGAAATATTCCAGCAACATCACGGGTGTATGTGTGGAGAGAGACCAGAAATAGGCTTCACACATTGTACCCATGTGTGGAATCAAACCCGCGTCTTCAGCATGACGAGCGAACGCTACCCCACCGCCTTGGATTATTGATTAAGATGGTTACAATCAATATAACCAGGCAGTAACAATACACTTTGTTTGTAGCATTAATTTCCATCCTGAATCACACATTTTCCCTGTATATAGTGGAGTTCATATAAATATACATATAGAGAATTGATATCAAAAGACACAAAGGTGAGATTTTATTTATCATCCAACACCATTCTTTAAACTTTTTCAATTTGTAGACAGTAATTAGCAGTGTCTTCAGTGAAAAAAGTACTGCAAACAGCTTCAGTAGCAGAGCCATTAGTGATGCCATTTGATTGTGACGTCATGGTAACCAGTGACGTCACAATGGTCTGCAAAGCATTGTGATGTAATTTCATTGCAGCGATATCTACAGTGTAGATATCTCTTGATCTCATCTCATCTCCTGTGGGAGCCAGTTTTGGATGATAAATATATGTTACCATCATTACATCTAGGGCTGTAAGAATACATTTTGTTTCAATCCAGACTATTGCTTCACAATATATATACTGTAAATCCTTGAATAGACACCTGGTCATCTTGAGACGTCTTACATGCTTACACACAATGTCTAATTCTTAATTACCATAAGGCCACACTTTTTTAATTGTATGTTTCACAGATTTATTTCAGCTTTTCCACACAAAGCCTATCAAAATAAAAAATATATATAAATAGGTATGTCGATCATTTATTTATATATTTATGAAAGTCATTCTGGCGTAGAGTTAAAACTCTAGCTGGCTTCTTGAATCACTGATACCAATGTAGACATGGAATTTATATACATTTTATATTGTTAAAGAGGGTCTATATAACTAGTTGGAGACAGAAAAAAAAACTTTTTTATATTTAATTTATTTCTTTTCCAGCTGCTTGTTAAGAGGGACGGTGGGTCTGTGAAATGAAAAATAAAAAATGTGTACACTTTTAATTGTCCATAAGATGGGACATGTAATTGGTTGGTTGGTTGGTTGGTTGGTTGGTTTGTTGTTTAACGCCGCACTCAGCAATATTCCAGCTATATGACAGCGGTCTGTGAATAATCGAGTCTGGACCAGACAATCCAGTGACTGATATCATGAACATCGATCCAGGCAATTGGGATACGATGACATGCATCAACCAAGTCAGCGACCCAGACCACCCGATCAAGTTAGTCGCCTCTTACGACAAGCATAGTCGCCTTGTATGGCAAGCATGGGTTGCTGGGGACCTATTCTCTACCCCGATCTTCACGGGTCACATGTAACTGAAATATAACATGTATGATAGCAGCTTTCACTTCAATATCACTTTACTGAGAATCTTAATTAAAACACATCTGTGACGTCATTCTATTGTTTGAACGCTCCATTATTTTTCAGGAATGGAGAGTTGCTTGTCAACTGTACATTATCTTGAAGCAGCATTTGAATTTTTCAAATATTTTCAACTACAGAATATTTTGTCAAAGTGTAAAAGTAGGGATGAGTTTTAAGTAGGGGAATATCCTCATAACTCTCCATTCCTTAAAAATAATAGGCTTCGGCCCCGGCGGGGCCTCTGCTCCATTATTTTTAAGGAATGGAGAGTTACTCGGACATTCCCCTCTACAGAATATCTATGATTAGAGATTTTGAGCTGGTGTGTATTTAAGGCAGGTGCAAAAAAAAAACCTCAAGGATTTACGGTATACATGTAACCATCATTAAGTCTAGGGCTGTAACGATACGCTTTGTTGCCATCCACTCAATTTTGTACAGGCCATCGTAATATGGCTGGAATATTGCTGCGTGCAGCGTTAAACATCAAACAAACTAACCAGAGGGGCCATCTTTGTGAAAACAGGCCTTAACAGCATCGTATCTTGTGGCGTAGTTTGCAAACAGACTTGAAGAAATCCCAATTGTCTGCAGAAACGGTTTGTGGGACTCTGGGATGTAGTACTTTGGTGGGTCGTCGCCGGTGACCTCGACAGCCTCACACGCTGTCATACACCCCAACCACTCCCGCACGTACCTGCAATAATAAATACCAAATAAATCAGGTTTAAGTCTTTCTATAAATTCACACGTTTCTGTTTTCTCGCTGGCATTGTCATGTCGACCATGGTCAGGCCTCAAAGTTGCAACTAATTTGGTCGCTATGCCGATTGAAATTTCCACTTGGCGACCAATATTATTTATGCAGTCGCCACTTGGACACTTGGAAAAAATCAACCCAGTGACCCGATATCACTAACTGCATAATACTTCATTAATAATAACTAATTGACTGAACTAAAATTTCATTATAAAAATCTAAAAATCATCATGAGACTTGTGAGGTAAAAAATAAAGCGATAATCTTGTAAATTACTTACAACAACATAATTAACAACAAAGCTTGTTAAACCAAAGGTAGGAATCGGTATTGCTGCAGTTAGACATATTTGATATGCTTTAACAGTATTACACATTACTGACTATATATAAACCTGACGTTTGGCTCCTTATTTTTTCACATGGCTTCTTGAATTTCACATCGGCTCCCTGAAAACAATTGTTAGGAGCCAAAGGCTCCTTGGAAATAATATACTTTGAGGCCTGATGGTTAGTATACAATGAATAGTTTTAAGGGCGACAGTACACCACTGGTGCCAATTTTCTGCCTGTAGCTCTACGCATGGAGCTTGTTCGAAAAAAGCAGTCAATGATTGATAAAAACTACTCAAAAGAAGTAAAAGAACGCCTGATTTTTTCATACAAATATAGTTAATCTGTCATGGCCATACTTGACTCATGTATATCTCGAAAACCCATCCACAGCATTACATGAGATACACTTAAATACAATTTTCAATATGTACAAAATGGCTCTATTTAACAGGAATAATGAAAATAAAGTCTCACACCTTAAAGGGGCACTGATCTAACGCAATTCCCCGGGACTGGTTGTTGCCTTTGTTATTCTTTTTTCCCAGTGAGTACCCGGATGTATAGCAGAAATCTAGACTAGTTCGCGACCTCTGCTGCGCCATTCGTAAGCGCATTAGTCACTTGTATGGGTAGTAATAAGGGCGTATGGTCACATTGATCAACAAAATGAAATACAGTTTTCGAGATAATAAGGAAATGTAGGTATCTTTGTGGGTAGCATCGGTAAAGGTGACGAAGTTTTGATAAGACACTTGCTTGGTAATTTTGCGGTTTTCGTTTACACTATTTTGACTTGCAACACAAAGTAAATATTTCACCTGAGCATTGCTTTTATATAGTGTGTGTATTTTTTACTGTCAAAATGTGTAACATTTTCAAATTTATTAAACGCCTAAATATTCAGTTATTTTACAAAGTGACTGAAAAACATTTCCATCTGTATTATTATGATAACGAATTCCAAACATTTTTATGTTTAATGTCATCACCAAGAGACTGAAAATGTTACGTTGAAAAGTACATTTCTATGTTGTTTGGCTTCTAATCCTACATAATAATCAGTTGTGATGTTTGTAGGCCCTTTTAATCGTCTTAATGAATCTGGACAGATTTTTTAGTCAAAATGACTGAAATATTTACACATTTTATAAATTGCCTGAGAGAATCACGTTTTACAAATTGACGGTAATATATACACGCTTACAAAGGAAAAGGCCTGTGAAAACAACGTCTATCGCGCATTGAAGAGTTTCCCAACCAAGACGAAGAGAAACAAGGACGAATCGGTTCAATGTTACAGCAAATGAAGGAAAACAAAATGCAAATACCATAATTACAACCTACCAAATTTATGTGTATAAATATAGGCAGCTTCCTTGTTCGAGGAATGTATCCATGAATATCCACACAAAGGAACAATATGCCACTCGTCTGCAGCTGTACAAAAAAAACTTATTCGATGTCACGTGTCTCTGTAACAATCACATATTTTAAAAAATATATATCGTTTGGGGATATTTTAACCCGTGTCCGTTTCTCAACTGATCACTTGGATTGTTTCAGGTAAGGGTCAGCTGAGAAAGCCCACATGACAACTATTTTCATAACTTCCACAGTTCCTAAAAAAATCCATTGAGTGATAGATAACAATGATCAATCAATCAACGTATTATCAGTTAACCCTTTGAACAAAGTATGTTGTTTTTACATCGGCACTTCACGCCATGATATGAGTGTATTCCCTTTGTTTTAGTAAACCTAGACATGTAAACACTCACTTTTGACATATCCCCTGTGCAAAATAACAGTGATTAATCAATCAACGTATTTTCTGTTAATCCTTTGATGACTAGGAACGATCCGTTTATTTACAAAAAAAAGTAAATCAACTGATCATTCACCTCTTGCTGGTCTGCCATGTGCATATTACATAACACATATTTCACCTCACTTCAAACCTGGATTTAGATTGAATAATTACCCCAGACACAATAAATGCCAAATGGGAACCTTTGTCAGGTAATCTAAGTGGTGCTACCACTAATTGTACCTGTAATAAATTCATTAACTGAGCATCAAGTGAATGACGACAAATACACAAGTGTAGGGGTTATACGAGAAAACGTGGATGACAACAAGGGAGTAGATATCGTATTATCGACGCAATCCGAAATCCGAAAATGCTTTCACTGCATGGATACTTTTTTTTAGTATTAAACTATAACCATCTGAGGTATTTCCAAATGACGACATCCAATGAGCTCCGCCGTTCTTTTTGTCTGTTTGTTTAGGTTGAAGAAATTAATTAACATGCGCCCTTTGTCGAAATCTTTATAGATCCCGGTTAACCAATCAGTGTTTATGCAAAAATGCGTAAAACAAATATTGCCTCCACCCTCCAAGTTTATTTAGCTGTCCTTGCAGACAGTAGCCCAGTCTCTGGTCACGCTCAGTTGCGTTGCGTATCATCCGGGTACTCACTGGGAAAAAACAATAACAAAGGCAACAACCAGTCCGGGGAATTCCGTTAGATCAGTGCCCCTTTAATAAATAAATAATACACTTCTGTATCGATACAAGACGACACACTTACTTATTACTCGTATAAAGACCCCAATATTTTTGTCAGTCAAATATCACAAAAATAGCCAAGACGAGCATGTGTCTACAGCTACCTTTTTTCTTGGGACCTGCTTTGAAATATCCATTGTCAAGAACACTTCAAGCGATTCGACGTAAATATGCATATCGCAATACGTATCGTATCATGACTCATGTATCGTGACACCTATCGTATCGTGACCTTGTTGTATCGTTTCACCCCTCAATGAAATATTAGTACCGGTATATAAAATATGATTAGAGAATACCTGCCTTTCTTTGAGATTGGCCTTGTCAGCAATGTCTTGAGATGTTAGACTGTCTTCAGCATCAGACATGACCTTGAAGATGCCGACCTCATGACCCACAGCGAGACACAACATGGCTGTGGCCCCCGAGGAATATTCCAGCAATCTTTCTGCCCATTTCTCCGCCATACCTCTTGAACCTGATCATAAACAGCATATTTTAACATTGCAACTTCGGCTGGAACTTATCGACAACAAAATAAATGATCCAGTTCATTCTTGTTTACATGAACTATATATACATTTTCATTAATATAATGACCCATGAAGATCCGGGGAGGAATAGGTCTTCAGCAACCCAAGCTTGCCGTAATAGGTGACTATTGGGATCGGGTGGTCAGACTTGCTGACTTGGTTTATGCATGTCATCGTATCCCAATTTTGTGGATCGATGCTCATGATGTCCTTTACTGGATTGTCTGGTCCAGACTCAATTATTTACAAACCGTTGTCATATAACTGGAATATTGCTAAATGCGGCTTTATACAACAAACAAACAAACATTAATATAATGGTTATGATTATCTGGACATCAGATTGGTAATGACCTACATTTTAGCTTTATGTTTTGAATTCTATTACTGTGTGTTAAGGGGAAGTGGGGTAGCTAGTGGTTAAAGCATTTGCTCGTCACGCAACAGGCCCAGGTTCAAATTTTCACGTAGGCACAAAATGTGAAGCCCATTTCTGGTGTCATCCATCGTGATATTGCTGGAATATTGCTAAAATAGTGTAAAATCATACTCATCCAGTCTCACTCCTTCCCTCCCTCACTATTACTCACTATGATTAATTCTGATTATGTATTGATGTCTTAAAATTACATGATTTTTAGACATAAACTTCAATAAGTTATTATGTTGCATACAGTGATCAAGTGAGATGGGTTTTAAAGTTGCTTTGAACAGTTTTCAGTTAAACCACTGCATGTCAGCTTAATTTGATTGAGGATAACGGAAAGTGATGTTTACCACTAGGGCAAACTGGTGATGTTTACCACTTGGGCAAACTGGTGATGTTTACCACTAGGGCAAACTGGTGATGTTTACCACTAGGGCAAACTGGTGATGTTTACCACTTGGGCAAACTGGTGATGTTTACCACTTTGGCAAACTGGTGATGTTTACCACTTTGGCAAACTGGTGATGTTTACCACTTGGGCAAACTGGTGATGTTTACCACTTGGGCAAACTGGTGATGTTTACCACTTGGGCAAACTCAAGCTCAAGCTGTTATACCAAGGATCATAATCAGGGCAAATCCTTGTTAAACCCCATGAAAATAGGATCCTGGCATATCACCATGGGACACAACTCTACACAGTGACCTGTGGCACCCTATAACTTGCCTACCAGCACTGGCAGTTAATAAAATATCTTCATGCACTTTATTCTGTTTTTTTCATCAGTATTCCCTAGTTATTTCAACGCCATTACTTATAGCTTGTTTTTTTTTAAACCTGTAACCACCATGCTATATAATCTTTATAACACCCAGGAAGCACCGCACATGCCAATACAAACAACCAGTCATCATATGTCTGAGACGGGTAACTCAGGTAATCGGGTAGGACCCGGGTACACACAGGTCCACCCGAACTCGATATATTGTTTATGACAAAACTTACTGTAACTCCATGGTTACACCATAAGTCACTAACATTCGCATTTCTTTCTGACAATGCATGCCTTCCTTCTGACGTTTATAGGGGGCATGGGTGGCCCAGTCGTCTAAGGTGCCGCGATTCGCTGTGCAGAGTTGCGTCCCTTGGGCACGCCAGAAACCTATGATTGTGGGTTTGAATCCCGGTTCGCCCCGATTATGTTTCTAGGTTTGTCAGCACCATACCCGTGCTCGTGGGTTTCACCGATGTGGTAAACGTCTGAGACCTGCATCACTTCGGGCTTTCCTCCCACATTAAGCTGACACGCCGTGATATAACTGGAATACTGTTAAAAGCAGCGTTAAACCCAACTCACTCACTCTGATGTTTATATGTGTGAATAAAGATAAGGTTTTGGGCCAGCCCTAGTAGTTGTGATCATGATTATGGTTGAATTTCGCTAAAAAGTCCTGTGATTGAGACTAGAGATCCTTAAATAAGGACCATGTTTAAATATGGCAGTCAAGCAAGCGAAAATATTGACCGGAGGAGCTAATGTAAGCAATGATAAATTATATCCTACCTAAATATTATAAAATAGGATAGGATTAGACACACTGGTATGGGTTCAAATTCACTAGGGAGAATCATCCTGACACTATATATTCTAGAGAATTTCATCCCGGGGATGAAATATTGGGTAGGATAATATTCACTCTTACACTAAAACAATATTTGAAGTTTGACAATTAATAACATAAATTGATTACTCTTGGTTTAAAGTAAAATTCCAAATTATGTGCCATAACACTTTTTATACGTAATGATTAAATACAATTTGGGGATGTAGATTTATGACGCGGACAGTGTTCCATACTAGCTGATCGTTCTTTTGAAGACGCCGACAGGTCCAGTGTCGAACTTACAGTTTTCGAGATAACAATCACAGAGTACCAACGCCCTATATATAAACTATCTTATGGTGCATGGAAATACCAACTTGCTGACTATTCGTGATGAACGGGCCTTGATTTCTTGACAATGACGATGTGAATCCAACCCCTCGAAACGCTACCGGGAGAAAAGGACACGTGACAGTCACGTGACGTGTATGTACTGAAGATAAGGCTCGCGCGAACGAGTCGACTGAATGTTGACTTTCGCTCAGCCTATGAACATATAATTTTGATAGAAACTATATTTAAATTGAAAAAGAGACTGAGATGGAAGCTTTAAAACATGTGGAAAATCTAGACTTGCTTCATTTAGTGCCATATCATTACACTGTTAGCGCTGCGCATGAGAGAAAATAATATGGTTCAGGGACTGCGAGAGAGACTGTTTCTTTTTGTGTGGGGGATGAACTCTCATATGCATGTTTTGTAAAAAAAAAAATCATAGACATCTGTCTGTTGGAATTCTTATGTCAATCTGTACCCGTACATAAACAATACTTAGAGCAGAGACCACATACCGGAAAGAAAATCATGGATTTTCTCCACTAAATTTCGCACCTATGCACAAATTAACATATTTTATTGACTCAACTTTTCTATATGTGCAGGTGTGAAGCCCATTTCAGGTGTCCAAAGCTGCGATATTGCTGCGATATGTCAATTCTATATACAGTATTTCCTCTAATAAGCGCCGGATATTTAGAAGACGCCAGTCCCCAATAAGCGCCTCTGTCTCTTAAAAGGGCACCCTGGTATCTTAGATTTAAATTTCTTCTCCCTGGAATAAATAAAAGCTTAGAAACGAAAGGTGCATTTTAGCACTTCCGGTTGGGTTTGGAAGCTTGTTCAAAGAACAATAGTCTGTCATACAGAACCTGAAACAAATATATCCAATACAGCCCATGTAAGTCTATAAAATTTGGCAAGTCTAGAAATGAGTCTTGTTTTTTTCTGTAAAATATGTTTATTTCAGAGACTAGATGTTAGTCTAAAAGAATAGGTGCGGGGTCGTTTTTTACAGGGATACGGTATATGCATGACTCCACAAGTGTGTTAGACCAAGATTTTACATTTGTTTAGCGATAGCGAGAACTAAAATCTGATTTTCATGAGACTGATTTATTCATTGCTATCTTTGTTCAATTATAAAGCGTTTGCTCGGAGAGCGGAAGATCGATGATTTGATTCCCGATCGCGTCATACCAAAAGACGTTAAAAGATGGTACTTGTTGTTACCCTTCCTTTGGCTCGGCATTAAGGGGATAAAATAAGGACTGATTAGTATACTGTTTGAGTGTGGTATCCAAGTAAAACTGCATCATTAATTCGGACTAGCACACACAAACGCACGCACGCACGCACGCACGCACGCACGCACGCACGCACACACACACACACTTTGCAAAAGAAGTGCAATAATATCGATCGCGACGTTAAACCCACCTAAAAGGTGTATTGAATATCATCTCACATGCAATGAATGGCATTTTGTCGGGTCCCCTCTCCGAACACCCATCCACCCCAATCAGCACCCACACCCCGACACCTGGGGTATAAGTCTATATAAGTCTAACAGCTTGACTCACAATCTCCCACCCCTGTACATAAATATTGTTTTTGTTGATTCAAACGGCATGCTCATATGCAGCTGACCCAAAAACTCTCTGGACGTGATATGGCTACAAACGCCTGTGTCATCCACACCTGTACTTTGGACCTCACAACGACAACGAATGTCGGCACCTGAACATCGAAGAGGTGAGTCCTTATATAGCGGAATGAGCCGTGGAAACAGTAGGTCGTTAAAGCATTGCATTGTTGTAAACTTTAGGATTTATCTGCACATGCATCGGGGGATTCAAGGATTTTGAAACTGTGGGACGCAGACGACACCAAAGTCTCGAATCTAACAACAACACACGATATATGTTGGCTCTGTTAAAGGTGTCTGAGACTGAGGTTGGGTTTCACACTGACAGACCCAGACAGGGTTGAGTTGCGCTCCTATGTACCCCACCCAAACTCCCTGGGTCCTTGACCCCGTTTATATTCACTAATACTAGATGGTGATAAGCTACAGGTAAACATTAGCATAGCCCACATATAAATAGCTTGATGTTAAAAACAATTTTATATATGCCGGGTATTTGAAACGGTTTGGGTGGCGATGCGATGTAATATAGCTGTCATTGTGCCCGTTGTTATAATTGTTAGTCTTAATATATATTGTCCTCAATTAGTGTCGTTCACGTCGGTTGGGGCTCTATGGATTCAAGATGAAGCCCTAAATAGGCATGTGTATATGACTGTGTAAATGAAAAGAAATGCCATATAAATGCCTATTGCTATGTTTTTGCATTTTTTTTAAATTTCGGGCATGACTGTATGTTGAATATTGTTAAATTAACCAGTCTAGATTTCTCTCAATACGTAGCCTCTTAATGCAACACAGATTATATAAGAATAATTCTGGGTAGTTGTATTCCACAATCACGTCAACCTGTATGATACAACTGAACAAGAATCTCTTGATTACCCAGTAAGGAAACACACAAAGAGTACAATTTTGTTGGCAAGGCTAAAACGAAAAAGGATTTGATTCTCGGGCATCGGCGCGGTAACTTTAAATCCAGCGCGTCAGTCATTTTTATTGCCAATGTGTGTGTGTGTGTGTGTGTGTGTGTGTGTGTGTGTGTGTGTGCGTGCGTGCGTGCGTGCGTGCGTGCGTGCGTGCGTGCGTGTGTGTTGCTGCTTGTACTAGACCGGACTAAAGCCGAGATACCATGCCGCAGTTAACATGAATACCCCACTCAGACACTGTATACTGACGCTGAGCCGACCAGTCCTTAAGCCCCATAATGCCGAGCGTCAGGCAGGGCAACAACAAGTTCCATCTTGTAACGTATTTTGCATTTGCATTTAAACAGTGTTCAGTATTTCATTTTAATTTGACTTTCGTGAGTTTGGTTCAACAGCGCTTTGAACATTATTTCTGTTATATCACGAGCTGTCAGCTGCCGAAATGATGCAGGTCTTAGACATTCACCACTTTGATGAAACCCACGAACAAGGGTATGGTGCTGATAAAATTACAAATGTTGAAAAACAATCGTGGAAAACCGGGATTCGAACCGTGATCATAGGTTTCTGGCACGCCAAAGCAACGCAACTATATACAGCGGCTCTTTAGGCGACTGTGCCACCCGTGTCGCTTGTCCATGAATGTACTATGTGCAGGAAGGATACATCGGTCCAAATGAAAGTGATTTTAGTCATGCTCCCCATCTGCTTGTCTGTTGTTATTCACCGCCATGTCAAGGTTCACCCACGACACCCCAACCTCTACCCCAACCCCAACTAAAACCCCAGCCAAAACCCAAACCCAACCCCAGCCCCAACCCCAGCCCCAACCCCAACGACGGTGATCGTTGTACATATCAAATACACGTTCCCCGATTATGTTAGAGGCCGCCGTGACTCATCTTTTACAGCCAGTTATCTCCCTTGCCTCGGGACGATGGCCGTGACTGTGCGTTTACCCACAGGACCAAGTAACTAATAATAATAATAAACAAAGTCGCAAAAACTGCATACCATAACTGCAGTTTCAAACATCTTTCACTATTAAGACCTTTTTTGTAGATACAGCATTGACTATAAAATCCCCCTTTGTAGTACTGATTTTTTCTGTCACCAAACAGGAACAATGACGTCAGATGTAACCCGGATTTTGGTAACACCGGCTTCTTATTCGACGGCATACTCCTTGATTCCCTATATAGCGCAGGGATGTTTGACGGGCCCTGAACAGGTATACATTACAACTTATCTTCATTCTATTTTCTACCCAGTTGTGTCTATTGATTGTCACAGCACTCAGTTTATATAACATGGGGATCGGGTGGTGATAATTGCCACTTCGTCCTCGTAAATGATTGACACTGGACTTTCAGATAACCCTTGTGGGGATTCGGGGTCAGAACAGGTTCCCAGAACCTCTTTTTGGAATCGGGTGGTAAGCTCCCTTACAATCCAGTAAAAACAGGGGACCGCCCATTCTGCAATGGTGTGACATTAAAATGAAGGATGTTTGTTTGTTGTTTAACACCGCACCCAGCATTATTCCCGCTGTATAACGGCGATGTGCAAACAATCGAGACAGGACGTCGACCATACATCCAGAGATTGACATCATTTTGTCACGGCACCCTTCATAAGAGGCGACTAACAGGATCGGGTGGTCAGGCTCGCTGACTAGGTTTATGCATGTCATCGTATCCTAATTGCGTGGATCGATGCTCATTATGTCAATCACTGGATTGTCTGGTTTCGATTATTAATTTTACAGACCGCCGTCATATAGCTGGAATATTGCTAAGTGCGGCGTTAAACAACAAACAAACAAACAAATGTCATGGCACCCGATCCACTCAGTCACCCGGCCTTCCGACAAGCTTAGGTTGTAACACTCTTACCCGGAATCCCTACGGATAACTACTGGATATGATATATGGCAGTAATGAACTATTATGATAATTTGTTAGTGACGGAATTTTAACTATCGGCTAGCCGTTGCACGATCATGAATGTTATTATCTTGTCTTTTGTAATATAAACAATCATTTATTGAGCTAATTTCCAGGAAGTCGAGATCGTCCTTCACGACGTGGAGGAGAGGTCTGACGTCATGAGGGGTGTTGCTATGGAGATTATGGACTGCGCGTACCCCCTCGTCAGGGGTAAGCAACAACATCCATACTTTAACTCCTGAATGCCTTCTTTGAAGAAGGATGTAACACGTTATACAAAATGGAAGTTGGTTGATAACTTAGCTCCGATGATAAAGCGCAGTCGTTCAGACTTACGTGGCCTTAATTGATGGTTAAATGCAAGTACGAGGGTTGATTGATAGACCGAAAGACATTTCGACATCATTCCCTTCCACATTGATACACTATTGCCATTCGTTGAAGTCCTCTTGGCTGTCAAATATCTCTACTAAACTGCTATAGCCATCGATCGAGTCGAACTGGTTTCCGGGTAGACTGATTAGTGCTGGCGCATTGTCCTGATGAAGAGCACACCGGTTCTCAGCTTCCCTCGCCTCTTGTTCTTAATTTCATCCCTCTCAGCAATGCAGCATAATAAGCTTCTTTTATTATTTTGCCCTCTCGAAGAAAGTCCACCATGACGACACCGTCGGCATCCCAGGCCATAACCGTTTCTCTTAATCTGAATAATCGTATGGGATAGTCTTTGCCTTATTTGGTGGTTGAAATGTCAAATGATTCCACTGGACTGGAAGTGGTCAACCCAGGTTTCATCCATGGTCGCAAATCATGGCAAGAACCTTTCTGAATCAGCTTCTAACAGAGCTAGATTATCACGAGACATGTTGTGCCTGGTGCATCTTTTATTAAGTGTCAGAAGGCTCTATACCGAAACGTCGCCTTTACAACATAAAAAGAAGTTGTTATCCATAAATTGTGTCTACTCTGTCAGAAGCTTTGGAACCCAACGAGCTGATACTTTACCAAATTTTGTTCTGATAATGGAATGTACTCTCTCCTGGGAAATGCCTACTGAGCTATTGCAATATGTCTGTCATCACCATATCGTGGATTCTCATTAACACTTCCAATGTTGCTGACGTCACAGGCTGTCTGGTCCAGACTCGATTATTTACAGACCGCCGTCATATAGCTGGAATATTGCTGAGTGCGGCGTTAAAAACAAATAACCTAACCTTACCATCCAGACAAGATAGTTTTGAAGGCTCTCCGTGCCACGCATAAACTCTGATGCCCACCTCTGTACAGTGGCACAGAAAGGGGTATCCTTTGCCCCAGTGTTGGACTCATTTATTCATGAATGCCGTTTTGTGTTGAGCCTTTATTCTGCAAGTATTTGATCTCTGCAGGTTACTCAAGTTTATACATTTTCCAAAGGCCCCTGCGTGTTTTGCCGACGTGTCACAGCCAAACAATTTGCTAAATTGACTCGATTTTTTTGTGGAAAACCCTCTGACAGCATGTAATGTCCACGACAGAAGATTTCACTTTTACCCAATTGCTTCTATGTGAGGCCCAGAACTTATCAACCAACCCTCGTACATCAGTTTGTATGGTATAACATTATTAGACGTAGAACGGTATGAAGCACCGAAAAGAATATATATAGGCATTGCGAATTGAAATTATTGTTATGGTGAATGATGGTCGCTATCTTAGTCGACGTAGCAATTCTGCACGGATGATATAGGGCAGTATTCCATTTCAACATTAGTATTTCTCGAGAGAAAGTTCACTCTTATTCCTCGTCCTGTAGGTATATCAACAAACTGCAATCTCCGCCTTGCCATGATCGGAGTTGACTTACTGGTCACCCTTCCCACTGACCTGTTTGGCGGTCAAACAATCTTAAGAACTGACCAACTGCGGTGTCCAGCCAACATGAAGGTAACGTGGTCAGGTTCTGTGTCTACAAACATGATGATATCATCTTCAGAGGTCTATATACACTACGTTCCATCAATCTTGAATACATATGGCCGTTATACGGATGAAGTTGCTATTTTTGACCAACGAATCCAGCAAAGTTCTGATTCCAGTGATAAGGGAGAGAGCAATTTATCAGATCAATGAAATGAAACGTTTCTCGCTCGACAGCGTGTGGCTGTCTGTCCTACACATGGCTTTAATTGTAGACAGTGGTAAGAGTACACTAAATATATATGCATGGAATATTGTTCATTTGACATCCACAAGTTATAAACGGCATCAAGTTCAAGTTTACTAAAAATAGACACACATCAGTACTGCACTGCAAAGTGGCCGTTCATTTGTATTCACGGGTAATGGGCAATCCCAGAAATGGTGTCTCTCAAATACGCTCACATTATTCTAATCGCGTTTCAAACATGGCCGCCATGACAGCCATATTATACTTGCCATATTTGGCCCATTAGTCAGCGATAAGTTTATCGTATTTTGATTTTTCAAAACCTGCAATGATGTTGCCATATATCTTTTCTGAAACCTCTAGGTTTACACGAAGCTGACATTTGTGTTTATGATCAAAACAGCGATTATTCTAGAATTTGCTCACGAAATTCTAATTCCATGTCCATCGTGGAAGTCATAAAAACATTTTACATGTAGCAATATTCATTTTACTATTGGGGCGGTCTAATTGTAGCCTAGAGGTTAAAGCGTTTGCTCGTCACGCCGAAGACCCAGGTTCGATTCCCGACATGGGTACAATGTGTGAAGCCCATTTATGGTGTCCCCTGCCGTAACATTGCTGGAATATTGCTAAAAGCGGCGTAAAAACATAATCACTCACTGCACTTAATTTGCTATACAGTAAGTATGTGTTATGAAGAATGAGATATACTACTTTTGGGACTTCTTTGCTTTTTACTGCTATGGCCTGTGTTGCATTGTGAACTATTCGTTGTACCTTCTCTTTCTATGTTTGCAGGGGCGGTCGGGTAGCCTAGTGGTTAAAGCGTTCGCTCGTCACGCCGAAGACCCGGGTTCGATTCCCGACATGGGTACAATGTGTGAAACCCATTTCTTGTGTCCCCCGCCGTGATATTGCTGGAATATTGCTCAAAGCGTCGTAAAACCATACTCACATACTCACTTCTATGTTTGCATTGCTAAGTATCTCATTTGTTAGGATGTTTAAACACCATGTTACAGTAAATAGCTACAGAGCCTCGCTCCATGTGAGATACATTATTCTCTGCTTGAAGGTTGTCGTGGTGGGTACAAAGATGGATTTCACTGACTTCAAGTCCACCTCACATGTTCCAGTTGACAATATTTTATTTATTGAGACTTCAAAGGTAAATGCCATCTTGCTATTTATTCCTTTCGTCCAGTGGTTTAGAGCACAGGGAATATTGTATTCTCTGGAAACATGACTCGTGCATATTAGATTCCCATTGTGTTGTTGTAAAGAACCAATTACATCCACGCCGGCATGCTGTTGTAATACAGCCAAGTTCATAGGGGTGAAATATAGCTTATATCGCTTACAAAAAGCTAAGCCTTTATGTGTGACATAAATTTGATTTTAATGCCATGAAGATCATATTAAAGACATAAAACTGATAATGGTGACATTGATTCGGGATGCAGACAGAATTTATATTGAATGATTAGGTCTGCAGATGACATATATGCAGGTGATTTGCATGGCATATATTTTATCCTTTCAGAGAATGGGACGCTCCATGTCCCGAGCTCACACTATCAGCAAACAGACAGGGTCGTGGTGGATGCAACAACAACAACAACAACAACAGCAGCAGCACGTACTGGTAATGATGCACACTTGTTTGTTTGTTGGTTGGTTAGTTGCTTTGACGTCACACACGTCAATATTCCAGCTATATGACAAAGGTCTGTAAATAATCGAGTCTGGACTAGGCAATCCAGTGATTGATATCATAAGCATCGATCTATACAATTATTACAATACGATGACATGCATCAACCTGGTCAGTGAACCTGACCATCCGATCTAGTCAGTCAGCTCTTGCTACAAGCATGGGTTAGTGAAGATTCATTCTAACCCGGATCTTCACCTGTAACTTGTTTATTATTATACTATCCGTACCTTCGGACGTTTATCTGCATACATATCCGTGCTACACACCTGTGCGTGGCAACAGAGACCAGCGTACATAAATGCTCAGTCGATATTTAACAACATTTGCTTATGCACCTGATTGGATAGTGTAGAAAATACGAATGTTGATTGGCTGTTCGAAATTGTTTTCACGCTCTATCACGTTACAGCTGTCTCTGAAACCTCAAGTCATACTAACCGCCTCCGTGGTCTTGTGGTAGAACGTCCACCCGGAGAGCGGAAGGTCCGGGGTTCGATCCCAGGCCGCGTCATACCAAAAGACGTTAAAAGATGGTACTTGTTGTTACCCTGTTGGGCGCTCGGCATTAAGGGGCTAAAACAAGGACTGGTCGGCTCGGAGTCAGTATACTGTGTCTGAGTGGGGTATTCATGTTAAACTGCGGCATGGTGGGCGATCACCATAAATCGGCATCAGTCCGGACTAGTACAAGCAGCCACACACACACACGTGCATGCACGTCGCTATATAAGTGCAATAATCTTGGACGCGACGTTAAATCCCAATTCATCTCACCTCACACCTCAAGTCATACTACAGACAGCAGGTTAATATTGTACCTTATATCAACACAACCGGCTTATTTTTACAACATTACGCATCACGCACTCTGCCTGGTCAGTCTGTATGTTCTCTGTATACCGACCACAAAGGAGAGGAACTGCGTCACTTCTCGTAGACCAAATGCGTTAATACTTCTCTGTATTGTGTATTCCAAAGTTGTCATAATGCCCATCATGTGTTAATTGTATTATGAATATTTTCATTTGATGCATTAATTGTATTGTGAATATTCTCAACGATAAAATGACACCGCTCTTATTATCCAGTCTATCTAATCTGAACAGGGACATATTATCGAGGGCGCCATGACACCGTTAGATTCATATACATGATTTTTCATTGCAGAGAAAAGTCCCATCACCCGTACAACAGAGTGCGGCAGAGCGTTGCAGTCAAGACACGTCTCTTCAGTCTTCTAACAACGCATTATATCAAGGTCAAAGGGGTCATGAACATCATTCGTATGCAAGGCTATAACTGTAGCTTGTGAATATTCATGCGTGAATAACCTCACTCCAGTGGAATATATTTGGAAACTTTTAGAATGACTCATCTTTGGATAAACATATTTTCTGCTTGCATCAGCCTTATCTAAAATGTATGTAAGTTATTCGGGTACTGACACACTGGACATTTACCTTTGCTATAGTGTATAGCATTGAGGGTGTGGTGAAATGGGGTTCAACGACGCGACCAAGATAATTGAACTTTTATAACGACGTGAATGTGTGTTTGGGTATGCGTGTGTGTGGTTGTTTGAACTAGTCTGGTTTTAAAGTGCTATAAACCCACATATATAAACTACCGGGCAAAAGAAACTTATCACTTGTAAATTTAGTTTTATCTGAATTAAAGACGGTGCGATAAGTTAGAACGTTATCAGAAAACATTCACCAAAACACAAAGTCGCGGCGTCATGGTATGGGGCGGTATTTGCGGTCAGTGGACAGCATCATCCGTGGGAATCTGACTGGCCAGAGATAAATTGATGAAGTGCTGCGACCTGTTGTAGTGCCATTCTTACGTGGACAGCCAAGGGATACCCTTGTGCAGCAGGATAATGCACGACATCATACCGCCAGACTTGTTCAGCAATATCTGCACAACGTTGAGGTCAACATATTGTCTGGCCAGCATGTTCACCAGTCCTGAATCCCATAGAGCATCTCTGGGATCATCTTGATCGACAGCTGAGACAACGCAGCAAACAGACAGCAGCTTGGACAGGTTTTATTGGATGAGTGACGCAGAATTCCTGCTGACGTCATCCGGCGACTGACGACACCCATAAAGAGACGTGTTATGGTGTACATTTATGCAGGTGGTGACAATCACATGATTTGACTTAATGAGCACCTTCTGAGTGAAATTTGTTTGACTCGTGTTAATGTAATTTTTATTTTGACCCCATGTCTCTTTCGATCGGTCTTATGGCAAGTCCACTTTCGGTATGGCATTGCAAGTTTGTAAGGACCTCGAAAAAGTATTTCTTTCATTACGATAAACGTCATATAGTGAACACCTGTCTTTGTTTCGTTTTATCGAGCCACTGAACGAGGTGATCAGTTTCTTTTGGCCGGAAGTTTACCATTCCGCAGTTTAACATGGATATCCTACTCTAAGACACGGTAACAACAAGTACCATCCTTTAACGTCTTTTGGTATGACGCAGCCTGGTATCAAACCACGACCTTCCGCTCTCTTGGCAGACGTTTCGTCCACTGGACCACGGAGGACGTCTTTCACAGCAGTTAATTGGGTGGGGTGGGGGGTTGTTTAACGCCGCACTCAGCACAGATGTATGTTTTTAGACTAAAGCGTGTACGCTGTGTTGTCAGGTTATGCATCTATTATTGGTTGATTGAATAGGTTGACTTGAAAACAAATTTAACTTTCAGGTTGACGAAATGTTTGAGGTTAAGGCTTGGTACTGTTTCTCTGTGACCTTGACACTTTCGCCGGAGACGTTCTGTTCTATCCACTTCCGCCGGAACTTCGTCACACCGTAACACTGCACTGGAAATGACACCTGGTGGTTGAGTGTTGTTCGTGTGATGATAGGAATTCTAGATACCTATTTGGTGTGCAGCTGAAAGCAAATAAGATATGGAAGTCTACAGGCCCACATACAATTTTCCGAAGTAACTGTTACATGTCATGGAAATCATTCGAATGTCATGCATATTGACATATCAGTGAAGTTTCTGTTCAGTTTTTTATTATCTTTCCCAGATTGTATTATTTTAAGATCCTTTCACGGATCTGTGTTATTTGCTGTTGGACATACCTTGGTACTCACCGGATCATCTGTCAGACGGCCCAATTGTCAGACGGCTTATACCGGGATTAGGCAAGATGGAGTGCACTCGTCATTGTTACCTGTTTACCATTCGATTATCTATTATGTGTTTTAGTACTGATAAAAAAAAATATTTGTTATATATGTTTTTGTATTGTTACGATTTCCACTTTCGTATTGATATGATTTCATTTTTTATTTTTAGAAATTGATATAATTTCTTTGGCTGCTCTTTTTACATACGTTCTAGAAACTGTCCATCTCTCAGAAATAGAGTTAGTTTGGTCTTCACTATTGCATTAATTGGCTTTAGGAGCTCTATACGACAGACAGCGGATCTAACTGCATTTTTTCTTTCAACCGAGCCCGGGCTAGTCTTTGCATTCCAGTAACAGTCGGGAGGTGCTTATTAATTAAGTAGGTAAGACCAGGCAGTCATACTGGTCACAATGACTGTCTGATGATTGGCACGTCTGACAATTGGGAGTGAGCCATTGATAAACACACGTGCACAATTTTACACAATACGTATGGGTTGTATTTGAAAATACTTCATGACAATGGGTTTTCTTTCTGACTTGAACTTTCTAAACGATGCGGCTATTTACAAGTCATTTTTGGCTAGGGGCCAGTGGTCGCATTCTTTTGGAGACGCATTAATTTCACGTTTTACAGTATGTCAATACTAAATTGTTCATCTACTTGTACATAAGGTAACATTAATAAAATAAAATTGCAAGCAAAAGCAAATATGCGACAAACCCTTTCCACATTCATGCACAAGAAATCCCTGCCGAAAGTAGAGTCGATTGTACGATTCCGACTATATCATGAGCACTTGTGTGTGAATAACCAGGTGATACTAGTGGTTCGCGAAAAGGTAAGCGTATCCTGCCCCACCGGTGGCACCCGTCACAAACACATACAAAGGCAAGTCAATTGTTCACCTGAAAAAGCACGGTAACATATGGTACAAGTCAAAATATGGAATAGCATAAGCTATTCATTAATTTATACGCTGTTGTTAGGGAGGGGCCGTATTGGATAGATCATCAGTGTATACGCAAATAGGATACATTGTCAGTTATTTACGAGTGAGTGAGTGGGTTTAACAATTCGTTTAGCAGTATTGCAGTGTTGATAAGTGAAGTCCTCACATCCTGTCTTGCACGAGATGACTATAATATTGCTCAAAGCGTCGATAAACTTACTCAATTTTTCACTCTTGTTAAGGTGACTTCTCAACAACTCTAAGCCCTCTACTCATGCAACTGCGTCACGTAACAATACACATACGTAATATGTCAATTGGTTCATCAATAATGCGTAAGATGATGTCAAATTACCAATCTCAATTAAGTTGCATTGGAGACACATTATGAATCCTACAGGGTTTTCACAATGCGCCATTTGCATTGAAAGCTCTATGACCAGAACGTGCAAGTCTGAGGTCACATGATGCAATCACAGATCAGTCACCAGCATTCATTTCACGCAGCACATTCGACCACACCTGTAGATGTAGGCCAGAATGGCAGATCACACACGTGGGTTTTGTAACGCAAGTCATCTTAAGTATCATTGTATACTAACGTGGTTTATGGGTTTATAAGGAGCCAAATGTTCCGAAATAGAATAACAAGAATCCTTTCAAAATATTTTGTGTGTGTAAAGTATCGACAAAGTCATGTCGGTCGGTTGACATTATAAAAGAATATATAATTAAGTAACAAATGGTTTTGGGAATGACAAGTCACATGGTTATTTCCCTTCCCTTCCCTTCCCTGCCCTTCTGTGAAGGGTTCTTTTTTCTTTACTTATACAAAATATAAATTTAATTAGACATTTCATAAAAGTGTTGACCAACAAATTAGAAACAGGTTTTTGCGTTACTCATATGCTTCATGCAGCCGTATTGGTAAGATCGCATTTTGCACGAGGGTCTTAGCAAAATTTTATCAGGTCTAAACCATTTTGTCTGAAACGGAAGAAAGTTTATATTTAATTAAACAGGTTGGCAACGACATATCTTCCCCTAAATACGCTAACAAAACCTGAGTCTCAAAATACAAAACAATAATTCAATACGTGCACACGAAATTTAAATTGAAAGTTAACAAACATATTTATTCAATCAGTAAAATGATTGCTGATCCATCGATTAATTTACAGTTTCATGCAAGAAAAACATTTGGCGACAAAATAACACAAACATAAATTAACGCACTTTTGAACGTGTTTACGTAAAATAGGTTCTAACGACAAACAGCTGGGCTACTGCTCTGGACTCCCCCCGTGAAGACCCGGGTTAGAATTGTTTGGTTGGCAATATTCCAGCTATATGACGACGGTCTGTAAATAATCGAGTCTGGACCTGACAATCCAGTGATTGACACAATGAGCATCGGTCCACGCAATTGGGATCGATGACATGCTTCAACAAAGTCAGCGAGCCTGACCACCCGATCCCGTTAGTCGCTTTTTACGACAAGCATATTCGCCTTTTACGGCGAGCATGGGTTGCTGAAAACCTTTTCTACCCCGGATCTTCACGGGTAGGTTAGAATTGGCCTTCAGCAACCCATTCTTGTCGCAAGAGGCGACTAACGAGATCGGGTGGTTAGACTCGCTGTCTTGCTTGACGCATGTCATCGTATCCAAATTGCGTAGGTTGATGCTTGTGATGGCAATCACTGGATTGTCTGGTCCAAACTCGATAATTTACAGACCGCCACCATAGACAACAACAACAAACAAACAGACACTGAGAATAACTTGTGAGCAACCGATTCAAAAGTTGTTCACGAGTTTATTGTGTGTAAAGCATTCCTTCTATTCTTCCCTATTTATACAGGTTATACAAATGTGTGCTCCGACACCCTTTTTTGGACAGGTCTGCATATATTCATATATTTTCGGACTTGGACCTAAATGTAGGACTTCTGAATGAGAATAATGACTTGTAGCTGTGACTAGAAGCTGTTGTCACGTTAAAAACATTTGAAAGTTTGTAACCGTCAACATTCTTAATGATTCGCCATTTTGCGGTAATGCTTCTGTATCGAAAACCATGTGGTGAAGCTGAATGTTTTCTAATGACGTCAACAATGGAGGCCATGACGTCATCATCTATCTGACGTCATGACACATTACGTCACGACCGATGCAGGTGCGTGAAATCATTATTGTAAACCAAATAGTTAGTGTGTTCCTCAATCTGATTGGTCAGCCTACCTCGTCGATTTCCATTCAATTCCCACAAGTCCACATAATCCCATTAAGCGTATGAATATATAAATGGTACTATTTTATAAGGCAAGCCAAAATGTCTGTAGATAAGTTTTCCCTGCTGAATTTCAATATGGGATGCTATGTTGACGTCATCGGTTTTGACGTGGAAGCTAGATGCCATACTGGAAGAATTCCTGAATGATGATGACAAGTATTTAATTATGATTGACGCCTCTATCAAGTCTATGTTTACAATAGGACAATAAACGCTCATTGTGTGAATACTTTCTTGATGATGTAACGGCGTTAATTTGTATAATACTGTTAAAAATAAATACATCTGCAGACATTAAATATATATATGATTTGCTAAGTATGCATTACGATTGATAGGTTTCAGCACGATTTGAAGCGATTGAAGCGGAATAAACCCTGATGTTGAGATTCACGGCCACAACACCAGCGTTTTTCCATGCTGATTCGTGTCTGTAAATATTAACTTTCTCATACAGTAATCATAATAATACCACCGACAAAAGTGTGTAAAGCTGCAAATGTCAAGCTTTCCCTGATCCCAGCGGAATGACAAACAGATGCATGTTTATTTGTGGCACACTGAATTAGTCTGTTTAAGAGTTATGCCCCTTTGTTTCCCACCAATGATCCAGACAAATATCTGGTCAAGGCATTTCCTTGTGTTTTTGTTGTTACTGGATACCTGAAACGGTAAATATGACTAAGCTCCATACAGTAGCGAAGGACTCGCTACAGCAATAATTGAATGAACACAGCCATGCTGAGAGCTTTAGCGACAACTCGGGTGTTGAAAGCCGGTACGTACACATTTTTGTTCATTTCTTGTACGACCATCATTCATAGAACTGGTTTATACCTCAACTAGCAAGCCAGGGACAAGGTTAAAGAGGGACGAAAGGAGACGCCACCTGTCACGTCGGTGAGACTCTTTACAAATAATTTACATTTTTCAACCTTGGTTTTTCTCAAGTGGTTATCGTTTTGCTACAAGGCCTATTACATAGGCACAACAGAAATTTACCTGGGCATACACTTTTTTATACAATTATTTACAGTGATCTAGGGTCAAGGCTTGTTTATAGATTATGAATTAGTGCCAGTATTAGTGGTAACCATGTTTACAATCTCTCCATACTGCCACAGGGTGACGCACTGTAATGTGGCTAAGCGTGACCACACCTGTGTATTTTATGTAAGCATTTTGACAGGTTACAGCGGAAGATGTAGTACGTGTCAAATCTGCATTGACAAAGTTCGAATTAACTCCTGCTGGAACTAAAGTGTATTGTTTCTACACTGACCACAGGAATTCGATTCTGAACATAAATAATACTCCTCTTTTCTTAACCCATATGTCCTACGAGGCCTTAAAGGGGCACTGATCTAACGGACTGGTTGTTGCCTTTGTTATTGTTTTTCCCCCGTGAGTACCCGGATGATACGCAACGCAACTGAGCGTGACCAGAGACTGGGGTACCGTCTGCAAGGACAGCTAAATAAACTTGGAGGCTGGAGGCAATATTTGTTTTACGCATTTTTGAACACTGATTGGTTAACTGTGATCTATAAAGATTTCGACAAAGGGCGCATGTTAATTCATTTCTTCAGCCTAAACAAACAGACAAAAAGAACAAGGGAGCTCATCGGATGTCGTCATTTGGAAATACCCCAGATGGTTATAGTTTAATACTAAAAACAGTATCCATGCAGTGAAAGCATTTTCGGATTTCGGCTTGCGTCGATAATACGATTACTACTCCCTTTTGTCATCCACGTTTTCTCGTATAACCCTACACTTGTGTATTTGTCGTCATTCACTTGATGCTCAGTTAATGAATTTATTACAGGTACAATTAGTGGTAGCACCACTTATATTACCTGACAAAGGTTCCCATTTGGCATTTATTGTGTCTGGGGTAATTATTAAATCTAAATCCAGGTTTGAAGTGAGGTGAAATGTGTGTTATGTAATATGCACGTGGCAGCCCAGCAAGAGATGAATGATCAGTTGATTTACTTTTTTTGTAAATCAACGGATCGTTCCTAGTCATCAAAGGATTAACAGAAAATACGTCGATTGATTAATCACTGTTATCTTGCACAGTGGATATGTCAAGAGTGAGTGTTTACATGTCTAGGTTTACTAAAACAAAGGGAATACACTCATATCATGGCGCGAAGTGCCGATGTAAAAACAACATACTTTGTTCAAAGGGTTAACTGATAATACGTTGATTGATTGATCATTGTTATCTATCACTCAATGGAATTTTTAGGAACCGTGGACGCTATGAAAATAGTTGTCACGTGGGCTTTCTCAGCCGACCTTTGAGACTTGACACCTATGTAAAACACCTGAAACAATCCAAGCGATCAGTTGAGAAACGAACACGGGTTATAATATCCCGAAACAATATATATCTTTTAAAATATTTGATTGTTACTGAGACACGTGACATCGAATAAGTTTCTTTGTGCAGCTGCAGACGAGTGGGATATTGTTCCTTTGTGTGGATATTCACGGATACATTCCTCGAACAAGGAAGCTGCCTAAAACTTATACACATAAATTTGGTAGGTTGTAATTATGATATCTGCATTTTGTTTTCCTTCATTTGAACCGATTCGTTCTTGTTTCACTACGTCTTGGTTGGGAAATTCAATGCGCGATAGACGTTGTTGTCACAGGTCTTTTCCTTTGTAAGCGTGTATATATTACCGTCAATTTGTAAAATGTGATTCTCTCAGGCAATTTATAAAATGTGTAAATATTTCAGTCATTTTGACTAAAAAATCTGCCCAGGTTGATTAAGACGATCAAAAGGGCCTACAAACATCACAACAGATTATTATGTAGGATTAAAAGCCAAACAACTTAGACATGTACTTTTCAACGTAACATTTTCAGTCTCTTGGTGATGACATTAAACATCAAAATGTTTGGAATTCGTTGTCATAATAATACAGATGGAAATGTTTTTCAGTCACTTTGTAAAATAACTGAATATTTAGACGTTTAATAAATTTGTTACACACGGATACAAAGCGGGCACTGATCTAACGCAATTCCCCGGGACTGGTTGTTGCCTTTGTTATTGTTTTTTCCCAGTGAGTACCCGGATGTATAGCAGAAATCTAGACTAGTTCGCGACCTCTGCTGCGCCATTCGTAAGCGCATAAGTCACTTTTATGGGTAGTAATAAGGGCGTATGGTCACATTGATCAACAAAATGAAATACAGTTTTCGAGATAATAAGGAAATGTAGGTATCTTTGTGGGTAGCATCGGTAATGGTGACGAAGTTTTGATAAGTCACTTGCTTGGTAATTTTGCGATTTTCGTTTACACTATTTTGACTTGCAACACAAAGTAAATATTTCACCTGAGCATTGCTTTTTTTATAGTGTGTATATTTTTTTACTGTCAAATGTGTAACAAATTTATTAAACGTCTAAATATTCAGTTATTTTACAAAGTGACTGAAAAACATTTCCATCTGTATTATTATGATAACGAATTCCAAACATTTTGATGTGTAATGTCATCACCAAGAGACTGAAAATTTTACGTTGAAAAGTACATTCTATGTTGTTTGGCTTCTAATCCTACATAATAATCTGTTGTGATGTTTGTAGGCCCTTTTGATCGTCTTAATCAACCTGGGCAGATTTTTTAGTCAAAATGACTGAAATATTTACACATTTTATAAATTGCCTGAGAGAATCACATTTTACAAATTGACGGTAATATATACACGCTTACAAAGGAAAAGACATGTGAAAACTACGTCTATCGCGCATTGAAGAATGTCCCAACCAAGACGTAGAGAAACAAGAACGAATCGGTTCAAATGAAGGAAAACAAAATGCAAATTTCATAATTACAACCTACCAAATTTATGTGTATAAATTTTAGGTAGCTTCCTTGTTCGAGGAATGTATCCGTGAATATCCACACAAAGCAACAATATCCCACTTGTCTGTAGCTGTACAAAGAAACTTATTCGATGTCACGTGTCTCAGTAACAATCAAAAATGATATTTTAAAAGATATATATCGTTTCGGGATATTATAACCCGTGTTCGTTTCTCAACTGATCACTTGGATTGTTTCAGGTGTTTTACATAGGTGTCAAGTCTCAATGGACGGCTGAGAAAGCGCACGTGACAACTAACGTCCACGGTTGCTAAAAAATCCATTGAGTGATAGATAACAATGATCAATCAATAAACGTATTATCAGTTAACCCTTTGAACAAAGTATGTTGTTTTTACATCGGCACTTCACGCCATGATATGAGCGTATTCCCTTTGTTTTAGTAAACCTAGACGTGTAAACACTCACTCTTGACATATCCACTGTGCAAGATAACAGTGATTAATCAATCAACGTATTTTCTGTTAATCCTTTGATGACTAGGAACGATCCGTTGATTTACAAAAAAAAGTAAATCAACTGATCATTCATCTCTTGCTGGGCTGCCACGTGCATATTACATAACACACATTTCAACTCACTTCAAACCTGGATTTAGATTGAATAATTACCCCAGACACAATAAATGCCAAATGGGAACTTTTGTCAGGTAATCTAAGTGGCGCTACCACTAATTGTACCTGTAATAAATTCATTAACTGAGCACCAAGTGAATGACGACAAATACACAAGTGTAGGGGTTATACGAGAAAACGTGGATGACAACAAGGGAGTAGTAATCGTATTATCGACGCAAGCCGAAATCCGAAAATGCTTTCCTTGCATGGATACTTTTTTTAGTATTAAACTATAACCATCTGGGGTATTTCCAAATGACGACATGCGATGAGCTCCCTTGTTCTTTTTGTCTGTTTGTTTAGGCTGAAGAAATGAATTAACATGCGCCCTTTGTCGAAATCTTTATAGATCACAGTAAACCAATCAGTGTTTATGCAAAAATGCGTAAAACAAATATTGCCTCCAGCCTCCAAGTTTATTTAGCTGTCCTTGCAGACAGTAGCCCAGTCTCTGGTCACGCTCAGTTGCGTTGCGTATCATCCGGGTACTCACGGGGGAAAAAACAATAACAAAGGCAACAACCAGTCCGGGGAATTGCGTTAGATCAGTGCCCCTTTAAGTATCATTTAAGGCGATTTGGTAAGATTTTGTCAGTTGCATTCATTTTGGGTTTGGGCAGAGAATTATATACCTTCACATGACAGGATCAAGAGTTTGTCAGCACCTTTCTTGTGCTTGTGTCTTTCACCTAAGTGATACATGCTTCTTAAGTCACATGACCATGATAAACTGAAATACTGTTCAAATTGTCATTAAACCCAACCCACACCATCTACAATAGCTCAGAAAAAACAGTCAGCATAATCAGTAACAAATAGAGCATAATTTATAATTCAGAAATGTTAAACTATGTTTAAGAATAGGTGTGTGTATTAAAATTTTCCAAAATCAAAATGTTACATTTACAAGACAACACAATACATGATGCTGCTGAATATTTGACTCCATGTGATAAAGCCAATGTTGATCAGAACCAGATTAAAATTAGATTTTTTCTTCAGATACAACATTGTACAATACCTCTCTGTGTGAAGCTCTGACGACACTGGCAACACCTTCATAGAAGGTCATGTTTGGTAAACTTTCCAATAAGCCAATCAGCATTGAGGCAAATGAGTGAGTGAAGCATTCGGACCAGCATATCTCATTTCTATATCTCAAACAAACTTAAAACACCAGTTTGAATGTTAATAATTAAGGCCATGCCATGATATCGTTATTGATACAGTAAACTACGGTCATAACAAACTTAAAGGGGCCACTAATTTTGGTACTTTATGAACGTACAGTCAACTACGGTTATAACGAACTCGCTTATAACGAACTCACGGATATAACGAACTTACTTTTTGGTCCCGACTATTTGCTGTAGTTATGCTGTATATATGCTTATAACGAACTATGGTTATAACGAACTAAAATTAGAAGTCCCTTTGAGTTTGTTATAACCGAGGTTTACTGTAGTTCATTATTAGCATTTGGACTGAATTATCTCCCTCTTGTTGTCGCATTTAAAGACAGAAGATATCCACTTCACAGGCTGTAGCCTAATCACATTTTTACTATTTTTATTTGAGAGAGTAAAATGAGGACAAGGTGTCAGTACTTAATGCAGTTAATCACTTGCCTGCAATTGTTTATTGTTGCTTTGTTGCCACGCATGGCCATGGGTGTTTTGAAAGTCTGATTTGTGACAGGTGAGCAACGCAGAGACTAACAATTCGAAATAAACAGCATTGTTGTAGACAAAGTGCACACGCAACCGTGAAGTGATTTCGCTTTATCCGTTATTTCGTTATAAGCATGTTCGTAATATCCATCAATTTTATGTGATTAAATATGCAGCCATCGACCAAGGACAGAAAAAACAGTTTGTTATATCTGTCAGTTTGTTGTAAGCGTGTTCGCTATAAACATAGTTTTCTTTATTTTATAGCCTTGTCAATTCTTATTGAAGGAAAGTTTTCTTTTGTAACGATCAGAATTTCTTAAATTAGGTTGCCAATGGATCAGATAGTCCGTAGTTCAAGAGAGTCTGGAATTTAAAGTTAGCCAACTTTACACGAAAGCTTATGATGAAATAATGGCAGTAATCATGATCATGTGGACTGAGTGTACAGAATAAAGCATGAAAGTCAACGTGTTCAAGGGGGCCATGTACTGTTCAAGCACTACCATGACTACAGGAAAAAAAGACAGTACCCAGGATCCCGACCCACTACCATGACAACCAATCTCATTAAAATCAGATCTAAGTGTCTCGCTGCTGCTAAAAAAAGATCTGAGGACATCCCACCAACGTCAGTCCGACCTTGCACGAACTTTGACCGACCAATGGAATGACCAATCAGAAGACAGCTTTCTCGTGCTTTACAGCACTAATTTCAAATTGGCGACTACGCTTCGAAACATATTTTGAAAAATTCTCGATTAAAAATTTGAAACCTGAACAAAAGAACATTCTGGAATCGCTAATAAATGGTTTAAATTGTTTTTGGATTCAGTCGTAAAATCCGTTACTATCGTTTTCGGAATACCACGTGTTAAAGTTTTCGAGGATGCATGATTAGAAATCACATTCCGACTGTCACTTTCATGATCTGGTAAGCGACGCAGTGATTGGTCGGATGAAAAGGTCGTTCTGACGTGACCCCTACTGGGATGTCCTCAGATCTTTGTTTAGCGATAGCGAGAGCTAAGACTTGATTTTAATGAGATTGCTAGACTACAGGAGCAAACGTCAGGGTACCCAGGATCCCCACCCCTTAGTTTTTAACACTGTGAAGTTCAATTGGTTGGTTGCCATGGTGATTATGTACACTTCATTGAACTGACCACTAAACAGGCTGAAATGTCCCAACTGTTGGCTCCTGCAGATGGTGGATTAAAACTGACTTTGTATGAAACATAATGTTTCATAAGCCAACATTGTTTTGAATGTATATTTAGATTATAGAGACTTCCATTAGAAATTATTAGCACCTTAATATCATTTAAACAAGCACATTTAATTATCTTAAACAAAAGAGCCTCAAGAACAGGTCTCAACAAACCCTTCCATTAGTGTATAGGCGGTAATTAATATGCTAATGATACTACTTAGCCAAAGCTAATACTTGATTCCAGATCTCCATAATCAGGTGACAAACATATTGCGGTCTAGTTCTTGTTATTTATTATGATTAAATTTAAAAAAATGATTCATGTTGTTTTCCTTCATCTACTGTAGTTAATACAATAAAAGTGATACCCTTCAACACATTAAAAAAGGTTTGCATATATCGTGCATGTGTATCACTTCTAAATGCCTTTCAAAGACCTGATCGTGTATGTTATATAATATGGTAATAACACTTTAAAGAATGTTTGCATACATCATATTTGTTATTTATATGGTAATAATCCTTTTAAAAATCATATTGATTTACCTTGCAGTGTAAATTTGTTATTTTTACAGAAGTCAAGTGTGTTGAGAAGGTTTTGAGAAACTACTCCAGCATGGCTGATTTGGTGAGTTTGACAAGCCTAGCCCTGCACAGCGTCATGTGTCTAATTATCTCGATGTAGTTAGGGTAAGAGGTTGATGGGAATATTTTTGTTTTTATTTCGTATTTTTTTAAATAACTTTTAACCAAAATGGCTGCCTCAGAACAGATGTGATTTGCAATGTTTCTCGTATAAGTTGTAGGTCAAAATATCTGCAGCTGCGATAATCTAATGTGAAATAGAGGTGAATTTGAACATGCTGAATGTAAACTATGGATTTCCCGACAGCGGTTTCCAGCAGGAAGAAACATTTGGGTTTTAAAATTACTTATTAAATCTTATTCAATTACTCATCCCACATGTTCCAAGCATTCAAAATGGCAGTGTGCACTCGTTTCCGGAGCAGATCTTGAACCCTGTACAATATATCTTGCCTTGCACACATCTGGACATGTCGTATTGGCGGGGGATATGAGTATTTGATGCTTGTTGTCCTTTGAGGTTCACTGCACATACTGGTGACAGTGGTATTTATCACTTATCAAAGTGGGACCGCCTCTGTGGTCTAATGGTAGAGCATCCGCCTGGAGAGCGGAAGGTCCGGGGTTCGATCCCCGACCGCGTCATACCAAAAGACGTTAAAAGATGGTACTTGTTGTTAACCTGTCAGGTGCTAGGCATTAAGGGGCTAAAACAAGGACTGGTCGGCTCGGAGTCAGTATACTGTGTCTGAGTGGGGTATTCATGTTAAACTGCGGCAGGGTATCTCAGTGAGCTAGCACTTTAAATCGGCATCAGTCCGGCCTAGCACAAGCAGCCACACACACATACACGTGCATGTACGTCGCTATATAAGTGCAATAATCTTGGACGCGATGTTAAACCCCAATTCACCTCACCTTATCAAAGTGGGCATCATTAATATTCTATGTCAAGTTGAGGGAAAAGATGGTCTCTCCTTGACTGTGGTGTGACAACATGTCATATTTGAAAGTGTCCATGTCAAACCCCGGGTATGCCAAGGAGATACTGCTAGGAAGACAACCAGGAGTTAGCGTGAGAACATACGTAAAAAGAAACGATATGAGATTAGTTGTAGAATGTTCTGTATTAGGTGTCCCCCGCTGTGATATCGCTGGAATATTGCTAAAAGCAGCGTAAGGCCATACTCGCTCACTGACTCCTACTGCCTTCACATCCATCCACCTCACTAGCCTACGTAACATGCCTAACTCAATTTGTGAGGACTCAGTATGCTTCAGGATGCCAAGGACTTTACTGTACTGGGCTAGATAATTTCTACTAATTGGACATTTCAATTTCAGGACTCTTTTGTTCTGAGTTACTGTAGTGACGACTTTGTGCCCCAAACAGCACGATGGGGAGACCAAGATGTCAAAGTCAGCAAGGTAATTTTCTTTGTCACTCTACCAGGTACCCAAGTCCCCAGTAACCCAGGTTTATTGCCGGCCGCAATTGGGGGGTCACATTGTGTGGCCTGACTGATAGTGTGTCTCTCTACCTGGTCCCCAGGTCCCTAGATATCCAGGTCCCTAGTAACCCAGGTTTATTGCCGGCTGACGATTTGGGGTCACATTGTGTGGCCTGACTGATAGTGTGTCTCTCTACCTGGTCTCCAGGTCCCTAGGTATCCAGGTCCCTAGTAACCCAGGTTTATTGCCGGCTGACGATTTGGGGGTCACATTGTGTGACCTGACTGATACTGTGTCTCTCTACCTGGTCCCCAGGTCCCTAGGTATCCAGGTCCCTAGTAACCCAGGTTTATTGCCGGCTGACGATTTGGGGGTCACATTGTGTGACCTGACTGATAGTGTGTCTCTCTACCTGGTCTCCAGGTCCCTAGGTATCCAGGTCCCTAGTTACCCAGGTTTATTGCCGGCTGACGATTTGGGGTCACATTGTGTGACCTGACTGATAGCGTGTCACTGTACCTGGTACCCAGGTCTCCAATGAGGTTATTTAGGCTTAAACAAATAAAAGAATTGGCTCTCAGGCAATGACATTTGAAAATATAGTGTGGGTGTGCGGTGGTTTTTGGATTTTCTTTGCTTGTTCAAACAAGTACATACCCAAATTAGTTGTGTACCATCAAGCTGGGAAAGGGCCTCCCTACATCAACAAGCATATTAACTCATATTGCTGCCATGACCATAACGCGAGGTGCGCAGTAATGCAGTGATCATTTAAAGGGAAGTAACTGCATGCTATATTGGATCACATTGTTTTTAAGTATTATAATTTTTATATATTTTTTAAAATGGAAATAAAAACAAACATGTGTCAAACTTTATGATGATGCGGGGTGGTGCCTGAGATTCAAGACTATTATTTTTTGTAGCCTTAACAATAACAGTAATAATACGGAAATAATTAGGACTCTTTCTATGAAATGGTTGTGACTATAATCAGTGATTATACCTTTTGGATATTTTTGCCTCGGAACTTTTTTCAACAAATTCACAGATTTGATCTAATCAGCTACTGAAGGTTAGCTGACAGCCATGTTGTTGTTTTGGGAACAACTGGATATGATGTTCTTCATTGATGTCTTGAATGTTGTGTAAAAGCTTGATGTAGCTGCCACCATTTTGAATGTAGTTTCTAATTGTTTCTGATGTGCCCCAGTTTGACAAGGAGTTGACGAGTCGGTGGGACGAGTGTATGGAGAAGGGAGTGTTCCGGTACGACATGCAGCACCTCGACACCAGGGTGGTCCCCGGACCCAAGGCATACGTCGCCCAGGTACGCCAGTTTTAGTGTAGGCTCTGAAGCCACATCACTACACTGACAGTTAGTTCCAGAAATAAAGTTTAATCTCATTTAATAATATATATACCGGTACACAAAGTATTAGGTAAAATGCTTAATTCTAGACTTTCTAGACTTTAGTTGGACTCCTTTTTAATATATTCTCTAGGGTCTTGAAGACGGACTACTAATCATCACCCAATTCATTTTTTAGGCTTATGTTGCATATGATGTGAAATATCAATTAATTTTTACAATAGCAAAATATTTTATTTTATTTTTTATGGCTAAGCTTCCTTGGGAATCTAAGGTACTATGTCATGGCGTGTGTGCAACAAATCTGCATCTGGTACAAAAACAATATTGCTTAAACATTGCTTGACACAAAACATAATATAAGCATGATTAGGAGCAGTGGCTATGTGGGGGACTGGCGAGCCATGACAAACAAGAAATTAATTTAAGCCAACCTAACCTGAAGTATGTTTTATGTTTGTATTAAGTATGTGCTCCACAAACCTCTCCTGCTTCCTGTTTCAGCTGAACAGTCTGCGTGCCACGGAGAGGAGGAAGCCCCAGACTATCATGAGTGTCAGTCAGCCGTTCAATCCAGACCTCTTCAACTTCACTAAAGTCGGCACAAAAGAAATCTTGTTCAGTCTGCAAAACACAGATGACTCCGCAAGCAATGGAGCTACCGTGAATGGCACAGTCGATAGTGCACAGGTACTGAATAGTGGGATGGAGTGAGTGAGTGAATGCTCTGGTCAGTGGTGTGCAGTAATACATTTAGATCAATTATCTACACCGGTTCTTCAAAATTAAGCTTGACAGTCAACATGGTCAAGGGGTCCTTGCCGTAACCCTAATTTTAAAAGATTTAGGGGATCCTGGGGTAGAATAGGTCTTCAGCAACCCATGCTTGCCTTAAAAGGCGACAATGCTTTCGTAAGAGGCGACTAAGGGGAGCGGGGGGTTAGGCTCGTTGACTTGGTTGATGCATGTCATCCTATCCCAATTACGTGGATTGATGCTCCTGATGTCAATCACAGGATTGTCCCGTCTAGACTTGATTGTTTACAGGTCGCTGTCAACTAGGTGGAATATTCCTGAGTGCGGCGTTAAACAACAAACAACTACTACAGGAGCAAACAGCTGTAACCCCTTAATTTCTTGAATTCATCTTGAATGTGGCAAATAATTATCAGATCCTAAGAGAGCAGATCATGCCAGTTGGGTCTGGTGACAACCCCCTTTGCCATTGTGGACAGCCAATCCCCAAATAAACATCCTTACAAGTGAAGACAGCCATTGACACATCTGGTTCTTGCCCACCCACTCACTCACTCACTCACTCACTCACTCACTCACTCACTCACTCACTCACTCACTCACTCACTCACTCACTCACTCACTCACTCTGAAGTCAACTGTTAATACTTGATATTAAAGGCATTAGCACATGCAGCAGTGAGGTGGTTTCTTGACATGTGGTTCCGCTGACATGTGATATGGTCATGTTGATAACAGTATATATATGGTTCAGATTCAGTCATGTGTTGTGTGTCTGTTACTAAATGATGGTGTGTGTGACCTTCCCAGGAACCCGAGCGCCACATCATCATCATCAATGTCAGCCCCCTGGAGTATGGACATGTGCTCATAGTGCCACAGGTGAACCGCTGTTACCCACAGGTGAGACTTCATGGGCACAGGTGAACTTACCTTGCTTACAGGTGACAGTTTGGGGTGCAGTTGAACTAATATGCACAGGTAAAACTTACTGGGAAACAGGAGTACTAATGTTGTGCTCAGATGAAACATACTGGGAAACAGGAGTACTAATGTTGTGCTCAGATGAAACATACTGGGAAACAGGAGTACTAATGTTGTGCTCAGATGAAACAGACTGAGGAACAGGTGTACTAATGTTGTGCTCAGGTGAAACTTACTGAGACAGGCGTACTAATGTTGTGCAGAGGTGAAACATACTGAGACAGGCATACTAATGTTGTGCACAGGTGAAACTTACTGAGACAGGCGTACTAATGTTGTGCTCAGGTGAAACTTACTGAGACAGGCGTACTAATGTTGTGCACAGGTGAAACATACTGAGACACAAGTTTACTAATGTTGTGCTCAGGTGAAACTTACTGGGAAACAGGTGTACTAATGTTGTGCTCAGGTGAAACTTACTGGGAAACAGGTGTTCTAATGTTGTGCTAAGGTGAACTTTTTTGGAAACAGGCGTACTATTGTTGTGCTCAGGTGAAACATTCTGAGACAAGTTTACTAATGTTGTGCTCAGGTGAAACTTACTGGGGTACAGGTGTACTAATGTTGTGCTCAGGTGAAACTTACTGGGAAACAGGCGTACTATTGCTCAGGTGAAACATTCTGAGATTAGTTTACTAATGTTGTGCTCAGGTGAAACTTACTGGGGTACAGGTGTACTAATGTTGTGCACAGGTGAAACATACTGGGACACAGGTGTACTGATGTTGTGCACAGGTGAAACATACTGGGACACAGGTGTACTGATGTTGTGCACAGGTGAAACATACTGGGACACAGGTGTACTGATGTTGTGCACAGGTGAAACATACTGGGGTACAGGTGTACTTAACCCTACCCACAGGTGTACTAATGACACTAAACATATCCAAACAGACCAACTTTTATGGGTTTTTACAAAATCGCTACTGGGCTACATGGGCTGGACTATCTAACAAGTAATGACAACAGTATACAAGGTGACATGAACCATGCTGACAGGTGTCTGATGTTGTGCAGAGGTGTACTAGTGATAGTAAAGATATCCATACAGACCGACTTGTACTGGGCTACTTGGGCTGGACTATCTAACGCGTAATGACAACAGTATACAAGGTGACATGAACCATGCTGATAGGTGTCTGATGTTGTGCAGAGGTGTACTAGTGATAGTAAAGATATCCATACAGACCGACTTGTACTGGGCTACTTGGGCTGGACTATCTAACGCATAATGACAACAGTATACAAGGTGACATGAACCATGCTGACAGGTGTCTGATGTTGTGCAGAGGTGTACTAGTGATAGTAAAGATATCCATACAGACCGACTTGTACTGGGCTACTTGGCCTGGACTATCTAACGCGTAATGACAACAGTATACAAGGTGACATGAACCATGCTGATAGGTGTCTGATGTTGTGCAGAGGTGTACTAGTGATAGTAAAGATATCCATACAGAACGACTTGTACTGGGCTACTTGGGCTGGACTATCTAACGCGTAATGACAACAGTATACAAGGTGACATGAACCATGCTGACAGGTGTCTGATGTTGTGCAGAGGTGTACTAGTGATAGTAAAGATATCCATACAGACCGACTTGTACTGGGCTACTTGGCCTGGACTATCTAACAAGTAATGACAACAGTATACAAGGTGTCATGAACCATGCTGACAGGTGTCTGATGTTGTGCAGAGGTGTACTAGTGATAGTAAAGATATCCATACAGACCGACTTGTACTGGGCTACTTGGGCTGGACTATCTAACGCGTAATGACAACAGTATACAAGGTGACATGAACCATGCTGACAGGTGTCTGATGTTGTGCAGAGGTGTACTAGTGATAGTAAAGATATCCATACAGACCGACTTGTACTGGGCTACTTGGCCTGGACTATCTAACGCGTAATGACAACAGTATACAAGGTGACATGAACCATGCTGACAGGTGTCTGATGTTGTGCAGAGGTGTACTAGTGATAGTAAAGATATCCATACAGACCGACTTGTACTGGGCTACTTGGCCTGGACTATCTAACAAGTAATGACAACAGTATACAAGGTGTCATGAACCATGCTGACAGGTGTCTGATGTTGTGCAGAGGTGTACTAGTGATAGTAAAGATATCCATACAGAACGACTTGTACTGGGCTACTTGGGCTGGACTATCTAACGCGTAATGACAACAGTATACAAGGTGACATGAACCATGCTGACAGGTGTCTGATGTTGTGCAGAGGTGTACTAGTGATAGTAAAGATATCCATACAGACCGACTTGTACTGGGCTACTTGGCCTGGACTATCTAACGCGTAATGACAACAGTATACAAGGTGACATGAACCATGCTGACAGGTGTCTGATGTTGTGCAGAGGTGTACTAGTGATAGTAAAGATATCCATACAGACCGACTTGTACTGGGCTACTTGGCCTGGACTATCTAACGCGTAATGACAACAGTATACAAGGTGACATGAACCATGCTGACAGGTGTCTGATGTTGTGCAGAGGTGTACTAGTGATAGTAAAGATATCCATACAGACCGACTTGTACTGGGCTACTTGGCCTGGACTATCTAACAAGTAACTACAACAGTATACAAGGTGACATGAACCATGCTGACAGGTGTCTGATGTTGTGCAGAGGTGTACTAGTGATAGTAAAGATATCCATACAGACCGACTTGTACTGGGCTACTTGGCCTGGACTATCTAACAAGTAACTACAACAGTATACAAGGTGACATGAACCATGCTGACAGGTGTCTGATGTTGTGCAGAGGTGTACTAGTGATAGTAAAGATATCCATAGAGACCGACTTGTACTGGGCTACTTGGCCTGGACTATCTAACAAGTAACTACAACAGTATACAAGGTGACATGAACCATGCTGACAGGTGTCTGATGTTGTGCAGAGGTGTACTAGTGATAGTAAAGATATCCATACAGACCGACTTGTACTGGGCTACTTGGCCTGGACTATCTAACAAGTAACTACAACAGTATACAAGGTGACATGAACCATGCTGACAGGTGTCTGATGTTTCAGGTTCTCACCGAGACTTCTATCAAGGTTGGCCTGGAGTCCATGCTTCTCAGCAGCCACAGGTAGGCACACTCACGTGCAGACTCACTTGCCGACTCACTTGCCGACTCACTTGCAGACTTACTTGCAGACTCACTTGCAGACTTACTTGCCGACTCACTTGCAGACTTACTTGCCGACTCACTTGCAGACTTACTTGCAGACTTACTTGCACACTCACTTGCAGACTCACTTGCAGACTCACTTGCAGACTCACTTGCACACTCACTTGCACACTCACTTGCAGACTCACTTGCACACTCACTTGCACACTCACTTGCACACTCACTTGCACACTCACTTGCACACTCACTTGCAGACTCACTTGCAGATTCACTTGCACACTCACTTGCACACTCACTTGCACACTCACTTGCAGACTCACTTGCAGACTCACTTGCAGACTTACTTGCAGACTTACTTGCAGACTTACTTGCACACTCACTTGCAGACTCACTTGCAGACTTACTTGCACACTCACTTGCACACTCACTTGCAGACTCACTTGCACACTCACTTGCAGACTCACTTGCAGACTCACTTGCACACTCACTTGCAGACTCACTTGCACACTCACTTGCAGACTCACTTGCACACTCACTTGCACACTCACTTGCACACTCACTTGCACTCTCACTTGCACACTCACTTGCACACTCACTTGCACACTCACTTGCACACTCACTTGCACACTCACTTGCACACTCACTTGCACTCTCACTTGCACACTCACTTGCACACTCACTTGCACACTCACTTGCACACTCACTTGCAGACTTACTTGCACACTCACTTGCACACTCACTTGCCGACTCCAAGATGTCACTGATACAGTGTCCCCGATTGGCCCTCATTACAATCTTCGGTTTATCATCACCATACTCTACATTTGTTTTTCACAAAAGTATATGTATATACCATCTTCACTTTGGACTTTCTTCCAACCTCAAACTGCCCTGCTGTGATATACAGTAACTGAAATATTTTCCGAAGCTGGTTTTAAATTTCAGTCTCACAAACACTCCCAGTTACCTATGTTTAAAGGGGCGGTAGGGTAGCCCTGAAGTGGAAGCATTTGCTCATTGTAACGATGGCCTAGGTTCGATTCTTTACAAAGGTGCAATGTGCCAAGCCTATTTCTGGTAGTCCATGATGTGATATTGCTGGAATAGAGTTGTAACTGTACTTACACCCTCCCTCCCTCCCTCCCTCCCTCCCTCACTCACTCACTCACTCACTCACTCACTCACTCAAACTGCTCCTGTCATCACAGATAAAATTAATTCAAAAATGAAGAAGTAACATTTTAGGTCAGGGAAAGATGAAATGAGTCGCATACATGATTGTCTGTGTGCACCAGGATGTGCATATGATGGGTATTTCTGTTTCCAGGGGTTTCCGGATCGGCTTCAACAGTCTGTGTGCCTACGCCTCAGTGAACCACCTACACATGCATGCCTACTACCTGGAACAGCAGCTCCTGGTGGAATACTGTGTGAGTACACATAGCTGCCATGTAGAGTCTGTATACAGAGAGGGGCGGTGGGGTGGCCGAGTGGGTAAAGTGTTCACTAGTTATTCCAAAGGTCCAGGTTCAATTCTCCTCATTGGTACAATGTGAAGGCCAGTTACTGTGTCCCCAGCTGTGATATTGCTGGAATCAGCATACAACCATACTCATTCACTATATACAGAGTGAGTGAGTTGGGTTTAACACCGCTTTTAACAGTATTCCAGTTATATCGCGGCGTGTCAGCTGAATGTGGGAGGAAAGCCCGAAGTGATGCAGGTCTTAGACGTTTACCACTTCGGTGAAAGCCACGAACACAGGTATGGTGCTGACAAATCTAGAAACATTATCGGGGCGAACCGGGATTCGAACCCACAATCATAGGTTTCTGGCGTGACCAAAGGACGCACAACTCTGCACAGCGAATGGCAGCGCCTTAGACGACTGGGCCACCCGTGCCCCCCACTATATACAGAGCTGTCATGTTGTGTCATATAGTGTTTGTACATAGCTGTCAAGTAGTATTTGCCTGTTTTACAATCCCCTCAGTGATTTACCTAGAATATGGCTGATCATGCCTTTTTGCAACAAACAAATATAAAGCTCTGTCTCCGAGGGCATTGCTAGTCCCTCAGGCATGCCAGAATCTTACTGTTTATTTTCCAAGTTTATCAAGTCCATGTCAGTGTCCTCACAGGTGTCAACAAAGTCGTCAACAAGACCTTGCATCACCTCAGACAGAATTAAGCTCACATGCTGTGATATGACTGAAATGCTGATCAAAGTAACATTAAACAGTTCAACTAAAACTCACAGTTACCCTATAAAAGATATGTCTGGCCATATCAAACAGAAGCTTTCATTCTTAGATAACCCCTGACCATAAGTGGATGTTTTTTTTGTGAATGTGCGTGATTGTTTGCAGGATGTAAAATCTCTGGGGCACCATGTACACGAGCTCACCATCATGCCTTGTCACGGGTTTGCCTTTCAACTTCATGGGACCACAGTCACCCAGATAGCCAGGTAACAGAGATCTTGTACACCCTGCTCAGCTTAGAGTTAGCAATGAACTCCAGTTCCCTAGCAGAACGTTCCCACCCAGATAGCCAGGTAACAGAGATCTTGTACACCCTGCTCAGCTTAGAGTTAGCAATAAACTCCAGCTCCCTAGCAGAATGTCCCCACCCAGATAGCCAGGTGACAGAGATCTTGTACACCCTGCTCAGCTTAAAGTTAATTAGCAATAAACTCCAGTTCCCTAGCAGAACGTCCCCACCCAGATAGCCAGGTAACAGAGATCTTGTACACCCTGCTCAGCTTAGAGTTAGCAATAAACTCCAGCTCCCTAGCAGAATGTCCCCACCCAGATAGCCAGGTGACAGAGATCTTGTACACCCTGCTCAGCTTAAAGTTAATTAGCAATAAACTCCAGTTCCCTAGCAGAACGTTCCCACCCAGATAGCCAGGTAACAGAGATCTTGTACACCCTGCTCAGCTTAAAGTTAGCAATAAACTCCAGTTCCCTAGCAGAATGTCCCAACCCAGAAAACCAGGTAACAGAGATCTGGTACACCCTGCTCAGCTTAAAGTTAGCAATAAACTCCAGTTCCCTATCAGAATGTTCCCATCCAAATAGCCAGGTAACAGAGATCTTGAACACCCTGCTCAGCTTAGAGTTAATTAGCAATAAACTCCAGTTCCCTATCAGAATGTTCCCATCCAAATAGCCAGGTAACAGAGATCTTGTACACCCTGCTCACCTTAAAGTTAATTAGCAATAAACTCCAGTTCCCTAGCAGAACGTCCCCACCCAGATAGCCAGGTAACAGAGATCTTGTACACCCTGCTCAGCTTAAAGTTAATTAGCAATAAACTCCAGTTCCCTATCAGAACGTCCCCACCCAGATAGCCAGGTAACAGAGATCTTGTACACCCTGCTCAGCTTAAAGTTAGCAATAAACTCCAGTTCCCTAGCAGAACGTTCCCACCCAGAAAGCCAGGAAACAGAGATCTTGTACACCCTGCTCAGCTTAAAGTTAGCAATAAACTCCAGTTCCCTAGCAGAACGTCCCCACCCAGACAGCCAGGTAACAGAGATCTTGTACACCCTGCTCAGCTTAAAGTTAGCAATAAACTCCAGCTCCCTAGCAGAACGTCCCCACCCAGATAGCCAGGTGACAGAGATCTTGTACACCCTGCTCAGCTTAAAGTTAATTAGCAATAAACTCCAGTTCCCTAGCAGAACGTTCCCACCCAGATAGCCAGGTGACAGAGATCTTGTACACCCTGCTCAGCTTAGAGTAAGCAATAAACTCCAGTTCCCTAGCAGAATGTCCCAACCCAGAAAACCAGGTAACAGAGATCTGGTACACCCTGCTCAGCTTAAAGTTAGCAATAAACTCCAGTTCCCTATCAGAATGTTACCATCCAAATAGCCAGGTAACAGAGATCTTGTACACCCTGCTTAGCTTAGAGTTAATTAGCAATAAACTCCAGTTCCCTATCAGAACGTCCCCATCCTGATAGCCAGGTAACAGAGATCTTGTACACCCTGCTCACCTTAAAGTTAATTAGCAATAAACTCCAGCTCCCTAGCAGAATGTCCCCACCCAGATAGCCAGGTGACAGAGATCGTGTACACCCTGCTCAGCTTAAAGTTAATTAGCAATAAACTCCAGTTCCCTAGCAGAACGTCCCAACCCAGAAAACCAGGTAACAGAGATCTGGTACACCCTGCTCAGCTTAAAGTTAGCAATAAACTCCAGTTCCCTATCAGAATGTTCCCATCCAAATAGCCAGGTAACAGAGATCTTGTACACCCTGCTCAGCTTAAAGTTAGCAATAAACTCCAGTTCCCTATCAGAACGTCCCCATCCTGATAGCCAGGTAACAGAGATCTTGTACACCCTGCTCACCTTAAAGTTAATTAGCAATAAACTCCAGTTCCCTAGCAGAACGTTCCCACCCAGATATCCAGGTAACAGAGATCTTGTACACCCTGCTCAGCTTAAAGTTAGCAATAAACTCCAGTTCCCTATCAGAATGTTCCCATCCAAATAGCCAGGTAACTAGGGCTGAAACGATATCCCGGGACACCGATGCATCGCGATTCACTCCATACGATACGGTGTGCGATTTGTGAGGGGCTGTATCTCGATTTTTCACGATACGTTTTTTCAAAGACGTACATACGTACGTCTTTTTTTTGTAAATAAACTTTTATCACAGATACGTTTTAAATGTGTTTTAACTCTTTCAACACCGCAGGCCGGTAAACCGGCCAAGAAGTATTAGTCACGTCAAAATAGTATATATTTTTATGGACCTACCTGTCATACCATTCATTTATTAAATCTATCACATCTCACAATGTCTGAAATACGTATTCTATTTCAATTTATCAATCATTTTTTATCGATAGATTAAAAAGTTATTCACTTTTTCCCGCAATGTTATTGAAAATATAATTCTCGGACACACACTTCGACAACGGGTCCACATCGAACATGTCAAAGAGCAAAACAAAGACGTTTCAAGCAAATCTTTAAATATATATACAAAGTGATAAATAAAATCAACAAAATATATATAAAAGTGGTCAAACTTACAGCTAAGTTATTATTTCCATCTTTTCGTGCGATCGCGTGTAATGTTAGTCAAATGACATCTTGGCTTTCGTCGCCTCGAATTCTCGGCTCGGACACGATGTTCAATGCCAAAATATATGCATGAAAAATCTTTGTCACAGCTTGTAACCTAGCATGAAACATCCACGAAGCTCCATATTTTTAATATAGATCGCGATTTCCTGCTTAAAACGTTCAGAATAACACGATTTAACCAAAATATTTCGTAAAAATCTGAAATTCATCGTACACGAGGATTTGATTGCCTGTCTCAGGTCACGTGCTCAAATTTGACCAATCATGAACCTTTTAGCAGATTTCTGCAAGAAAGCGTGTAGATGAAAAAACAAGCTTTCTAGCGATGTGTCATATGTCAGTCTTCGACAAACGTGTTATTCATACGAAGCTTTCGAAAACGGAGGTATTTCTCCATGTTACTGAGCGGACAGCCGCTGTTATCTGGAAATGAGTGAAAACAGATTCTATTATAATTCTTTTAAAATAATTTTCCAATTCCGTATACAATGAAAATAAAAAAGAAATAAGTAGATCTTTTGAAATCTTAAATTTGCCCCAAATCGTCAAATTTTTGCTTCCTTGGTCTTTAATCTGGACGTTATGAATGTGTTAGCTTACATTTTTTTTATTTACAACGGTTTTAATTAAGTTGTAAATGCATTATTTAAATAATGTGATAAACATAACTTTCATATTTATAAACACTAGGATTGGACCTTGCAAATGGTGTATAACATGGCTGTTGCTATTATTGTTTTTAATTGGTTTTTTTGCCTTTATTCACGAAAATGGCAAATCAGTTACTGGACACTGGTACATTTAGTATCTACTCCTAGAATCTACCATCTAGTCACAACTCACAAATATGTAGGACTGTTACTTTTGTGTTTGCTAGCCATTACATGGAAATGGCAAATGATTCATTAAGTTCAAATACTCATTACAGTATATATTTTATGACTCATGAACATTCATCACTTTCATTTAATTTTTCATTTTAATAAACTAAGTTTAATTCATTTATCTCTTGTCTTCGTTGTCACTATGTGTATCGTAGCGTATCGAGATACGTATCGAATCGTGATGTAAGTATCGAGATACATATCGTATCGTGACCTAGGTGTATCGTTGCAGCCCTACAGGTAACAGAGATCTTGTACACCCTGCTCAGCTTAGAGTTAGCAATAAACTCCAGTTCCCTAGCAGAATGTCCCCACCCATCTGATATTACTGACTCCAGTTAATCTGACACAGGTTGATACATAAAGTAACGAACTACTTCTACGCCAATGACATCGCTCACAACCTATTCATCACGCGCGGCACTGTGTTCGGGGAGCCACAGTCCAGTACCAAGAGGACGATACGCATGTACCTGTGGCCAAGGAAGAAGTTTATAGGTAAGAAATATAGGTACATCATTATGATTATTTATGCAGTTTGTTCCACCATCTGTCACAGGTGGCCCAGTCGCATCCCTTAGGCCTGGCAGAAGTCTATGATTGTGGATGGAATCCCAGATTCAAATACTGTTCAAAGTGCTGATAAACCTTCATCCCTCCCAAGACCCATCCATCCTTCCATCCATCCATCTATCCATCTCCCTCTCTCTTCTTCTTTTCCCCTTCCTCTTCGCTCTCTCTCTTTCTCTTCTAGCAACCCAGGCCAATACCTGACCAATACCAGGCCAATACCTGACCAATACCAGGCCAATACCAGGCCAATTCCAGGGCATTACAAGTCGTATCTACCATTTACCATAGCACAGAGTCTTTGTTGGAACTGGAGCACTTCATTTGGCTGTCCTTCCTTTCTGGGATTAAGATCAATGTATCTTCTGTTTCTAACTTTAACATTTGTCCTACTTGCAGGTACCAAGGTACCAGATGAATTCAACGTAGCTGTGATCGAACTGGCAGGACATCTGCCCATCAAAGGTAGGAAAGTGACAGATTTATATGTACTTGAAAGAAGACAATATTTTTAATATTTATTGTCATTAGTGCCTGACTTCAACCTTACATAGTCCAGCAGCCACACTGATGAGATTGACCTTGACTTAACCCAAAGAATTAATGTCGTATATTTATCTTACATAACACCACCGATAACAGAGATGAAAAAATAGGGCACTATTCCCTTTCATCATGAACTTTGTTATCTGAACTCAGCGCACTCCAGCCTATGTAAATTCATTTAAATTCAGTCTATGCCAAGCGTTTTATTGTCAAAACACAAACAACCTGATTGAATATTCCTCATCCCCAATTTTCAAGTTTTAAGGTCGGCTGATCTAGATCCGTAATCCAAGTATATCTAAGACCTCCTATTTCTATTGATGAATGCTTGATTCTGATTGGTTAAAAAGAGGTTTCCTTTTTGCTACGGAAACCCCTTTCAAATATATTAAGCCTTTTCACCAAAAAACGTGAGTATGGATACATAGATAGCCTACATATCGATTCATAGAAAATGGCTGTCGATCGATCACCCCATATGAACTGTAAAACGTATCTATATTTCCTCTAATACACGCTGGGTCTCTAATACACGCCGAGTTAAGGGCTCTCGCAAATTTAACAGACGGCATAGCTTCAAATAGAGGAAATACGGTAGTTTGATATCAAATGTTTTGGGTGTTGGCTGGGCCACAACCCTGGCTGCTTCGAAGATGACATTAAAAGATTTAATGAAGGCATATCTTTTGCATACAGATGAAATGTTTATGAAACTGTTAGGGAAATGTTCTATGGTGACCAGAATCGGAACAATTTAAGCTATTTCCACATTGAAACAACCGACAATGAAAGTAAAATATAACATTATAAAAATTGTTTGAAAAAACTTTATTCATCACAACCTGTTGTTTACAAACCTTTTTGTGAACGATATTCGTCGCTATCTCCGTCAACCACCATCGTAAGGATTTGGCAGAAGAGGATATGAAATTCCATCACTCAGAAAACACTGGTCCATTTGAAAATCCACGAAAACAATGAAAACAATGTCCATCATTGAAGTCAAACTTAATGAAATTCATTTCAGAACATGCACAATTAAGAAAATCATACACGACCCACTATGTTCTGGGCCACGAATGTCTCATTCCATTCACCCTCTGGCTTTGGAATCCTTGAAATCTTGAATTTTACAGGTCACACCATGCAGATTCTGAGATAGGCCCTAATCGTGTAAAAAATGTGCGGCCCGTCTGCAGGCTAAAAAGCGGCTGTTCAGTCATACTTAGTTCCATTGGTAATCATATTGTACCAGCAGGCTCGATCATTCCCAGTAAATCTACAGGTTAATGTTGAACCACATCATAGATCGGGGTTGTCATCTTGCTTACGGAGCAACGGAGAATGTAAACACAAGATCGTCAGCCATTGACAGCTGCGAGGTGTGAGTAACCGTGATGTAGGTCAAGTTCGGGGCGGAGAGGCATCTATTTTGATGTTATTATTGTTTACTGGGGGTAATTGCTAACTAACTAATAACACTTACACATGTTAAATGTATAATAGAATGTTAATTCAAAAAGTTTGTTGTAGAAATATATTCGTTTAGCATTTTAAAACTTTTTTCTACAACCTGTCACCCCTACAATAGAAATGATGGCATGTTCGATTTCCAAGAAATGACCCCTCATGCAACTTCCAAGAAATGACAGTCAGTCCACAGTGTACAACAGTGTACAACAGTTTGGTAGAAATAGTTTGTTGTAGAAATATATTCGTTTAATATTTTAAAACTTTTTTCTACAACCTGTCACCCCTACAATAGAAATGATGGCATGTTCGATTTCCAAGAAATGACCCCTCATGCAACTTCCAAGAAATGACAGTCAGCCCACAGTGTACAACAGTGTACAACAGTTTGGTAGAAATTAAAACATTCGTCTTTGGACTAAATTTGGAGTGTTATTTGTCAACTTCTTTTGAAAAACTATGTGTTTTGAACACTTATTTTGAACTACTCACGACTATGGTGTTTTTAATCTTGAAATTTAGTAATAATTGATACATATATAACTACCTGTGACCACTTTTCGGAATGTTCTAAGATTGCGGACCTGTGTTGTTACGCGTTGCAAGAGAGCGCCATTTTCAAAGTGCGCTGTAGCGCGAGGTTCCAAATTATAATACTGTGTTTTGCATGTTTATGACTAAATAAGCAGCCTGTCAAGTTATTATCGTCAACATGTTTTACCTTACCTGACGCTACACCTATAGCACTGTGTAGCGTCAGGTAAGTATAAAAACAGTGCATTTAATCAGAGATGCTCATGTTTTACCTTACCTGATGCTACACATAGCTATAGGTGTAGCGTCAGGTAAGTATAAAAACATTGCATTTAATCAGAAATGCTCATATTTTATTATTTATTTAGAAAACTTGACTTCAGTATATACATAGACAAATTCATAGATAACAGCTTCTTTAATTTACTATTATAGCAATGGTTCAGTGTAGATCCTTATACTGTTGTCAAGCAAGACTGTACCGAAATGGCGTTTTAATAGAGTTGGATAGTAGACAACTTAATATTCAGTATTTTTATCATGTGTTTGTATTTGGCTTAAGGTTTTCATCTTGCCTCATTCCAGATGACAGTTCCTTCCATAGTCTGACGGAAGAAACGGCTGACCAAATCATCGCTGACGCAAGTCTCCCGCTTGAAGAGTATAATCAGATCAAGACCAATGTTGTAGAGATGGCCAGACAGTTAGACTCCAAGACACAATGATGATGGCAATTTAGGTTCTTTGGGAGACAGCATGGCATTTACGAAAGTGGGAATATATTTGTTTGCAGCAATTTTAGGGTTCTGTGCAAACATTTCAAATATTTCAATATTCCATCCAATTTTTGCTACATGTAAAATCAAGTGTGCAAATAATAACATTTTAATTGGCAGTTATGCTGCTTTGAAAACTTTTAGGCAATAGCTTTTTGAAAAGGTCTTTAACCAAATTAAAATTTGTATTTTCAATAGCTTTTTTAATAGTTTTTTTAACCAAATTAAGATTTGTAATGCATCCTCTGTATTTTGTTTCTTTTTAGTTGTAATATGTTTTGAAAAAATAGACATTAACACTTGTAAAAGTCTCATTTTTTGTATGAAAAGAGTTGTCAGATGTTGATTATTTTGGTCTGAATATCATATTATTTTCTTAACCTTTCTGTTTACATAGTTTATTATTAGTTATACTTATTACGTATTAACTGTGGTATGTCATCCAGGTTGTGCAATGTATATCATCCACAAGGGTAGAAATATCAAGTTTAATAACCCTCCCTCATTTACACATGTGCATTTATATATTCTCAATGTTGATTGGTCAGTTAAAGTGACATGGGGTCACTACTTCATTGTTGAGCACAAAACGATATGATGTCATCCATTGTTCATGACATCACAAATTGATTATGTGAGGTCATCTGAACAATAGGCTTCAGTTTCACTTTCGCTGTCTCATGACATATTAGCATCAGTCCCAGGTTTACTCATGTGTCAGTGTTGTTTGCTCACTAACAGTAGCTCTTTGCTATACAGATCTCATAAGATACATGGCAGCGTTAGAAATTGGCACTAGTCCTGTAGTACTTGCCAAACTTCCAAACAGTTAGTTGTCATAAGGACTTGTAGAAATTTTCCATTTTTAAGTTGTTTGCAATAGGTTATCATTATAAGGCCTAGTGGACTAAAACTGGTTGGGTACAATGTGTGAAGCCCATTTCTGGTGTCCCCTGCCATGATATTGCTCGAATATTGCTAAAAGCTGCGTAAAACCACCACACTCACTCACTCACTAAAACTGGTATTTTCTCTTTTGAAGGATCATCTATATATCTGGGAAAAAGTCTTCACTACTCCTTCACCACTTTCACAACATAATGTATCATTTGGAGAACTCTACATTCCACATTGATCTCATCAGGCAATGTCCTCAATACCTCCTATACTTGCTGAAAAGTCCTGGCCCTCGTTCCACAAAGTGATCTTAGCACTACCATGATCCTTAGCCTATGTTAAAGTATGGGAGTTATGATAATCTTAGCACTAAGATTGCTTTATGGAACAGGGCCCTGGGCCTCGTTCCTCAAAGCGATCTTAGCGCTACAGTGATCGTAAGCCTATGTTAAAGTATGGGAATTACGATCACCTTAGCGCTACGATTGCTTTGAGGAACGGGGCCCTGGACTGTAAGTTCCTTCAGATGATCTAGGGAAGCTGTTGATAGGCTACTCAAATATCTGTGCCGTGGCACAGTTACAAACGATGTCATTATATAGTCAATTTCAGTTTCTATATTTCAACATGCGTATGTCACTTTGTAAACAAAAATAAATGTGTTTCTTCCAAAAATTAATACAGGTTACAAAAGAAGAACATTTCTGTTTTATATGGAAATATACAGAAAGCGGTGAACCCTTTTCTAGGTGTATGCTGTGTAAGTCTCTGCAAGCAGCTAGGGTAAGGGGTAGATACAATCTCACTGAAGTCAATTCTTTTACTCAGATACGAAAACTCTCTGCATCAGTTGGGGTAGCTTAGAGTAGATAGATGTTAGATGTATTCTTATTTACACAGTACCAATGAACAGTGTTATCAATGCAGTAAACTAATCCAATAAACTTTGTAACATGATTAGATTTAGTAATCATGAGGCTAATGAGGTGACCTAGCAGAAACTACATTTAGGCCCAATCAATGTCTGCTTGCTCAGTAAGTTGTGGACTAACATTCACAGCATCTTCCCGAGGCAAGGGAGTTAACTGTTTCCACCCTTGCTGGACTAGGCTGGAATTTCTGGGCTCGATCATTGCGCCACCAGTGGTTATTATGAGTTATGTCCCTCTTATTGACCAATCAGATTCCACCTCTGATATCACTCGCATTTGCTTCAAACAAAATGGCGGGACCCAGTGAAGACAATCTGATCGACAATCAAGATCTACCTTGTTAAAAAAGGGCCTTAATTTGCGAAGTGCATCAAATCACATGAGCTCCTTGATTAAAAACATGAAAAGATTTGACAAAAAACTAAGTTGATGAACACTTGCATTGCAAGTCCTGCAACCGACCAAACCAAAATCTGCACCGCAGTTTACGAACTGGAATATTAATTATGAATTATATTATGACATGCATCAACCAAGTCAGCACACCAAGAAGTATTACACTTGTTAATCCAGCAAAATACAATTTGTGATTTAATATATGATATAAGAGGAGTGATTGCTCTCATAATACAGTTTGCATTCCTGTTGTATATTTACAACATCAACACACTCGGCCAATAATGTCTATATCATCACCTCCATGTACCAACTTCTGTCTAGGTCACATATGCATTAAGTGTCTATATTTATGAACTAACTTTGTGGGAAGTGAATCTCTACTTGGTTACATAGCATCACATTTTGTCAGCACAGCTGTGATAGGGGAAATCTGTTGTTTGAGGGATTATGCCATGGAGATGTATCTTTATGTTCGGTTATTTGAACCATCACCAAATATATCTGTATTTTTCATTTGTGTTTGTTGTTTTGTATGTTTTCCTTTCAGCAAACCTAAATAATTTACCAAGACAAGATTCCAGATGAAAGGTCATCCAATACAGAGTGGGAATACAATTATGGTTTAATGCCACTTTTAGCAATATTCCTGAAATATCACGTCGGGGAACACCAGAAATGGGTTTCACACATTGTACCCATGTAGGGAACCTGGGCATTAGGTGTGGCAAGCGAACTCTTTATCAACTTGACTACCTCACCGCCCCCATAAAGACCGATGTAGATAAATGTGAGGTGTACTATGGAATGAATGCATAACTAATGTGTACAGAGGGTGAGCGAATGTTGTTTTATGCTACAGGCAGCAATATTTCACCAATGTCATGGCAATCTGCTATGGCACTCATCAACATTCCAGCTATATGACGGCGGTCTGTAAATAATCGGGTCAGGACCAGACAATCCAGTGATTGACATCATGAGTTTTAATCTACACAATAGGGATACGATGACATGCATCAACCAAGTCAGTGAGCCTGACCACCCAATCCTGTTAGTCACCTCTTACGGCAAGCATGGGTTGCTGAAGACCAATTCTCACCCATTCTTCACAGGTCGCTTTCAGTCACTAGTATGCCTGGTCCAGATTACTTCCAGACCACTAGGGCGCCGTTGTACAAAGCGATCTTAGCGCTAAGATCTTATCGTAACTCCTATACCTTAACACAGACAACAGTCATAGTGCAAGGGTTGTTTTCCAGGATAGGAAACACCTGAACTCACATATAGAAACCGAAACAAAACAAAGACATATGTATATTTTTCAAACTTTATTATTCAAACCTTTCTTGAATCAAACCAAAAGAGTTTGGTTCCCAGAAAGTGTAGGTTGGGTGCAACACTCCAGCTGACACGAAGGCAAACAATACATAGCACACACACAGATTTCTAACTCGCCGGGGCCACCAGTGGGGAAGACCATCCTCGCAGACATACACTGCCTTTTTGACAAGTCGAGAAGCTACAAAATTTGGCTTTGAAACTGCAAAACAGATCCTTTGTTTTCTAGTGTACAATACAGCCAACTGCCTTCAGCGCCACCAAACAACAACTTGAAAAATGTACAAGATCCAAATATCAAATGACAAGTAACAAAAGACTAGAAATATAAATATATCAACAGTTGTAAAGCAGTCCACGCTAACTTATTGCACATATGAAAAATAGATTTATGATGCAGTCTACTTCGATTTCGGTGTAAAAGAAAACTGGATATAAAACGTTTTGATTCAATACTAGAAGCCCGCTAAAAAACAACTAGTAAAGAAAACTATATGGACACGCTATTGCACTTTGCAAATCAACTCTCCACAATAAGTTACTGGTGAATATGCATACACCCTTTAATAAATAGAAATAAATTACATTCAAAAGGCAAGTGCTCAACACTTTAACCTTCCAACACAAGCCATTCTCAGCACCTAGAACTCTATGATGAAGTTGAATATGAGGTTGCTGTACAAACGCACACAACAGTGTTAAGGATGTAAACTGTACACAACTTGGTGTATTTATACTGTACATATTACCAAAAGTATTCACTGGAGAAAACAACATTCCAAACTGACAAACGTTCCCAAACTGCCAATTCACTTTTACACAAACCTCTGAAAATCATCCTAGCAATCAAATGAATTTCAACCAGTAATGTTTGATTGCCAGTGAAATCACTGTTATCAGTTTCTCTCCAGTCAATAGGAATCACGTATCTCCATCAAATTAGTGTATTTATAAACATTGGATGGACTCACACTGCTGCATACTAGAATATAATGTCATTCACTCACTAACAGAGATGCCAGTTTTAAATAGAGGCGGTAAGAATATCTGGGTCACTTGGGGAATAACATAACTTATTTCCCCCCTATGAATATAGCAATTATCATTAGCATGATTGACTGGATTATCTTTTACATTCCAAACGTCTGTAAACTTGACAAGATTGTACTACGCTACAGTGCCTGTGATTTTCTCATATCATGCACTACACTGGAAAAAATATTTTTCGACATAGTAAATAACTGGCTTACACATTGTCGTATCTACTTATTGTGTGGGTTTTTAAGCTAACATGTTCTATATAACTGCGACCATGTGAGTCAAAATATTTTTGTGCCAATAACATTTCTTTGTAATATCTTTTCCTTTATTGTACTGACAGACACATTTCCCTTTAATGTATGAATGAACATGGGACAAATTATCATCATAATTCCGGTAAAAAGATAATGGTTGGCATCTCTGCACTAACTACATAACAACAGAACACTCTTCTAGCACACTGTCTACGCCTCATCGTAATAGTCCGCGCGTTGTGCGTCACCTTCAGTGAAAGGCACAGCACTGAGTAGTTCAAGTGTTATTAGATAACAGCATTGCCATAATCAGTATGTTATTGTCACAAATTGGGTTTATACCTTGTAGCTCTGGTTGTAGTCATAAGGTGCAAATATGTACAATACTCACAGAACAGTTGGTCACACGAACCTTCGGCGCTATCGAGGTCAGACGAGGTCTCTATGTTTACTGTACAAGCTGATCTGCGTTTTTACAGTTGCGTATTAACATCTCAACTTTTATATTACAAAATGTACAAACATTTACAATTTACAAAAGTTCAATTGTCAGTTCAACTGTCATGGTTTATCTTTCAATTACATGTAATGTACACAATACGATGTAGAAAACAGGATTATTTCTTTCGTACACAATGGCAGTTCGTCTTTGCCTATATCGACAAAGTGTTCAATAAATTATTGTACAAGAAACAAGATAATCCACATTCTCTTCATGTGTCTTTGGCACAAGTAATGTTTCTCTCACATTATCAGCCACAGGAGGGACATTATCACTCCATGTTAATCCTGCTCGCAAGAATATGGAACCAACTCCTTCCATGTAGTCCATATTATCAGCACTAAAGAATCTGGTGCCTTATTATCAGAACAAAGTATTCTCCTTGAAATTGGCCATTGTGATTGTCTCTTATTGCACAGATATTGACTTCAAGAGTCTGAGATTCACTGACAGTTTTAGTGCGGAGAAACCTCATCCTCGTGTTGTTTGCGGAAACAGTCTCCAACGGGGATGAAGTTCCAGCAGCGTTGTTGGTACAGCTCCCACACATAGGATTCCTGGAAGGGAGACATCAAGGTATAATACAAGTACACTGAAATTACAATGACATGATAGTCCAATGACTTCACTTTCTTATAGGACCAGAAAAAAGATTCTGTAGAAAGGTGTCGGCTTATGTATGGGTTACACTTTCATCAAGCTTTTTCTCTTGGTAAAGAATATATACATTGTATTGCTTCATGTGAACAACCACCGCTTTAATCAACTTTGTCAATGAAAATGGGAAATTTGCAATTAAACATCACTAATCATGATGATTTACCATTTTGATTGTATTTCTCGTTATGCTAGACATTTGTTTTATATGCAGTAATAAAGATTATTGTGTGTATTGTCTTGTAAACTTAGCCGGAAATAGCAATCAGCTGAACACACGTGTTCTCCCAATCCACTGGTGATTACGTTAAAACATACCGGTAACCAATTATATAAGGTTATTTCATATCTATGCCATTCCATACTTCAGAGCTAATGCCATTTCATTTTTGGAATTATCCACTTAGCGAACAGTGTACTCTAGATTATATCATATTTATGACTGATGACTTATTTCTTATGTTTTGCCAATTTTATAAAATAAAGTACAGCCTTAAGACTGGTAATGAAAAGGTTGAGTGAGTGAGTGAGTGAGTTTGGATTTACGCCGCTTTTAACAATATTACAGTTATATCACGGCGTGTCAGCTTGATGTGGGAGGAATGCAGGTCTCAGACGTTTACCACTTCGGTGAAACCCACGAGCATGGGTATGGTGCTGACAAACCTAGAAACATAATCAGATCAAACCAGGATTTGAACCCACAATTATACGTTTCTGGTGTGCCCAAAGGAGGCAACTCTGCACAACGAATTGCACCGCCTTAGACGACTGGGCCACCCGTGCCCTCAATGAAAAGGTTGACCTTCAAACCACATATCATTTACTCTGCAATTTTACACCGATATTTGAAAATATTTGAAAAGATCACTTAGAAACCGATGAACCTTGGATTGAGATCCACACATATTTCATACTTTTTCTACAACCATACAAGTCTGTATATTGTGTGTGTTTCTCATCTCAAAATATGTTCATAATTTCTTGCTAGGGTATGAATGATATCTCGCTCTGGCCCATGAATGTACAAACATCACATTTCAGAACCCAAATCCTTGCTGTATCTCATCTTCTAAGAATGGTCATGACTTTTCATACATTTAATATTTATTTTTTTTCTCGTCTTGTAAGCACTCCACTTTTTCCATCTTTTAAGCTTAACACTGATACAGAAACTGTTGTATGATGAATATATCAAAATGAATATACAATGTATCAAAATAACCATTCAATAAGCATGTGATGGACAAAGTTCACAATTCATAACTTTCGAGATTAAAATTGTTTCCTTTTGCACACATTTGTGTATATATAATAGTCTTATTCTAAATCTAAGGTCTAGTTTATTCATTCTAATTTTGTGTAGTTAATTCTGCTGTCCTTCTCAAGCTGTGCATGTAGGTGAGAAAAATTAAACATAATGGATGTCCTAACCCTGCTCGGTTTATCATGGACTCTTGAGATGCTCCCTATGAGAGTTTGAGTTGTATATATACTGTACATTTTATCATGGACTAATAGGATGTTCCCTATCAAAGCTTGAGTAGTATATCTACTACTGCAACTCACCTGTCCCGTGTATTCTGTGTCCGGTTTATTAATGAGATGCATCAGGAAAAACCTGGGGAGAGACGGACATACAGATTATTGGCGATTCAGCATGTTTGTCACGTCATAACTGAGCCTGTTCACAATGAGTTACCCTAATGGAAGTCTGGAGGCAGCCACATCTTTACTGTCTCGCACAATATTTCACTTAAAATATATCTGTGAATTGTGATGATGCTTTTGTTCCATATGTGACAAGCAGGATGTACATGATTCTAAAAGGTGCAGACTAATGACACATGCAACTGCTTTATCATCACTTAGGCCAGGCTTTTTTTATTTTTAGGATTACGGATTTTTCAGCCCAAAGTCCAGGGTTGGAGGAGGAAAAAAGAAGAAGCCAGTTGCATTTTTTTTAATGCAGAATGCCTCTGGCATACTTTATGAACATATTCTGTGCTCAAAAGACTGCCATTTGTGACGATAAAGCCCCTTGTAACACTAAAAATTCTACCATTTACAACACAGACAATTGTCAAGGGAGGCTATTCATGTTCGGCTTCGAGATCAACAAAGATCAATTATGTATCTCTTTACTAGTTTACAACGGTAAATTCATGTTTTTTATTAAAAGGTGATGATAACAAATAAAATAACTGACTACGTGGCTATCGGCAGGAAAAAAATGGAAATCTGATTTATTTTTTTCTAATTTTCTCAAAAATTAGAGTCGGCGGGTCCGTAATCCGAAAAATATAAAACGCCTGCCCTTAGGTCAGGGGTATAATAATCCTGAAACATCACACACGTACAGACAAACATTCACTGGGCTGTCCTGGTCAGGAAGACAGGAGACATTTTGAGAGACTAATTACTTACATGTAGTTTGCAAAATTGTGTTCATTTTGTACGTGGGTCTCAAACCCATGTGGCACTTTGTCGAAATACTCTTTCCCTATGCCACAGATGAAGCACTTGGACTGAAAGAAAACAGCATAAAAATTACCAAGTGCTGGTACACCAAGTGAATTTCTGACAGCTACTGCTTTATAAACTGGAAAATGTCGGCATCTTCCAGGCGTGGATACACCACTTTGGAAAGACAGGACACATGGTCACGAGTCAACAGGTGACTAATGCCAACAAGTTACAAGTGCGTAGTTGTGTTATTATGTTGAAAACATATCCCCAATGGGTTCCTTATATACTGAACAAAACAAGTTAGGCCCAAATATTTTGGGGGAAAAGGAAAATTGTCATGTAATAGTGTGCTCAGTCTTCACTATAAATTATAACTATAGTAATATGAAAGAATCGGATGGGCCTTTATTTCTTTAGAGTAGTATATATAAAGTGATACAGGAGCCTGTGGAGATGTGTATTTCAGGATATAAGTGCTATAAGCAAAGTCTGTAACTACTTCATAGTCTGCCCGATTACAAACTACCCTTAACATCTATAATATTCCTTATAATTTTGTTTACCGGTACATAGTTTTGTGTCAATTTCCATGACAACCAGCTACATACCTCCATGTCCTCTTTCACCTGCTCGAGCTGATCTCTCAACTCACCAAAGGCGTCGATGATCAAACCTAAAATTACAAACAATATGTGTAATTCAATGCTCAAAATATGAATCACAAGATTGTATGATCCAGACACAACTACTTACTGGCTGCTGTCTTATAGCTGGAATATTGCTGAGTGCAGCGTTTCACAATAAACCATTGCAAACTACACTTGCACTCACATCTGGCTGTATTGCCAACAGCAGTTACCTACCCTGAATGATGGCCAGGAGGATGACAATGACGAAGAAGAAGAAGGTGATGTCAAACAGGATACGGTACACTTCGTACACATCCCCGTCAGCTGCTTCTATCTCGTCACCTGCAGCAACGAACTCCCAGTTAACAACTTCAAATACGCCAGAAAACAAACACACTGACATTACAAATACTACAAATATGCCAACTTGTCATTCTAGTTCTCAGGTGTAAACAAACACACACAATAATAAAATACAATTGCTCCCTCGGGATTTAAGTCAAATGCTAAAGAAGCGCGAATGTTTTCACTCTTAACACCTGTGGTGATATATGCATCTTTGCACAGAAAGGGTTATCTAAGGTGATCCTCAAATGAGCTAAAATATCCTGGCCATTGATTAGCTAAAATAAAGCTTTAGGATTTTTACACACACATACAACATGGTGACATAATGTTTGAGGCCGATGAGAAGACTACCTACCTATGCCACCACCCGCTCGTACACCAGTGTGCAAGTGGAAAACGAAACACTGAAATAAAACAGAACCTTTGTAGTTTCAGGAAGAGTGAATGGCATCTTATGCCTCACTCAGCAATATCAGAGCTCACAAGAGCTTGCAGATCATTTTTCCCCCCAAATACTGCATCCCCTAGAGTGGGGTGTGCATGATGCTTGGGTGTGCACTATGGTCTAGTAAATATGGTAATCAAGTGTTAATCCGGTAAACTAGTGGTTGATATTATGAGCAACAACTTGCACAATCAGTCAAGCCACACACTGTGACCATCCAATCTTCATTTAGTCAACTCTTATGCAAGCATGGGATACTTGGGGCTTATTCAGTCTCCGAATCCCATGTTGTTGGATTGTCTGGTAAAGTGCTGAGACATATCACTGTCTGTTTGTTTGTTTGTTTGTTTAATGCCACTCAGCAATATTCCAGCTATATGATAGCAGCCTGAAAATAATCCAGTCTGGACTAGACAATCCACTGATCGACCTATGAGCATCCATCCACATAGTTATGAAACAATGACATTCATCAACTATGTCAGCAAGCTTGACCATCCCATCCTGTTAGTCTCCTCTTATAAGAAGCATTGGTTGCTGAAGACCAGTGAGAGACTCTCTCCTCTTATAAGAAGCATGGGTTGCTGAAGATCAGTTCTATGCCGCATCTTGACAGGTTCACTGTCAGAGATTGGTACGTGATAAAGGATACAAGGATATGTAGCTGCTGTCATTAGGTTTCAGGATGTAAGACGTGGAGGTTTTTGTCCACCCCTGGCAGAAACTTACAGTCAACATGTCATGGCACTTGTAGTCAATCTGACCGTCTTCATCCTTCACATAGAACTTGCGGAAGAAGTTGAAGGCTATCACGGTGTAGATGTACACGATTACACTCAGCAACATCACTGTCAACACCAGCTGCAACATATAACATTGTCAACAGTCACTTACAGAAACATACATTGTCAACAACAAAACACTGCTTTTTTCATGTTAATTCTACAAATTTTCGCCAAAGAACAACTGTGGCCAGCAACATCATTCCTGAACCACAGTGTCAATATTACAAGCAATGGTTATCTGTTTCCCGTTGTGTGTGACTGACTGCAAGATGGTTCGGAGTGTCAGTATTACAAGCAATGGTTACCTGTTTCCCGTTGTGTGTGACTGACTGCAAGATGGTTCGGCGTGTCAGTATTACAAGCAATGGTTACCTGTTTCCCGTTGTGTGTGACTGACTGCAAGATGGTTCGGAGTGTCAATATTACAAGCAATGGTTACCTGTTTCCCGTTGTGTGTGACTGACTGCAAGATGGTTCGGAGTGTCAATATTACAAGCAATGGTTACCTGTTTCCCGTTGTGTGTGACTGACTGCAAGATGGTTCGGAGTGTCAATATTACAAGCAATGGTTACCTGTTTCCCGTTGTGTGTGACTGACTGCAAGATGGTTCGGAGTGTCAATATTACAAGCAATGGTTACCTGTTTCCCGTTGTGTGTGACTGACTGCAAGATGGTTCGGAGTGTCAATATTACAAGCAATGGTTACCTGTTTCCCGTTGTAAGTGACTGACTGCAAGATGGTTCGGAGTGTCAGTATTACAAGCAATGGTTACCTGTTTCCCCTTGTGTGTGACTGACTGCAAGATGGTTCGGAGTGTCAGTATTACAAGCAATGGTTACCTGTTTCCCGTTGTGTGTGACTGACTGCATGATGGTTCGCAGTGTCTTGAAGCCGATGGCTACATCCAGCAGATGGGCAGCAAAGAAGAAAAAGTTGAAGTTGCCCATCACTGAGAAGAGGAAGTACCATGCGATGTACAGGAAAGACTGGAACAAAGAACATTGAATTGACAGACAGTTTCCACTTGGTCACCTTCACACTTGTATTTAAAAGGATGACGTCAAAAAGAAACAATTATTTCATATATTAAAAAAATAATCATAATTCAAATCCAACATGAATAAAAATGTTTAATATTAATAACATTAGTGATGATATACCACTCAAAAAAAGTTCAGGAACACCTGATTCTTTCATATTACTATAGTTAATCTGCTATGCCATGCCATTAGTCATACGAAAGAACCGTGTAATCCTTAACTTCTTTTTAGTGAGTGAGTGGGTTGGGTTTAACGCTGCTTTTAACAGTATTACAGTCATATTGCGGCGTGTCAGCTTAATGTGGGAGGAAAGCCCAAAGTGATGCAGGTCTCAGACCTTTACTTACCACTTCGGTGAAACCCACGAGCATTGGCATGGTGCTGACAAACCTAGAAACATAATGGGGGCAAACCGGGATTCGAACCCACAATCATAGGTTTCTGGCATGCCCAAGGGATGCAACTCTGCACAGAAATCGGCGCCTTAGACGACTGGGCAAACCGTGCCCCCTTTCTTTTTAGTAGTATATATAGATACAACAGACTCTTACATTATCAGTGAAGATGACTCCCCACTTCCAGATCTGATACTGCCAGTCCATTGTCCTCAAACTGAAACAGCATCATTGTAACAGTGTTACTCTTGCACACATCCCAATGTTACTGAGTAACCCTGACACCTCGACTGCCATCATCCTTTACACAGGGAACACATAATACCATATCCTGTCTGAACTGATACTAACAACAAAATGACTGCTCAAATACCTGGGAAAATATAGCAATAGATTAACAGCTGAAAAGGCTTAATTTAACATTAAAGTTCTATCAATTAGTCAAAAAAGTGTTTCTCATCTCTGCACAGGCGAAGTGGTCAGTCAGGAGAAAATTTAAAAATATCAATAAAACAAACATGCCTTTGATTGAGAGTAGAACTAACTGAAATCTGTTGTTTAAGATATGTGCAAAATGGTTCACAATTTGAACAGAAAATTCTTCTCTTTTTTTCCAGGGTGGATGAGATATATTCAAGTGGTAGAATGGGACATAAAAAGGTCTTCTTATTTTTTAGTAGTACGGCAATTTAGAACTGCTGGAAGTGTGTGAGAACAGTTTCATTTACAGGAAATATCCTTACTGACTGTTGAGTGAAATATGTGAAAAATGCCTGCTCCTCTACACCAGAGGTACTTACAATTGTGGCAGGTATCCTGGCTTATCATCTTTGTCTTCTGCAACAGGTTCTGCCTTGTCCATTCCTAACAAGTTGCTGATCTGCTCATAGTCGTACTGCTCTGCGTAACGGGCTCGAACCTGCCAACACATACCATTATTTGACATCCAGAACATTCCTTAGTGGTAATACCATTGTGCGACCATATCAACAATCCTTCAAACTAAGCTTGTGTCATATCTACTTCATTGGACATCGGAGGGAGCTGCTGACCAGAGGCTTATCCACCACGTGTCACTGTGCAGAGTCGTGTCCCCTACTTAGCAGGATCTGCTGATCATGGGTATGTGTCCAAGATTTACCACACTAACTATCTTTGATCTGATCAACGCTGCATTTTAACCCGCTCACACGCTACTGGGGATGTAACGACTCACTGAACATTTGGGTCATCGAGATACTTTGTGCCACAATATGAACATCACATCACAAGGTCATGTATTGATACAAAGCGATACAAGCATATATAAGGGGGACATGTAAGAAAATGTAAAATTTTATTAAAATTAATTAGAATATATTATTTTCTGCTGGTTTTGCAAGAGGTCTCAATCAAGATGTTCACTATCTAAATCAAATCCACCACATTTTAATTGGATTCTACTCGTTCCCTCTCATGTCTCCTAGCATAGCAAATATCGAGTTTTTATTTATCTTATCATGCATCGTACCATGACCTTCGTATCGAGATATGTATCGTATTGTGACTTTCCTCTCAAAATATGTATCACTTCACGTATATTATTGTGACCACCCTATCAAGATATGTATCAAATCGCGTACCATATCATGACACATATCGTATCGTGATGAAGTGTATCATTACAATCCTCCTCAAACCCATCACAGAGACCCGATATCATATGATCACTGATTATTCTTAAGGAGCCCTCACTCACCTTCTTTTTCACGAACTTATCCCAGTACGACTCCGGGAATGATTGCGTACTGAGCACCAGTTTATCCCAATGACCTTTGACGTCATCATCCCCTGGTTGCTCTGCTATATACAAGCCGTCGAACTCCAGCTGTCTGGCAATCTCCTTCTCCCGTTTGAAAATAACCAAAGGCACTTTGAGGCAGTAGTAGGCCACCAGCATGGAGAACGACACCAGAGTGTGTAATATTGCTATAACACGCAACACTGGTTCCAAATAGGAATAGTCTCCCTCAATCAACATCACTTCCGGAATATCATCGTCATCGGCCCCACCAGCAGCAGCATCTGTGTCATTCCCTGCACCAGCAGCATCAGCAAGTAGTTGTGGGGACTTGGACACCTGGAAGGTTCAATGGCAAAGATTTACAGATCTGCTGAATCGAATAAATATCCAACATGGTACAGGCCACCCATTTGGAGGACTTAAAAGCCTTTTCAAATCAGTGATCACACTTTTCAAGGCTGATGGTTTGACCCAATGCCTACAACATACTTACTGCAAACTTCTTTCTTTTATTCATGGTCAGAAGGCCTGCACTTGTACATCCAAATACACTATTACAATATTCATGTCCACCAGAGTTTAAATATCATTTCTTGATCAAGTTAGGGACTAAAACATCTTTTACCATATGATGGCTGGACCAGACAATTATTATGAGCAATGTCTAACATTGCCGAGGACCTACTCTAACCCAGAATTCCCACAGGTCAAGGTAATCCCAGTTAACAAAGATCCCCATGTGGACCTGGCTGAGACTGTTACAATGGCTTGAGTACTCCTACACGGAAGGAAGAGATACTTCAGTTCAGAGCAACTTGCCATTCATGTCTAAATCTGATATCAGAAAATGTACTTACTTTGAAGAAAAGTAAAACAAAGTTGATTGCGAAAGCTAGGGCAAGGGCAATGTACTTGAAGTTGTAAAAGTTCCTGGCAAACAAGCTCTGAAACATACAAAAAACATGCATTTATGATCTGACTTGAGAGGCTTTCAGCCTTTTTATCAGTTTAGAAACAATATCAAGACAAAGTAGACACAATTTATGGATAACGACTTCTTTAATAACTGTGAAGGCAATGTTTCGGTATAGGTCCTTATACCGTTGTCAAGCAATCCTTATACCGTTGTCAAATCTTGTTTGAGAATGGATTTAAGGATCTATAGTGAAACATCGCCTTCGCAGTTATTAAAGAAGTTGTTATCCATAAATTGTGTCCACTTTGTCATCCGTCAACTTCTAAGTAATGCCTATGAACAATTCAAGGGATAAAAGTGCAGCATATACTGACTGACCTTGTGAATCCCAACTTAAAGATTGGAGACAAAATATCATAGTGTCATCTTTTATGTACACCTGCCTTGCTTGATTCCATAATCACAGACTAATAGTTTTCAGAATGAGGAGTCTTATACTAAACACTTGATTTACAGTTTCTTTTTCCAAAATGGTTAGGACAAATAAACATTTACAACAACATTTATTTGATGTCTTTAACAACTGTTAGTAAAGTTATTCCAGTACAGATTTAGTTAGCAGACTTAGCTGGAGACTCGGAAAATGTTCTCACAATTGCAATTTTGTTTCATATTTGTAAACCAAGTGCATTAAAATCCCTGCCGAAGCAAACTGTTGAGTGTTGTATTCACAGGGTTAATGTAACTCACGAGGATGTATTTGGTGTAGTCGAACTCCTGACTCTCTGCTCCTGCCTCCTCCTCTGTGGGACCCTCTTTCTCGCCCCCTTCCATGCTGGGTGGGACACCGCTGAGGACAAACAGTTGCAGCTTTAGCTTCATGTCAATACTTGGAGGTTAAGTGGAACAGGTATCAGAAACTTAGGGTCATTGTGACACATAGTAACATGGTGTCAGATCAATACCATTTACATGAATTGTCACTTAGATATCAGTAACAATAATGAACACCATCTCAGACCATCTTACATGACAAATAACATTACAGCAAGACCAGATAGGAGGTCGGAATAGGTAAGGGGGATAACTCACTTTGTAGTGTCTGATAGTTGTGGTATTGTAGGTGGCGCCACGACTGGTTCTGGCTCCTTGTATACAATCACCTCCTCCTCAACCTGCAAACACAACACAGTTGCAGACAACAAATATGTAAAAATAAATCCCAAAAGAGGACAGACATATTCTTTATAAAAGTACTGAAAACGTTTTGGCCATTTTTAAAGGAATTTGCTGTATTACATGGAATCTGCAGTATTTGCCCATTACCAGTACCTCCATAGTCTGCATCATTTCCATGGTCTCCTCCTGCATCGTGGCCTCCATTGTTGCTCCTGCTGCTGCTGCAGTGGCCTGCTTCTCTCCCGGCTTCATATTTCTGTAATGAAGATCACAACGGTCATGATAAACTTGAAGCATATGTATAGGGAGTATCTCTTCACTGTAAGGCCTCACATTATAATTGGAAGCTTAACTGATCAAGATCAACTCACTCTCTTGTCAAAGGTTGACAGACTAGTTACAATATCCAATTCAAATATTCCAGTTATTGGAAACAAAAATTCAACTGGCTAACAAACATATTGACTTGTCATAGCATTCATCATACAGGACACACTCTCTATGTACTCAACGTTTTCAGCAAAACATAGTGAATGTCATGATAGCAACAGTACTCACTGATTGGAGTCCACAGTAGCCGTAGCTGGGGCAGCTTGTTTATTGGGCTCCCTCGTGTCGTCCGGCGGTATCCCAGCGGCAGCTAGTGCTAGAGGACCTACAGGGAGGGGTATGGCGCTCTCAGTCTCAGGCTTCTTGCCATCATCCACTGTGCGGTCGCCCATCATCAGGTTGATGAGGAACTTCATCAGTGTCCTGTAGTAACATGAGTTAGTGATCAGTCATAGAGAGTAGGGTCAGGATCCCCTCAGTGTTCTTACCCTATGCTTTCACCATTTCTCTTACCCCATATTCTTACTCTGGTTGGTTCCTAATAAATGTCTCAGTCGAAGACAAGGTCAAGGGGACACCATTAAGTTTCAATTCAAGACAAGGCCATGGGGACACCATTTAGTTTCAGTTCAAGACAAGGCCATGGGGACACCATTTAGTTTCAGTTCAAGACAAGGTCATGGGGACACCATTAAGTTTCAGTTCAAGAAAAGGTCATGGGGGACACCATTTAGTTTCAGTTCAAGAAAAGGTCATGGGGACACCATTTAGTTTCAGTTCAAGACAAGGCCATGGGGACACCATTAAGTTTCAGTTCAAGACAAGGTCATGGGACACCATTAAGTTTCAGTCCAAGACAAGGTCATGGGGACACCATTAAGTTTCAGTTCAAGAAAAGGTCATGGGGACACCATTTAGTTTCAGTTCAAGACAAGGCCATGGGGACACCATTAAGTTTCAGTTCAAGACAAGGTCATGGGACACCATTAAGTTTCAGTCCAAGACAAGGTCATGGGACACCATGGCATGGTGAACAACATGGTGAACAACATTGCATGTCCTCTGTATTGAACCAAGTGACCACCAACGAGTGGAACTTGAAGTATTCTGACTGACAGAGTGACACAGTACTGACCAGCAGATATGGAAGAAGAGAGTGATCAGCATGAAGGCTGTCTTAAAGCTGAGCTTGATCGAAGCCACAAACAGCTGCCAGTAGGTCATGCTCTTCACCGTCTTGTAGGTCTTCTTCATGTTGGACCAGGTCATGAAGGACAGTAGGGCACCAAGGGACTCCCGTAGGAAGCGGTATGTCAGGATCACAGGCTCCAACACACTGTGGACAGACAGGCTGGGAAGTTATAGTAACATTTATATCATTCATAGGAAACTTGTATGGAACTCCAAGGTTTTCATTCTTGATCAAATATGTTGATAATTCAATCAGAAATTATATGAAGTAGATGTGGGTTTTTCTTTCTCTATCCTCACTGAAACAGGCAGTTAAATCTGCATCTAATACAGTCGAGAGCTTCAAAGGCATGTTAAATTTAATGGAAAGATATGAAAGTAATATTTCTGTGCAGTTAAATATAAATTCAAAATGTTAGTAAGTCTAAAGTGGATTTTAAATGCATTCCCTTCAAGATATCACTTGGCTGTGTGTATCAACCAAATCTGAAACATATTCTGACAAGAATGAAAACCTACTACTCATTCCATGTGCACTATATTAAATAACAAAATGATGAAAAAATAGAACAGCAGCTAAGCTAAAATTATTTTATTATTTTGAACTCTTTCAAATTAGTAGCAAAGCAATGAAGATGGATGTTTTAATTTTAATCAACTTTGTAAAATGTCACTTGTTTATGATATGATCTTCCATATGCAGAAGCAGGCAATCTCAGCATGTGAAAGTAATATTGAAAATATAAACATCCATTCAAACAAAAGTTTCTATGCTATATATCAAGATCATAATCTTGAGAATGTTATTCACTACAATAGAAAAATCTTCATTTTGATTATTAAAATGTACAAAACAAAGACATTTTTTATTATTTAATTTATATATCATTATGAGTGACTAACACAATGAAGAACTTACAATGGTTAGTTACCAGGAAACATCATTGTAACACATGTTAGTTGTTAGGCAAATAACATGTGCAATGTTAAAGCAAAAAAATGTTTTAAACATCTGTGTTCTTTTTCGATAGTTAGTTTCCAGCAATATTCCAGCTATATCACAGTGGCTGATAAATAATTGAGGCTGGCCTTGGCAAATCAGTGGTTGATAGCATAAGTAACAATCCCAATATATCAGGGCATGATGACACAGTCAAGTCACACACTGTAGCCACCCAATTCACATTTAGTCAACTCACACAATATGTATGGCATAACAGAGGCCACACCTGCCCTGGAATCCCCTAGGGGAATTCTTTTGGATATAAGATATGGTCTGCATTAGATGAATCATCAATACTCAGTGTGTGTACACTACTTCCCTCCATCACCCAGGGATACGATGCTATATGCAATTCAAATTAGCCTTCCTTCACACAAGGCTGCAGCACAATTGCAAGTGAAATTTTACTGTTTGTGTGACTTAAGCCATTATCATGACATCATGCAATTGTTGTTGCAGCTGATTCTGAGGTAGGAATTCACTGGCCATTCTGAACATGCATCCATAGGTCATTATGCAAAATCATAGAGAAGTTATTTATTAACCATAAAATGAAACATGAAAAATCACATGAATCAGTTCATTCCAAAGTAAAGCAACATATTCGAGTGATTTCTCCATTGAAATTGAGCGCTCATTGGAACCAGACAGTGGTTGATTTGTTGGTTAAAAGCAGCCACGACACTGCATATCCGATATACATGATCACAGATGATGGTGGAACATGGTGCATACAACCCTGGAAAGTATTGATGATTAGATATTTTGTTGGTTAAGGAGAGAAGGTCATAGAGCACCTGCACACTATTGTCATTCAAACGTACACATGCACAGCATCAGTGCACCATGAGAGAACAAGTGACTAGCAAGTCACATGACAATGGCCACATGTAAATACACCACAAGCTTCATATAAAACATCTTCCTGAGGCAAGGGAGTTAACTGATTATAAAAGTCCAGTTTCCACCCTTGCCGAACTAGGCTGGAATTCCTGGGCTCGACCAAAGCACCACCACACCACTTGCATTTGTTTCAAACAAAATGGTGCCGCCCAGACAAAACGATCTGATTGATAATCAAGATCTATATTGTGATAAAACGGGTCTTACAAAGCGAAGTGCATCAAATCACGTGAGCACCTTGATTAAAAACATGAAAAGACTTGGAAAATATCTGTTGACAACGAGTTGGTGGTGCACATGCTTTGCAAATCCTACAATCGACAGAAATCTGCACAACATTTTACAAACCGGATTTCGATTTCGGTGCGCGATTTTGATTGGACTATGCATAGACTCTTTAGCCCAGCCAAAGTTTAACTCCATAATACCAGCCTAGTTCGGCAAGGGTGGAAACTGGACTTTTATATTCAATTAACTCACTTGCCTCAGGAAGATGCATATAAAATGTCATATAGAAAACAGAGAGAGGCTGTATTCTGGATGTTTTCATGCTACAGTTGGCACCATATATATCCTTTGTTGGTTTTTGTTTTTTAATGTCACACTCAGCAATATTCCAGCTATATGATGGTGGTCTGTAAATAATCAAGTCTGGACCAGACAAACCAGTGATTGATATCACGAGCATTGATCTACACAACTGGGATACAATGACATGCATTAACCAAGTCAGCGAGCCTGACCATCCGATCCCATTAGTCGCCTCTTATAACAAGCATAGTTGCCTTTCACAGCAAGCATAGGTTCACAAGACCTATTCTACCCTGGATCTTCATGGGTGCAATATATCTTTTAAGATCTTGAGATAGTGAATACACTTCAATATTATTGAGAATTCATTCCATTTTTTTGTTAATTATACATCCCCGAAATAGATAATCTTTGAACGTGGGTTTAAAATATGTGTTAGTATTTTGTTAATGCTGAGAAAATAAATGATAATCCACACCCTTTCTTTTTCTTAGGCCGTTGCTCTTCACTGAAAATTGAAGGCACAAATGACAACAAAATGCAAAGCGTTCACACACACACACCTACAACCAAATCATGCCTAAACAAAAAATATTCACACTAAACTAACAGCAATACAATAATAATTCAAATGAAATATTATTTGACAGTAGTATCTCACGCCATTCAAAATGATAACCTAAGCTAACAATCACAATGATACTGTTGTTATTTTCAGTGATGATTATTTCGCTTCATTATTCACACCATCTAAATATGAATGGTTGACAGATCAAAACTATCCAGATAGTTAATTGTTACATTTTGTATGTTAACACACACATCTACAAATGTGGCATACGATTAAGTCGATGATACTAGAAAAGCTCAATGACAATACCTAAACAATAATATACCAAATAAAATAAATAATAAACTATCCATTCAAGAATCTCCATATTATCCAGGATATTATGTATCCATTCCTTCTTTGAAAGGCATTTAGAAGTTGGAAGTACTAAGTATGGAAAATATACAGTTGAGTAGATCCAGCATCTAGTGGGACAGAGTCAAAGCCCTCACCACCAACCTCAAAGACTTCAAAATCAGAAAAACTACAAGAAGCCATCAACATGAAAAGACTCGAACCATCAATCATCTGTGATTAATGCTATTACATACCCTCTGCATACCATCAAGTCATAATCCTTTTGTTCATACTGCTGGCTTCATATTAACCCTTTTGTGTACATGACAGGCTTCTCCACTCCAGTGTAACTACATCCCAATCTACTCAACTGTATTAACACTATACTTCATATTTGTATATATGCTTGTCAACCATAATATGAACATCACTTGCTTGACAAGGGTTTCAGAGCCTACGCCGAAATGTCGCTCTTAATTGTAATAAAGAAGTTGTTTGTCCATACATCTTATCCTTACTTATATCCATTTTGTCATGAAAAATACCCAGACCCATAGCTCCAGTCAGTGATGTCACCATCTCCATCTCTCTCAACAGTAATATGGAATAGCTTTGATTCATTAATGTGATTGACTGCATGGCTATTTCTAGTATTGAAACTTTGAGTCCGACTCCAACCTTAGCACTAGTGGCAATGGGGCCAGGCAACCTGTACTGGGGGCTTCAACAGGCAAGTGAGCAGCTGAAGATGGGAGATCTCGTCTATGCCTTTAAGAAGGCAGTACCTTGGGATGATTGTCTCATTCCACAAAGAGATCTTAGTACTGTGACTGGCAACTCTCATATCTTAACATAGACCTATAACTGCCGTAACTCCCTGACACAGGGATCGATTTCACAATATCCAACCTGCACCAGTGCAGCTGAAACATTGCAAGTGCAAGTAACTTTTATTGCCAGGTTGCACCCAGTGCTGGTAACAGAATTAAATCTTACACTGTTACATTATCAAATATTTACACCTGTTGTAACTCCCTTACATTATGATAGACTTAGACTGTCATAGCACTTCAAATGCCATAACTCCATTACCTTATTTATCTCAGATTTAAGAACTCTCTTCCCTTGATATTGAGTTGCAAAATCCACAGCACAAAGATCACTTTGTGGAGGGAGGCCATCACTATAAGCTACTACAGGGATCACAATATGTGGTGCTTGTTATATGACAATCGTGGGATACTGAGCCCTGTTTGTGGCCTGGAGTCCGTCTTGGTACAGAGTCTGTTACTTACCCTCCCTCCCCTGAGATGCCAGCACCACTCCTCATGGCCGCCAGTCTCTGCTCCTCGGCACTGATGCTGGTGGCGTGTTGCATCTGATACAGACACAGATATACAGTCAGTCACAGTCCCAATGACCCAATCTTCAGCTGAAGACAAGATTCTAAACTCTACCAGAGCTCCAGATAAGCTGCGTATCGGCGTGAAATATGCATCAGAAATGCAGAAATACGCAGTAAAATATAATCCAAGCGTATCAAATACGCAACGAACATTACAGATACGCTACAAAAATAAAACTTGTGCGTATCATCAAAATATTGTGAAGTTACCCTGCGTATTCTAATAGCAAATCAGCAACTTATTTTGAAATTATAAACGAGCATTCCGTCAACCTTGCCAAACTCCACGATGACAGTAACATCACGATCATTTGCCATCACACTTTCTTGTGGAAGTATCGTGGTATTTTTTGAGTCCTATAAAGCTCTCAAACCCACACGACACCAGTTTGCAGGGACTAGATGAATGGTGTTTTTAAATATTTAACTTAAATACCCACATGTGTAAAAACTAGTGGGTAACAGAAATTTGAATACGCAGATAGAATTACTGATACCCAATGATTTTAAAATACATGGGTAAAATACCCACAACACAAAAAGCTTATCTGGAGCTCTGCTCTACCTCAATCTGTGACCGAGTCTCTCTCTGTGATTGAGTCTCACCTCTCGATCTAAGCTGGTTCTGCATTTCAAAGATGGCGAACTCTTGATCTTTAAGAGGCGCTTTAGAAGCTGTAGGATCAACATTTATCACCATTTGTTGATGCTTTTGTTAATCTGTGTATATGTAATCTTAGATTCATAACCATGTCCTACCTAGTCGTTGATCACTTGCTTGATAGAGGTATTAGAATCTGTACCAAAACGTTGAAAGAGTAAAGAAGTTGAAATCCAGGTCAACTCTGCCTGTCCCCAGATTTACCAATAAAGCTTTACACCACCCACCTCAAAGATGGTGTCTTCACAGAAGTTGACAAAGCTCTCCAGCTTCTCCTTGTCGCCTCCCTCATTAACCACACTGTGCAGGAAGGACCGCTTCGACTCCTACAACACAAAACATACATTTAACACAATCTTTCATATCGTTTCAAAGAACTACTGTGTAAGGGCCATGTCTGAAACAAATACATTACAGCATTATCCCAACAGAAGAAACAAAATTTCGACTAGTGTGGTTCATCAAAATTTATCCAATTTTTTAAATAAGTATCCAAATATTTAGTTGTAATTCAAAGGACAGAGTCAAAAGTATTTAATAATCCCTAATTCAAACATTTGGTTTGTTTGTTTGTTGTTTAATGCCACACTCGGCATTATTCCACTTATCTGACGGCAATCTGTAAATAACAGTCTGGACCAGACAATCCAGTGATTGACATCATTAGCATCAATCTACACAATTAGGTACGATGACATGCATCAACTAAGCCAGCAAGTCTGACAACCCAATCTTGTTGATCGCCTCTTATGACATGCATGGGTTGCTGAAGGCCAATTCTAACCTGTCTGCACCTGTCTTTCACTAATAGATATTATTTACAGCAATCGGCAATAAGTATCAGCAAAGAATTGTTATGAACGGGTATGTCGATAATCCCCCACAGCCAATGAGAAGTGATCCATCACCAGATCGTCAACACAACAATTTTCAGTTTCATGTGATCAGGGGACCCGGAGTGAATGCACCTAGTTATCTGAAAATATTTGTGAGCTAAAGTGTGAAATGATGATAAATAAAAACTTTTAAAAAGTCACCTATTTATCCAGTCTATCTCAGGCCATTATATTTTATATGCCTGACCACATATTCAACCAAAGTCTGATGTCTGAGGAGGGGACAAAAATGTGTTTGACATGTTAGCGAAAAAAACAACAAGAGTCATCAGAAAGATGACATATCCCCCCAGCAGCTGTCTGTAAAGTAACCACTAGTAAAAGTGCAATTCTGTATGTAATGAGTCAACAGTTGAATGTTCTTTAAGAAGCATACATTGTTTACCCACTGAATGGTTTTCGAATTCTGGCCCGGAAACGAACCCGTTCCCCAATGGAGTCTAGGTCCAACTTCTTTCCATAAAAATTGTAAAAAATAAAAATTTGTAAAAAAATAAATATCAAAAGGCACCACTTCAGTATGTGCCTGATAGATTTGCCAAGTTTTGATCAAATACACTGAATGGTTTTCAAATTCTGCCCCGGAAATGAACCCCATCCCCAATTGAGTCTATGTCCAACTTCATTCCATAAAAAAAAAAATTATTTTTTTTAGAAAAATTAAAAAATATCAAAAGGCACCACTTCATTATGTGCCTGATAGATTTGCCAAGTTTCGATCAAATACACTGAATGGTTTTGGAATTCTGCCCCAGAAAAGGAAATGATTACGGACGGACAGATGGACAGACGGACAGACAGACTGGCTGATCGCTATATTCCCCCACATTATATGCAGGGGGGATAAAAATGTCTATTTTTCCATTTTTGATAGAAATAGGATCAGCTGATTAGTGATTCAACAAATACAAAACTAATGGACCACTGAGAGTCAACTGTACATGTATGTCTTGTAAAAGGGCCTGTTTGTCTGAGCCATACCTTGATCTGGGGCTTCTCCCACTGGTCGATATGTGACTGCTTGATCTCGAAGTACACTCTCTCTATCCTGTTGGCGCTGCCCATGATCTCGATCCTGCCCAGGTAGGGTGTGAAGTAGTCTAGCACACTGCGTGCCTTCTCCAGCATACGCTCCAGTCTGGAGGAGGAAACATTCCGCCACAATCAACATCTTACTGCATCCCACATTCAACACCTTACAGCATCCCACATTCAACACCTTACAGCATCCCACATTCAACATCTTACTGCATCCCACATTCAACATCTTACTGCATCCCACATTCAACATCTTACAGCATCCCACACTCAACATCTTACAGCATCCCACATTCAACATCTTACTGCATCCCACATTCAACATCTTACAGCAACCCACATTCAACATCTTACAGCATCCCACATTTAACATCTTACAGCATCTCACACTCAACATCTTACTGCATCCCACATCTTACAGCAACCCACATTCAACATCTTACAGCAACCCATATTCAACATCTAACAGCATCCCACATTCAACATCTTACAGCATCCCACATTCATCATCTTACAGCATCCCACATTCAACATCTTACTACATCCCACATTCAACATCTTACAGCATCCCACATTCAACATCTTACAGCAACCCACACTCAACAACGTACAGCATCCCACATCTTATAGCATCCACATTCAACATCTTACAGCATCCCACATTCAACATCTTACAGCATCCCACACTCAACATCTTACAGCATCCCACATTCAACATCTTACAGCATCCCACATTCAACATCTTACAGCAACCCACATTCAACATCTTACAGCAACCCACATTCAACACCTTACAGCATCCCACATTCAACATCTTACAGCATCCCACATTCAACATCTTACAGCATCCCACATTCAACATCTTACTACATCCCACACTCAACTTACAGCATCCCACATTCAACATCTTACAGCATCATACATTCAACATCTTACAGCATCCCACATTCAACATCTTACAGCATCATACACTCAACAACTTACAGCATCCCACATTCAACATCTTACAGCATCCCACATTCAACATCTTACAGCAACCCACATTCAACATCTTACAGCATCCCACATTCAACATCTTACAGCATCCCACATTCAACATCTTTCAGAATCCCACATTGAAAGCAAGGCTTAGTCAGGTATGCCTCCATACTGTTCAAGCGTATTTGGTTTCACACCACTTCATAAAGTATTTCAGTTACATTACTGCGTGTCAGATTGATATGGTGGGTAGCCCCAATTGTTGCAACTCGCAGACTCTTGGTAAAACCCATAAGCACAGGAATGGCGCTGACAAACCAAGAATCATGATCAGGGTGAATCTGGGATTCAAACCCACACCCATAGGCCTAAGAAGCACAACTCAGCCCAGCGAATTGTAGGAATTAGACAATTGGCCCACCGAGCCCCTGGCTCAATACTGGGATTCATCTCATAAAAACAAATGCTAAATATACAAAATAACAATGAATAAGAAAAGGCATTGCAGGCTCTAAAGTAGTGGTAATGATCTATGTTGATCTCATTGACCAGTGTCCATCCAGTACTGACCTGGGTTCATTGGGCATGTGTTCTGACAAGTTGGTGAGCAGGACAGCCATGGTGAAGCCGATGTCCTTGGCGGGGTTGTGGAACCTGTCTGTGAACTCATGGAAGTCCACCTTGCCATCATGGTTGGCGTCAACGCACATCATGATGTACTCAATCTCCTCCCTGGCAATAGAGTCACATTCAAAATAACTTTCCTGCGAGCTCAACTACAAAGTACCAATATCTAAAAGGGCTCTGGTTTGGAGAGAGACCATCCTTTAATAAACTTTCAGCATTGCAAGCTCACAAATCTAAATGAAGAATGTATTATCATGCAGCTGAATTATACAATAATGAACACCTATACAGCCACGTACTTAACGAACAATTCATAGTATATTTTCACCCTGACTTTAAGCAATAGATCAGCCTGCAATAATAAACAGTTGTTTGACATGAGTACATACAAGTTAGAGTCTACTTGAACGTTTAATACCATGCAAACATAAAACCCTGTAGTATGTACAAATATATAACACAATAACTGGTCACACTATTAGCTCAAAACCAAACAATATATATCAGCCAGGAGAGCATAATATGATTCAGCACAAAACCATTTTTGTTTCATGCATTGCACAGACTCAACTTCCATGGGTATTTTGGTGATTCTGTCTGAAAACACACAACTTGATCCACTAGGGCTCAATGGATTTCCAAACAATCAGAAAAAGGAAAACATTTTCTGGTAAGGCGCCACACATTTTAGATTGGGTAACATGAGTTTGACAACCAGTTAACAGTTAACATTAATCCAGTCATATAATGGCAGGGGGCATCAAGAAAGAGCATGACATACTGTACCCATGTAAGGAATACACCTCAGTTATCCAGTTAATCATATCCTGATTCTATTATTATATGTACCCCAGACTTGTTTACTACCCTAACATGTAAGCATCTCTGTCTCTCCTATCACAACTTAGCACAGAATTTCTCTAAAAGAGTAATATGATTGGACGGCTATTTTTAGCATTGAGTCATTCACTCAGCGACATGGACAAAACAAAATGATGGTAGGGAATGAGTCCAGGGTCCATAATGGAGTTATAATACACTAGATAAACAAGGATGGTGGGGAATCGAACTCAGGTTTATGTCATGATGAACCTATGCTTTAACCACTGAGCTACTCGATCACCATTGTATACACAAAAGGAACAACTGGGGAGTGAGGCATACAAGCTCATTCCATCCATGCATTCACCTTATCCTCATTGAGCAAAATGTCTACATGATTTGTTTTTTGTTTATTAAAACCAAATTCAACAATACTCCAGCTCTATCATAGTGGGCTGTAACTAATAGAGTCTGGACTAGGACCCCATTCCACAATGCGATCTTAGCGCTACGTTGATCCTAGCCAATGAAAACAGCATTATCCAAAGAACATGTTAAAACTGGGTAGCATGTTAAGCTTCACCACAGCAATATGCACAGCTCTGCACCTGCTGCAACAACAACCTGCATCATCAGTAGAAACATTGTTGCAAACTGGGTAATGTGCACCTGGAAACAATATAAGCACCCATGCTTCGTTCCATATATCTCGAAGGTTCCATGAACCTTTTGGAAATATCAACCATGACATTGATTTCATTTTCAAAATGTCCACAAAACAACTGAGTTGATACAAGACAGTGCCCTGGTTGTCACAGAAACAGTCACAAAATATTTCATCAGATCATCCATTTCATTTTATGTATTAAATGTGAGTATGTCACTTTGAACACAAAAATAAATGTGTTCGATCATAAAATTACAAAATAATATGGTTTTCGGTATTTTTTAAGGAAATACATTACAATGTTGCTTAACATTTTTCCAGGTGTGTGTATATATACATATACAGGTTGAAACTCAAAGCAAACATAGGAAACATCGGACATGTCGATCATGATCTCTTGACAGGTTGAGTCAATCTTTATGTTTTTCACAAGGTTCTAGACTAGTAAATGAGGGTGAGGTAATAAAACATCAGGGATAATATAACATCAGGGATAATATAACATCACTCATGAAACCCCACACTCATGCTGACTTACTCCGAGTAGAACTTTTGGGACTCAAGAGCCCGTCGGAATTCTTTATGTGATATCCAACCATCATTGTTGGTATCAAACTCCTATAGACAAAAACACACACATGGTACTGCAGAAATCAATATAATATTCTCCCCCCGACCAGCCACAGTGTAACAAGTGGAGTCAGTAGTCAGCAGCAGAACCAACACCACGGATTGATACATAGAAATACATCACCTTATTCCTATTATGAAATGAAAAGACACCACTAAATGGAGGATGGAGGAGAGAATTTTGTTAGCAGACAGAATACTATTTTTGGTCAAGACATTTTTTTCTCTGAAGGAAGAAGCTCAACAACTTTGAGGGAATAAAAAAACATTTTTTTTCCAGGTATCCAATGATTTTTTTGCTAACCGAAGACAATTCTTGTTTCAAGCCTATTTCATATTTTGAAACAAGTTATTTTTAAAACACACACTACAGCTTCCCAGAATATCAAAACGCACTATTCTACCATTTCATAGCAGAGGTTTCACACTTTCTGGGAATCAAACCCAGACCTCCAGTGGGTTGAGTTAACCCTGAAGCTACCCACTGCCCTAAGAACTGTTACACAGTATGCACTGCATGGTGGATGGTCGAGTGTTAAGACTGGTCCCTGCTGTAGGCTACTTCTACACTTGCTGCAACTATGGCTGGTCTGCGGGGTAAGTTCATGTTACAAGGAGTACCAACCGTGTGTATGCTTTCTGACTGTCCAGGGCTTTCCGAAACTCTTTGGCAGATATGTACCCATCATGATTTGTATCAAATTCCTTCATGTTGCATTAAATAAAGTATTTATGTTGCATTAAATAAAGTATACATCATAAAACAAAAATATTTTCAAAGGCATGTTTATGAAAACATGATCTCATACATTATACATTACATCTGAAACATTTACTTCTTAAAAAAAAGCATGTTTATTAACATCTGAAATTTAAAAAATAAATTACATGTATGTCAAATTTGCAGTAAAAATAACAATTACAAAAATACTAGAAAAAGAGAAATCTTTGGTATGCATCTAATGTTTCTTTAATGAGGTGATTTTTCTAATATATTTGTGACATAATTATGTAACAGTTTTTCCTAGTGCCATGGTGCTTTGTAAGATGTCCACCATGGTTAGTTATGAGATAGAAAGATGGATGTTCTCACCAAGAATGCTTCAGAAGTGGTCAGGTCCTTCATCTTGAGGAATATGTCGAAGAACTTGAGGATCATCTGTGGAAAACAGTTGACAGTACATTAGTGACTTGTGTCACCAAGACAAACACATACCTGACACTGTCCAGCAACAAGCAATGTGCCCCTAAAGTGAGTCATGACACTCACCTCCACATTGCTGGACGACTCCACCAGAGTGTCAACCATCTGTTTTCCAATTGGTCCATTCATCACATTGCCTGGAATGAAGGAACAAAGAAATATTGTCAATCTGTGACATCCTAAGACATCCAGCACAGACTATCTTTACATAAGTAAGTGAATGTTGCTTAGCATTGCAATCAGCAATATCCCAGCTATATCACAGCAGCCTGTAAATACTCAAGTCTGGCAAGCCAGTGACCAGCAAGACCAACAATCCACACCATTGGGGCATGATGACATGCAATCAACCAGGTCACAGAGCCTCACCACCTGATCCCAATATTAGTCAGCTTATGACAAGTGCAAGGCAACGGCCCCACTACACTAGGCCCTCTCATACCCCCGCTATACCAGCCCCTCTCGTTCCCCAACTATACCACCCCCTCCCACTTCCCTACTACACCAGCCCCTCTCGTTCTCCCACTATAACAGGCCCTTCCACTCCACCACTATAACAGGTCCCATTATACTAGGTCCCCCTACTACCCACCTTCCAACATGGACAGCAACATGATCATCATATCCTTCTGCAGCTTCATGAACTCCCTCAACAGGTCCAGCTGATCCGGGTCCTGGAACAGAAGTAATACAGCCCTCGTGAACTGATCAGCCATGTCCCCCGATAACAATACACCCAGGCACATGTCCCCCATGGCAGTCTAACAACCAAGCCTCTGATTGCCAGTGTTACCCACCTTTGAGAGTTTGTCCTGCATGTGGGAGAAGATGTAGAGGAAGCCTCCAACAGCATCCCACAGCCTACTGTGAGCTAGAGCCAGCTGGTTCAAAGAGCAAGGACCCTGGAACAAGAATAACAGTACATTAGCCATTGTCTGGTTCCCACGTGAATCATGTTATATTGAGAAGCATCTGTCCCCTACAGATACGTTTTATCAAAATTAAACAGATTGATCAAACTACATCTTGTTGTCTGATCACGTCCCATCTTTCTCCCTGTGTGGTCATGTCTCACCTGACTATCTCACTGTCTAGTCCTGTCTCATCTGCATGTCTCACCTGACTGGCTTATTGTCTAGTCCTGACTCACCTGACTGTCTTATTGTCTGGTCGTGTCTCATCTGCATGTCTCACCTGACTTTCTCACTGTCTAGTCGTGACTCATCTGTCTGTCTCATCTTATCTCACCTGTCTCATTGTCTAGTCGTGACTCAACTGTCTGCCTCATAGTCCATCATGTTACACCTGACTGTCGCATCATGTCTCACCTGACTATCTTATAGTCTCATCATGTCTCACCTGTCTCATTGTCTAGTCATGTCTCACCTGACTTTCTCATAGTCTCATCATGTCACACCTGACTGTCACATTGTCTAGTCCTGTCTCATCATGTATCACCTGACTATCTCACTATCTTGTCAGTCCTTATTTGCATGTCTCATCATGTCTCACCTGCATGTCTCACCTGACTTTCTCATAGTCTCATCATAGCTCACCTGACTGTCTCATTGTCTAGTCCTGTCTCACCTATCTGTCTCAAAGTATCATCATGTCTCACCTGAATGTATTCAGAGAGTGTGCAGAAGACCTGCTTGGCAACCATGATGGCACGACAGAAGTTCTCCTTGCCAGCAACATCAATGACATCCTTCCCTGAGTAGTGCCAGTAGAAATCCATGATGGATTCCTGAAACCAACAGAGGTAAAACATCAAGTTTGTTGCCTTGGGTCTTGGATCTGTTAACCTCATACATTGTTTACTTTTGCAACATACTTTTTGAATTAATGCCAGATGGAAATCTAAATGCACAATACCTTTTCTTCATGATCCAAACCAAATGAACAAACAAGTCCAGGTTCTCAAAAACATTCTGTACATAATCCATCAAATCCTGACTTCCAAACGAAAAAGAACTGTATCTTATCTTACATCAAAATACCAGACCCACTGAAAAATATATGTGATAAATATATAGGATTCAAATATTTTCAACTGCAAAGCCTTGCTGTTCAGAACACATCTGATCTGAAGGATCAATGTCCCACTGGCCTGGAGTCCAAGGAGTGAGTGAGTGAGTATAGTTTTACGCCGCTTTTAGCAATATTCCAGCAATATCACGGCGGGGGACACCAGAAATGGGCTTCACACATTGTACCCATGTCGGGAATCGAACCCGGGTCTTGGCGTGACGAGCGAACGCGTTAACCACTAGGCCACCCGACTGCCCCGGAGTCCAAGGAACAAGCCTACTCTGCTGATGATGTTGACTGAGATCACATCATCCATAAACCACCCCTTCCCATCACAATGCCAAACCCTTTTCAATCAGAACACATCTGCACCACCTACCTGGAGTCTGAGCAGGTAGTCTACTGTGCAGATGATGATGTTGACGGTGGTGGTGTTGCCGGCCTGGGTGCGCAGGTAGTTCTGGAACTCCAGGTTATGACCTTCACACATCAGTTGGAGGAAGCGGAACAATTTACAGGTGAACTCAGCATCGTTCTTGTCTGCAGCAGCTACGTCTGTACTCATCCCGAGTCCCTCCGCCTTGTTGGTTCGTTCAAACGCATCAAGGTCAAGAACACTGAAAATGGTTGCAGGATTATAGATAGGAGGAGGATTTTTTTAAGCTTTCCATGGCAATAATATATTATTTATTTTTTATCAATGACATATGTGGCAAGCATGGGAATTCAAAATAACTTTCTGGTATTTGAATTCAAAACATCCTTCTTGAGTCTCATACAACTGACCATGGATGTGATGATTCTTATAAGACAAATTCTCAAGGTAACTAGAAAACCTTAAAAGTTATCAAAAGTCACACACTTGGTGAGTGAGTGAGTGAGTGACTATGACATTACCCTATCGGTGATTTTACCCATGTGGGGATCGAACGCAGGTCTTCGGCATGCCGAGTAAACACTTTAACCACAAGGCTACCCTGCCACCCTAATACACTTGGTGGGTGACTCAGCAGAACATCAGATACTGATACATACTACTGGTTTCACAGACCTGTATACCAGTGACTGACATTGTGAGCACTGGTGCAAGACACGGAGGAAGTGCTACCCACCTGCACTGCTGCATCAAACCAGCCACTGAGGTAAAGAAGGACACATCTTTCTTGTCCTTCAAATGTTGCAACATTTTCTGAAAAAATATTGTTTGAAAATTAACTTATATAATTTTCTGTATATTTATGTAAAAAAGACCGTCTTTATTTGGAACAATGGGGGCCTCTACAGTTACAAAATACTACCAACAGGTAGGAAGCAATAATACAGTGTTACAGCTACAAAAGGGCAATGTGGTTGTAGCGGGAGCTACTAAATAGAGAATATTTTTTAATACAAAGTGCAGCCGGAGCTGCTACTACAGTGTCCTATAGAATTCTGAAGAACAGCGGAGCTGTTCGTCTACGAGGACTTACTCTACATTACAGTGGGAGCTGACTAATATGACACTGTGGCAGTACCTATGGAGAAGCTTAACCAAGATCAGCAGGAGCTGCTACCACAGTGCCTTAATAGGAATTTGGAAGAACAGCGGGAGCTGGTTGTCCATAGAGGACTTACTCTACATTACAGTGGGAGCTGACTAATATGACACTGTGGCAGTACCTATGGAGAAGCTTAACCAAGATCAGCAGGAGCTGCTACCACAGTGCCTTAATAGGAATTTGGAAGAACAGCGGGAGCTGGTTGTCCATAGAGGACTTACTCTACATTACAGTGGGAGCTGACTAATATGACACTGTGGCAGTACCTATGGAGAAGCTTAACCAAGATCAGCAGGAGCTGCTACCACAGTGCCTTAATAGGAATTTGGAAGAACAGCGGGAGCTGGTTGTCCATAGAGGACTTACTCTACATTACAGAGGGAGCTGACTAATATGACACTGTGGCAGTACCTATGGAGAAGCTTAACCAAGATCAGCAGGAGCTGCTACCACAGTGCCTTAATAGGAATTTGGAAGAACAGCGGGAGCTGGTTGTCCATAGAGGACTTATTCTACACCGTAGCCACAATTAGGAAAGAGGCTTAGAGGTGGTGGGAGCTTGTAATGATTGTTCTGTAACATAAACTTCATTTGAAGCTGACTTCAAATGCTATGTAAAAAAAAGGCCCTGTAACTGGAGGGTTCCAAATATCTTTACCAATTGAAAGAAAAGAAAAAAAAAAAGAGAAGAAAATATCATTGTCATACAGCATTTTATAATAAAATATATCTCTGAATTTTATACTGGTCTTTCATCTCTTTCTGACATGTTTTAATTGATTTGTCTGTTGGTCAGTCTATATATACACTGAAATTTATTAATTAACACTGCACTATGCAATATTCCATCTATATGATGGCGGCCTATATAAAATCAAGTTTGGACCATTAAGTCGCATCTTACAATAAGCTCAGGTTACGGAGGAGCATCTCCTACCTGAACTTCAACAGGGACACACACACTCAAACAATCAGCTGTGACAGAACTCACCTTTTGCACATCCACATTGCCACCCCTGAGCAGCGAGATGCCAAGCTCGATAGTATTGGTCACCATAGGTCCGAGTTCCCCTGGAAGAACAGAGTTCTATGTTAAAGTATGGGAGTTATGATCGTCTCAGCGCCATGATCACTTTGTGAAATGTGGCCTAGGTCACATGGAAAAACAACCTCATCTTCATCAGTGTTAAATCAGTGAAATCCTGGGTTAACGTGTCAGTATAGTTGCGACCAAGCAAATGACGTTCTGGGGTAAATCTGGGATTTATACTAATTTCAAGAAAATATGAGTTCTATTTTTAACAAGTTCAAGAAAATACTGGAATGGTTGCTTTTTTCTCACAAAAAATTATGAAATAGTCACTAAATATCCTGATGTGTGTTGGGTCCTACAAATATTCGATAAGTAAGAGAGAATATATTTTGTCCCTAGCCAAACTCTCAGGCACTGCCTCAGAATATTAAAGGTCACTACAACCGATGGTCACTACAAGCAATGACACAACACAGGACCTACCTCTGCTGGCACCCATATACAGAAGCACCATCTCAGCAGCACCGCGGTCAGCCAGCCGCGACTGTTCCGACAACAGTTTCTGCTTCTCCATCTCCTGCTCCTAAATACACACAACAACCACACATTTAGACAGGTGGAGAAGCATCTTCATCATCATCAGTGGCAGGAACACAGGAGGAATCCCTGACTTGTGACCATGCAGAGTAAGGACTACAGCATTCACTAGTGGCTAGGCTACCGACTGGCTACACCCTCCAGTGCAACTCCATGTATTGTCATTCACTACTGGTGCCAAATCAAAGTACACAGTGTTGATGATGATGGTGATGGAAATGATAGAAATTTCTAGTTTTCCTTTTATAACATATACTATTTGTACTTTATATCAAGTCATTTTGTAATATTAGTTGTAGGAATACACCTTCTGTGTATCTTCACAACTTTAAAAAGTCTAAAACAAATTTACAATATTATTCAATTATTTTTTCATTTAAAAAAAAATTAATTTCATTCCATATGATTACTGATGTAAATATGTTAAAACATTGATTAATTACTTAAATTTGAACATCTTAAATGTATCTGAAATTCTATTTGGATAGTTTTCTTAATCGATTTCCTAGTACAGATTGAACAGAAACAGTTACTGACAATAATGACAGCGACAAGGAAAAAAGGATGTTTTAACAACTGTGATAGTGCTACTATATGAATATCTACAGAAACATTAGGTTGTAATTTTACAAAATTCTATTGCATAAAAAAATATCATAAAAAAATAAAAGGCTGAAAATTTGTCAAAACCAGTACCGAAAGAATATATAATGCATGTGCATATATTTACATTAAATCTTCAGTCAGTTAAGAAAGTGCAAACATTTTCAACAAAATTCAAAACAAGTTGTACTTAATTCATAAAATACACACATAAAGTAAAAAATTATAAAAACATGGAATTATCATGAAAATATTATTTTCATTTGAAAAATATATGTTTCTCAGCAACAAACACCTGTTTCTACTATGGCAATATATATGTCTTAAATATATAGTATATATGATATATGATGCTGGTGTATATATACATGTATTATGAGTGCAGTACAGGTATACGTCTATATAGCACAATACAATCCACCACAAACAGATCTAAGGGCTATCTAGGAACTACAGCACCATACAGGGGCAGGTAGGGGTATACACGGTGCGAGGATATTGCTGACAGCAGATTATCACAAAGCTGTGTATATTGTGGGCAGGGCACATTATGAGTGGGATCACATGACAGTCACATTAATCTCCTAACTCACCACACAATTTTATCAAAGTTTTTAAATCAATTTCTTCTCTCTACACTTAGTTGAAATAACAACGTTACTGTTGATCGATGATTTAAAAAATGTAACACTGAATTAAAATAATAAAGATAATTCTGTATCAGGACATGTGTATATATTTCTTACATTATGTCTACTTTGTTGAATTTACACAAAAAATTATTAAAATAGCATTTATTAATGACTACGTCGTTACAGGTATCTCGCCTTGTTTCTGATAAACAACTGAAAATCTTTACTACACAGCCAAAAACAGACTTAACAGTTGCAGCTCGATCAGAGGAGCACTAGCATTCTCTAGGTTTCTATGAAGTGAAAGTGTCTTCTACCACAAATATTGAACATGAACAACAGTTAACATTACATCTGAATTGCAGCAGAGATAGTAGTACCTTTAACAAATCCAGTTTGATCTGATGCAAACAGCAAAATTAGATGTACTCAAATATTCACATTGGTTCACTTTGTGTATTTTCCTCAAATATTCACATTGATTCACTTAAAGTATCAGTTCTATGTACAAGGTTCACTCATAACTACAATGATGGTGGTTGGTACCATCCTCATGGCAGTCTTTAATATTACTGGGGTTTCAAATCATATTTGAGACCCTACATTCTTCTACAGCTGAATATATGCAGATGCAGTGTTGATGATTAAAAGCACCATGGAGTTCCACGTAAAGCATGGACCTTGCTGAATCAAAATGCAATGCAATACTTAAGCATCACCGCACCAAGAAATATTCAAAAATGCTTGTAACAGAGAGATTTTGGTTAGGTGGTGAGAATAGAGACGTTAATATTCATTCATTTCACAAATCTCTGCATTACAAGGTTTGTCAAAGCCAAGCTCACACATGTGAATAAAAATGTTTTCTGTTGCCTGAAACAATTATTGACCCAACAAGAAAGTACAAACACTTCTAAGGTTATTTCAACTTAACCACACATTATGCAGCCTGTTCTCTTCATTTCAGCTAATATGTTTCAAAATACATCTAAAGGTTATTTTTAAAAAAACAACTTCATTATCAATATAGTGTTAATATTCTAAATTGCTCAGGGACATAGTAATTTGACCTTCGAGTATTTTATTAATACTGAGTTGATTTGGAGGGCACGGAGTGCTTATACATAGTGAGTGAACAAAGAATTTTTTAAATCCCTTTTTGCAATATTCCAGACAAATAATAACAGTCCAACAGCAGAAAATGGGTTTCACATATTGTACTCATGTGGGGAATCAAACCTTGGTCTTCAGTGTGATGAGCAAACACTTTAACCACTTGGCTAACCCACCGACCGTGACCATAAAGATGTAACCCATATATTATGAATGAATACTTCTGGCAATTAATATTAACAATGTCTATGAAAGATAGTTATGAATTATGAAGAGAGAGCTGGTAATCTAAAGGTGCCATATGTTATAGTTCCACAACAGCAGTCAAAATCCTTCAGTTAACCCAAATATGTGACAGACAACATGAGACATGTCAGTTGATCAACTACTGGATCACTCAGGACCATAACACCCCACTCCCTTCAAACTAAGACTCCTACATACTAAGGAAAACAAACAAGTTAATAAGCCAACAGTATAAGAAACACTAGTCATGAAGAACTTCCCATGTTCATCCCCTAAAACAGTTGCTACTCACTGTATAATTTTCTAGAAACTCTTGTTTCATTCATAAATCAATATAAACTAAATGCTTTACAAACTGATTGACGTGATGTTTGTATATGGAAGCTGTTGCTGAATTGGTTTCACTTATCAAAATGCAGAATTTCATAGAGTTAATGTCATTTTACAGCAAGTTATGATTGTTGTGGAACTGCAAAATACATGTACTAAACAAATAGTGAATGCTTGAATGTTTAAGTGAGCCTGTAAGCGCTGTGGTTTGAAGTAGATCTAGATGTATGAGTGTAGGGTGCAGGTGACCACGTGCTATCTCACCTCGAAGGACGGTCCTGGACCCTCGTCCTCCCCTCCATCGTCATCATCGTCATCATCCTCACCACTGCAGCTCTGTCCAGACAAACATACAACTCGGTAATGAACACATTTACCATCTTATTCCATAGATTCACATGTAGCCATCGTGTCATGTCCAATCAGTAATATGTTTGACTATAATTTGTCCCAGAAACTCTGGAGACAACAATTTTTCAAATGAAGGTTTCTCATGTCATGATCAAGGACCAGGCTTTCTATTTTGGGGTTCACAACTTTTTGGACTAAAATTAAGTTCGGTAGGTTGAAAAAGAATTTTTTAAATTCCAATTTCAAATATATTTCTTTAATGTCCGAAAAATGTGAAGTCGGTAAAAAATAAAAGAAAAATGTGAGGGCTCGAGGAATATGGAAAGAAACAAGTTCAGAGTTACCTTCCATCCGTTTCAAAAGGTCATAATAATACTGGTAGTATTTTAAATATTTTTATTTATATTGATCATGACAGTAAATAAGTTTGGTGTTTTTAACGGCTTTTTTTTGTGGCACATTTGATTTTTTTAGATATGTTAAACCATTTTGAAAGTCTTGCCTAAACAGAAAAGTAGCTTGATGTCTACATAGACAGCATTCCATTGAGCCAAAGGCTGGTACTCACCTTGGCCATGATTTCAGCATAGGACATGTACAGGGGATCTTCTGGTAGGCTGCTCTGCTGCTCCTTGGTTGCAGCACGACTGAGACATGTGATTAGTTGAGACAGGGGGTCTGGTTTAACTTCTTCCTCCTCCTTCTTCTCCCCTTCATCTTCTTTCTCACTGGCTTGCTGCATTGTCATATATATTTGTGATCACCCCATTTCATAAAGTCATATCCAAAGGAGATTTAGTTGAGAATCCAATACATCCATTTTTAATCAGAATCAAACACATCCATTTTGTTCAGAATCAAATACATCTATTTTTGTTCAGATTCAAGTACATCCTTTTTCCTCTGAATCAAATACATCCAATTCTATCCTGAATCAAATTCATATTATTCAGAATTAGATACCTACAAGTTGAAACACATTCACCAGAACATATTACATCCTGTATATTGCCAATTCTAAGTCATTACTCTGCAAAACAACAGGTGATATTTGGAGCATACTTCAGTTGAATTGGGATACTTCAGAAGAAACTACACCCAAAAATTCACAGTAAAATATCTAAAAAGGAAACAATGGTTCGGAACCAACTACATTAATCATCAGTGTTTATTCTAGTTGACAAAAAGGGTCATCTGTACTCTAAGCATGGTGTGACAGTGTATGCGAGCTTTTAAGAAATTAGACGGTCTATTCATCATTGAATTTGATTTCTTGTGCTTAGTGATAAATTTCCTATTTCTGTAAAAACCAGTCAAGGAAATAAAGCCAACCACTTCTCAAGGAATAAGCTGTCTGTCAGGGATAGAGCTGTAATTGAGCTGATCTCCAAATTCATGAATGAGAAAGTCTTGACTGTCATTCCATTATTTGTATCAGTGAAAAATAAATTTGCATCTTAAAATTCTATAAACTATGATTATGTCCATGTATGTCCATGATTTTCTGATGAACGGGGATAAAATTTTACCCATATTAGCGTAAGCCAATCTTTACAATGCTAATGACACAAGCCAACCAAAAAGCCTCTGCAACAGAGCTACTTACAGTGATATATAATTCATTGTTGATGAACATTAACAGTCATAACACTAAGGTGACAAGATTCTGTTGTATTGGAGACCATGCACCCACTGCTGCACTGGGTAATAATTATTGCATTATTATCGAAAAAGGTGTGGCAATGCTGCAACCTAGAATGAACACTACACCATATTGTCAGCTGGTGATTCCAATTCAGTATGGAATTTGCAAAAAGAAATACATCCAGATACATACATTAATATTTGCAATGAAGAAAAAGTGGTTCAGAACCTAATGCATCCACAATACTGCCAGTATTTTAAAGGTATTCCAAAAGGAAGTGCAATCAAATGAAGGTTTGTAATGAAGAAATATTGGCATACAGATCATACAACCAATCAACAATATTACATCTTGAAAATTCATCTGAATTTTAAACCCAAGTACTCACTGTAAGGTCTGTGATGAGGATGTTCTTGTCCAGTTCCTCCGTTTCTAGCCACAGGTGCTTGTAGGATTTCAGGAACAAGTTGATGGCACGATGTCTGTGGGAGAGGTTACATACAATAACCTGCTTAAAGCATTACTTTTAATCGGAAAGCCAATCACTTTTCAAAAGTCACCAACCAATACTCACATAACTGAACTTCAAACTGAGCATGTAAATAAGAACTGACACATAATTAACATCACAAACAATTCCAAACAGTGAAACCTTTTTAACTCCAATCTCTTTGTAACACAAAATAATCATGCATTGTTATAGACCTTGTGATAATTTGTAGCAGTACCCTACAAAACTATCAGGATGACAACTGAGGTCATCTTAAGTACTGATACTATTGTAAGTATTGCAATTGTAATGATAGTTTGATCAACCAGTACAGGCTGGACCCGTGGGGATTCAGGGTTAGAATAGGTCCCCAGCAACCTATGCTTATTTTATGAGGCAATTTAAAGGATTAGTTGGTCAGACTCAGGGGCTTGATTTATTTTGTGGCACTGTTGCTCAGAATATAAATCACTGGTTCGTCTGGTCCAGGCTTGATTATTAACAGGCCTCCATCATGCAGCTTGAATGTTGATGATTGGGTCAATAAATAACAAAGAAACAAGACATTACACCCCTACTTTGAGTAAACATGGTCTTCCTGAAACTGCAGAAGTTTGTTAATTGTTTAATTCCACACTCAGCAATATTCCTGCCATATGGCCACGACCTGTAAACAATCAAGATTGGACCAGACACTGTCAGGATATAATGACACACAATCAACCACACAAATCAACAAGGCTGACGACGCCATCCATTTGGTATCTTTTCAACCAGCATACGTTCATGGGGATCAATTCTATCCCGGAATCCATACATGGGAACTGAAAAGGTACCTGGGCAGACTGTGAAGAGGTATCATTCTGAAGCATGCCATGACAGCCCTCTTCCTCTGAGACGAAATCACCTTCTTCCAAGCACTCTTCAAACCAAGGTGGGGGTGCTCAACCTAGGACACAAAATCATTTCAATGTCACCAAGCTGAAATCACCTCATCAAATGAACATAACATTAGCTCTTAGGCACCGAATATTGGGGTAAAGACATAATAGTATTTCTATAATGTAAAACAACCTTAATGCTGAGGTCATGACATTCAGCTTGTATAGATTTATCAACGCTTAAAAATACATTAATATTTTTATTCAGTGATTCAGTAAATATTAATTATTTGTCTATATAACTTTCCACAAAATTATAATAATTAAATTTTCCCCAAGCATCATGTCAGAGTTCTTCCTTCATCATAAAAAAACCATACAAAAGTATTTATAGATGTTCACAAAAGTGTTGAGGTTTCATAAAATCAACTGATAGTGAAGGCATGGGTCATGCTAGGGAAGCAGACGTTAAGTTAGTTCCTGGTGATACACTTTCAGTGTTATAGAAGGTCAAGTTTGCACTGGTGAATCATGAGAGGTTATTGTGGAAAATGTATTTTGAAAAGTCAATTTGGATATCTTAAATGACTTGCTAAGAAATACTTTGGTTTATCTTCGTTCAAACTTCATTTGACAATTTCTCCTCAAATGTTGCCAACATTGTAATACCAGTAAGAAGGTTTGAGTTATCGTCAGACAACAGAAAGAAGTCAGTGACAATCTGCTGAAAACGAACAAGAATATCTTATCTTTATACAAGGAATACCTCGTTTCAATACAAACACAAAGTCAGTGAGTTTGCCGTTTCTACAGAATACTTTTCCAGACAAAACCCACCCAGTAGGCTTAACCACAGGTCAGGAGTTGACATACCAGAGACTATTCACACAAAATCCTGTAATTTACAATTTCAGATCTTATTCCTTCTTCTCCTAAGCCATTTTTTTTCTGCACAATAATAGTACATTAACTATAAATTAGTCACGAACCAATGTAGGAAGCTGAAAACAAATCTTCATACTTGAGACAAAGTTATATACACATACATTGTGTGTTTCTTACAAACTAAATCCCCTTACATTAACATGAGTGACAATCTGTGACAATCACGGAAGGCACTAGTGTAATCCAATCATAGAATATAATGAGTATCATCATGAAAGGTCATTGCAGTATCCTAAGCAATCAACAATGGCAATTGTCATACATATGAAATTGTATATACCATTTAATTTCATTGCAATATTCGAAGGAGTTAACATACTTGAATACCATATGAATGAGTACAGAGGAAGATCTTTGCAATATTCCAAGCATTTAACATACTTGAATACCAATGAATGAGTACCGAGGAAGATCTTTGCAATATTCCAAGCAGTTAATACAGGTGAATACCATATGAATGAGTACTATGTAAGGTCATTCCAATATCCAAAACAGTTAACAGGTGAATACCATATGAATAAATACCATGTCAGGTCATTTCAATATTCCAAGCAGTTAACACAGGTGAATACCATATGAATGAGTACCATGTAAGGTAATGTCAATATCCAAAGCAGTTAACACTGGCATATGTCATACATACAAGTGCCAGGAGGCCACCACAGTATCCCAAGCAATTAACACAGGTGAACACCATACACATGAGCTCCATGACATATCATTGCTGTACCCCAAGCAATCAACACAGGCAATCATATTGTGTGAGAATTCCAAGAAGGTCATTGCTGATATATGTGTCAAGCATAAAAGCTTGGAGCGGGGGTTCGAGGATCAAGTTCTACAAACGTGTCCATGATGTGTTTGTCTCTTCCTCTCCAAAACAGCCATTGCTGGATTCTCCACCTAGAACAGGTAGTATCATCTCAGACCTACCTCTACTCACTGCCCTCATACTCCATCTACCATGATGCAACATAACAATACTCTCCCTTGGACCTTTCTACCAGTATGACTTGGCATACGGGTACATTGGGTGTGGTTAGTGTTTGCGAAACACCTGGTATCATCACTGGTTTACAGTGATCTATTCACATAATTTGCATCACTATTTTGCCTATGTATGCCCTATTCAATCCGTTTTGGTGGATATTTTAGATTAATTGTCCTTTGGCATTGACTTTTTTAATTGTCAACCATCAATTGCCCTGTAAGTATTGATATATTTAGTCTATTCTACAATCATAAGATGGGTAATGTTGGTGCATATTTGTATCTTTTGGTCTTCTATCAACTAAACGTGGTTATGTTGGTAAACACAGTAAACTACGGTTATAACGAACACGCTTATAACGAACTGACGGATATAACGAACTTACTTTTTGGTCCCGACTACTTGCTGTAGTCATGCTGTATATGTACTTATAACGAACTACGGTTATAATGAACTAAAATTAGTAGTCCCTTTGAGTTCGTTATAACCGTAGTTTACTGTATGTAACTTAGTGTTTACTGCCAACATGACATTGGTTAAGTTGATAAATATGTAATAAAGTGGTTACTGCCAACATAAGATTGGCTATGTTTGTAAATATGCATGTTAATTTATTCTACCACTATAAGACTAAAAAAGATAATAATCTTGGTTCTCAGGCACCGTTGCATCTTCACAAAGTCCGCCACACAATTTGTTTTTATTTCCATTTTCATAACAAACAAAAATCCTTAAATATTCCGCATCTTTAACACACACAACTCTGGCAGTGAAATGCTACAATTCTTAAAAACAACATGATTCAATATAGTGTGTATTTACTTCCCTTTACATGCACACTGATGGACTATGTTATGGTCATGGCGGCAATAGTTCTGTGCTTGTTTTGCTGTTTGCAAATTTGGTCAAGGAAAACAGGAATTTTTTTATAAAACATCACTATGTATGATGATTTCCAAATTCAATGGTATTTGTGTACTGTATGGCAGACAATGTTTCATACGCAGAGAATAAGATTACATGGGTATTTGTCTCGTAAAATAAGTCAGAAATAGCAAGCAGCTGTTTACACATTTTCTCGCCGAACCGTGGGTGATTTAGTTTAAAAAAGAAACACTTCTTGTCATGGCCAATATCATAACTGTTAAGAAAATTGATAGGAAGACCGAAGTGTTTGTATCTGAAACAACTAATGTTCATTTCAATGCGAGTTCACGGTGAATTGATGTGATTTGTCAATCAGATCATACACGATTTTGCCGAAATTGATGTAAACAAAATTGAATGAAATCTTGGTAAAAAGTAATATAATGGATTACAAACTTAAGCCCAGATACACAATGAACACTTTTATAGTCAGATAGTGTAATAATAGGGAGTAACCAATATGGATTTGTTGACATGCTTCTTCCAGTGTTGTGTGCCCACGATAACGTTTTCGCATTATGAAATAGCATCAAAGCTCAAACAGAAGTCAAATATTGTATTCCAGTGTTTAACTTATCAAGGAATACATTTATGTAGGGAGACAACTTTCCAGGTTGATTAGACACAACAGTTTATTTGGTTACATACTAGTTCAAACGTCCCCCCCCCCACCAAAAAGACCTGCCCGCACTATATTTTCAAAAGCCATTGCCTGAGAACCAATTCTTTTATTTTTTAACCCTAAGATTACCTATGTTGGTATGAATTTATCTTACTGTATTGTAAAACAATAAGAACAGAGATATTGGAACAGGGGGTATTCTTGTATATCCTGCGAACATTCATTGTTCAATACAGATCACTTTGATGTCTGGCTACTTAACAATATCCCACCAACATATGCAGGGTAGACAGGTATTCGGGAATTAGAATATCCTTTCAATATCAACTTGACTATGTGGATATGTGGCCATTTTAGTGTAGTGTAAAATAACTTGTCTCAGTAATGGGTTACAAGTCACCTGAGTCATACACAATATATAGTGCATGTATTCATATTCTTCAATTTTATCACACATGAATGAACCAAGGTCGTTCTAATCTTCTCTGTTCCTGACACAGTTTGTCATCTTCGTCTTCCCAGTACAACTAATAGGTGGGTTATTGTTGAGGTTAGGACAGATTCCACACACTGGCTCTCGAGTCATTATCCAAACAAGTATGAACAAAAGTTTGTAACTTCACAAACATGCAGTTTAAGTTGAATAATAAACCATCCATGCAAAAACAACAACCATGAACTTAGTGGAATGTTTGTAACCAGTAACAAGGGTATCGTGAAAGCATTCAAATATGGTGAGGAAAACACAATGCCAAAACCTATTCTCCATATTTGGTTCATGAAAGTGTACCTTCGTCTCATTACATTTGATTGCTTCCACTACAAGACATGTTATCATGATCATAGCAGCATTAATGCATAGTAACATCATAATGCTCCTTCTTAGTAACAATAACATTATTCATTTAAATGCCAAAATTTCATCTTAGGATTAAAAATAATAATGTATAAACCATAATAATTTTCCATCAGTCATATTCTAAAAAGGAGGCATTATGGTCCAATATATCACACATATTTTAGTCAATCCCCATGACAACCAGCAGTCTCTGGTTAATGTGGGACATACCCGCTTACATACTTAAATATCCAAAACACGATAACATCGCCATCCAAAACAGAGCTCGTCGAATATCGCATATTATCGTCACATTTGTAAATCTGTTTTATGAAGAGTTAATTTAAAAACTATGCTCATATTACCTTTTTCGCCAAAGTATTTCAAACTTACTTTGTACGTACAAAGATAACATTATTATTAATATTTTTTTTATTTTTTTTTAATATTGCTTTTTATATCGATAGCTATCACCCACAATATGAAAAGCCCCTACATAGCAAAGGGTAGTTGTATTTCTATTTGAATATCAAGAATTCACTCAGCTCTGATTTGAACCACATTGACTTCATTCAGCAATATCAACTTGTCCGATTCATGACATTCTTGAGGTAGCACATATCACATGTACGCCATGTCTACCTCGCTAGTACAGCTAGCAACAGTGCACAAGTAACTGTTTGTTAGATCAAGGAAGAGAAAGAGAAAGATGCTATTTTAGTGTTTTTTGGAAACTATTCTTTAAGTCTGAAGCTAGAGACAATCTTCAAACTAATGACAGTACCAATTCTAACACTTGCGAATGCCTCACTGCATTCACTGTGCGGTGAGTTTGTAACAGGGCAAATGAAATACACATTTACATTACCTGGCTTTGAATATTTTCCTGTGAACAAGATTCATAGGTCCTTCATATCAGATTGAAATACTTCCAATCAGAAAGTTGATATTTAGCAAAATATTACCATGTTGTAGTACCTCATTTGACTGACAACTGATTAAATTTCTTCAAGAAATAATCATTTATTATATTTCAGTCCATATCAGTAAGCGAGTATGTCCATGGAGCCCCTTTGTTGTTAAATGGTTGTAAAATGCACTACCTTTATCGCCTTTGATATAATCAAATTAATGATGTTTCGTGAACTAGAATGATGTTCTTACTTATGTTGGTTGCTAAGATGGCTTTAGTTCTTGGCTGCATAAAACTTCTTCAGTAAACATTTTAGTAGCTTCATGGAATATTACGGGCTGTAACCATTATTGGACAGGAAAGGACAGGAGTTATATTGTTACATCTTTAGTCCACTCGTATTGAGATTCATCCTTGACTAGCCAGTGTATCAAATCGTCATCCTATGATGACATATACCCTGGATTCATTCGCCACCAAACTTTGTCTAGTGTCTGGTTCGAATGACGCATTGCTAAGAATAACCATTTAATCAAATTACAAATGTTCTTCTATGCTTGCAAAATGCAGCGATATCACCAATATTCATCTTGTCTTGTTGAATACTGTCTCAATTGGTAGATGTCTTGCAGTATTTGGATTTCCGGCCCTCCCCCATAACATCTTTTCCAGTCTAAAAGTTTAAACAGGATTTTTATTTAATTAAACATATTGAGCTCTCTCATACAAGGCCAAAATTTTGATTGCAATCTTTACCAACTAGTGTTCAGAAAAGGCAGATTGATTGGTCGTTGATTCCATGCAAATGACTGACAGATATTCTGTACTCAGTTCATAAGAGTAAGTGAGATCGTGATGACACTTCAGACAGAAAGCTATGGTGGGGAAAAGTCTGAGTATGTATCATAATAGAATGAAGATATAATACACTGGATAATCGAGGATGACTGAGATTATACATGAGCGATATTGATATTTCATCGCCATATATCCACCCCATAACCTGAGTCTTGATTAGCCTGCATCAGTGTATGAATCCACACTTTCTAGAGGCAGCACATTTGTGAGATCACAATGAAGATGAATATCACACTTGCTATGAAGCTGAAACATTGCTTTCTACATAAACACTAAACAAATCCCACAACAGTTGGATCAATTTTTGATGACACAAATCCTCCCCTTTCATCTTTTGCCTCCTTGTACAAAACAGACTTTGCTTAGACCAAGCTTTGTTACGCAAGGTTAGATCAGACCAATGGTCCAGTTTAACCTTATGCTGCATTGTGTATGTGACACATGATTTTCAGCTACCTGTCCGACAAAGCGTTCTTAAAGGTACTATTGTTGTTGCTTCTGTTCTTTAACACTGACTTACAATGGTCAATCCTCTAAGATCACTTTGTGGAATGTTCACCTGGTCTAGGGCCCACATGCATAAAGTGATCTTAGCGCTACAATTATCATAAACCTCTGTTAGAACAATGTAGTTACGATCAACGTAGCACAAAGATCACTTTGTGGAATGTTCACTGGGTCTTGGGTCCACTTGTGATCTTAGTGCTATGATTATCGTAAAACTATGTTAGAGTATCGTAGTTACAATCAACGTGGCCCTAAGATCACTTTGTGTAATGTTCATGAGGTCCAGGGCCCACTTGTACAAAGCGACCTTAGCGCTTGGATTATCTTAAAACTAATTTAGAGCTTCAATGTTATGTTGAACATAGCACTAAGATCGAATTGTGCAGGTGGACCCAGTTCCACAAAGTGATCTTAAGGTTACGACTGTCGTTGCATTTATTCTTTATCCCGGACTAGGTCTTAGCACTAAGATCGCTTTGTGGAACAGGTCCCAGGACATAAGGCGTCGTCATCTTAGTCCTACAACTGTCATAAGTCCCACACGTACAGACTCATGACAGAAGTAGCTTCCAGATGATTGTAGATCCAATGTCTATATTTGAATGTGTTTTGTACAAGAAGAGCATAGGGTATAGGGCTCTAGCAAAAGGATACATGTCATCAAAATATGGAGCAGGCTTTAATTCTACCACCTTCAAACAAGATTCTCATGAACAACCACAGAATACAGTCATAGTTAACACATTTGTAGGATTTAAATTTTCTATGTGGAATAATGCTGATCAAACTGTCCAATACATAGTCATACCAACCTCTTAATCAATATACTGGAAAAAGAATTAATACACCAATCTTTATTGCTTATTTACATCCATGCTTGACTTTTACTGTGGCTGTTAAAGAGGAACCTTGTATTCTTCCAAGATTTACATCTCAACCAGAATTAGATGATTTGTTAGGAAATAAAGCTGCTGTGTTTTGAATTTTGAACTGATGCTATCACTAATTTGATACCTTCAAGCCCTATTTGATGCCAAACCTGAGGTCACAAATGTGTTGATGTATTTAATGGCAACCATACCATGAAATTCAAGATACAGTAGCTATATTTCCGTCTACCATGATACAAGACACAAACTCTGGGTGTGAGCAAGGGTTATAAGTGATGTGGCATTTGCGGAGTGTGATGGTTGTAGTAGTTTAAAGATCAGCTTTCACAAAGTTGAGTGTCTTGTATACAGTGAAATACACTTTAAGTCACGTGAGAGACATTTAGATTATACAGCTAAAATTATAATTGGAAAGCCCATAATAAAATGTACCAGACCTGAGAGGTTTATTCTAACATTTTTAGACCATGTCACAACATTCTACATTGTTGTAGAAGCATGGCATGTGATCCAGTAGTCAAGACAGAGAAGAGCCAAATTTTGGTGTCGCTGAATCTAATAATACAATGTCCTAGTCACTTTTGTATTTTCTGTTCAAAATGTATTGCTATAATTAGTCAAGAAACCATCGCTCTACATTTCACTACCGACAAGTACTAATAGATCAGTACGGTACTTGAAAAACGCCTACAGATCTGTATTAGGACAGAATAGTTGTTTTGTTATAAATATTTCCTTTTGCAGGAATGTGTCCACACTTCAAACATAGGTACCATATTTGACGTAATAAGCACCCAGGGCGCTCTCAAAATTAGAAATAGGGGGCTCTTATTAGAATATAATTTCGGTGAGAAAAAAAGAATTGAAAGATGGTAAATTTCGTTTTTTATGCTGAAAGCCTGAAATGATACAAAAGAAAAGTCGTATTATACACGACAGATATATTTTCCAGAATTTAGTTGCCCATAATTAATGGTGCATATAACACATGAGTGTGTATTATACACGAATAAAAACATCTTGTGTACATTGATCATTTGGAAGGGGTGCTAATTGGGATTGTTCACTAGCCAATATATTAGCAAATATCGCCGTGGGCGCTTATTAGGACGGGGCGCTTATTACGTCGAATACGGTATGTTATCGTGATTTCACACCTATGATTTACCAAGTTAACCTTTAAATACATAACATATCATTTAATTCTGGTAAATGTAAACTTGGAAGATTCTGAAGCATTTCATGAACTGTATCCTCAGAGTTATTCATATAAAGAAAACGTCTGACAAAATCCATAAAACTCTGATGCAACCATTCATATTGTTACAGAAGTTTCACCTGAGATCAATGGCTTACTATGAACTCAAAAGGCAGAACTGAGGATACATGCCATCAAATCTTGATCTCACTGTATGACTCATTATAAACACAGTTAACACCGACACACGGTATTATACACAATACTAACATTTCACACACCTGTGTCAAATCTTAAATAGACACCTATTCATAAACATATTTCCTTCATCTAAACTATTCAAAAACAGACTTACCAGGTAAAGACCATGCATAACCTTTGCCATGGATATGATTCGCCCAATAATCTTGTCCCGGCTTGACTTGCTCTGGCCTGTTGTGCTTGTGTCGCCAATCTTCTTATAAAGTACCTTCTGCCACCTTGAAGCTTCATCAATCACCTACACAATGTTTAGCATAGTCTCATTACTCTTCTCGTTAACACACAATACATTCTTGTACAGGTGCATACATACTCCAATGTTAAAACACATCTGTGACGTCATTCTATTGTTTAAATGTTCGGTTATTTTTCAGAAACTGGCAGTTGTTTGTCAGTAATACATTATCTTCAACTAACATTTCAGGTAATTTACACTCAGTATAGGCAGAACTATTGTCTTGTCTATATATATATCTATATATATATCTATATCTATATCTGTATATATCTATATATATAGATATATATATAAAGACAAGTGGAAGATTTCCAATTTTGTCAGAAAATATATGTGGTCAGCGGGGTTCGAACTGCATCATTTGAATTGAGGATGTCTAATTGTCGACACCTCAGCTATGGCGACACATGACAGTATGGTGTGAAATTAACTATTAAATCTTTTCAAATATTTGCATATGAATGCCATTTTGTGTTACAGCATGGTACCGATATATGTTCATACATAAAGCAATTAGGTAAATCTTTCACGAGAAAAATATTCAGGTAAACATATGTATCCTTGTTCAGGGCTCTACATTTGCTAAAATCCCAGGCACCCTGTATTTACAATGTGCAAGCGATTGATACAATACCAGTTTAGGGCCCTACAAAATTATGAAGAGCCGTGGACCATGCATTGTAAATATCAACCCACAATGGAGCTTGGTGCACGTGCAACAACTGCAGATAACATATTTCACGTGCATCACGCATGGGCGACTCACACAGTATAAATATAGTCATCAAAGAGTTCTGGTTTATTTTCAAGTATCTTGCACAAGAGAATGCTTTGTCAAAGTGTAAAAGTATGGATGTGTTGTAAGTAGGGGAATATCCTCGTAACTCTCGATTCCTTAAAAATAACGGGCCTCGGCTCCATTATTTTCAGGGAAAGGAGAGTTACTCAGATATTCCCCTCTGCAAACATAACAGATAACAGATAATTGCATTGTACCAGGATTGTTTTAGTACATGACTGACCCCAATGTCTTTTATTTGTTTAGATCATCCAGTTACATGATATTTCATCAGATTCTTTGATTCCAAACTATCAACATTAAAACATCTGTCCAATATTTTCCATGCATCAGCAAAACTTTAGAACTTTCAATATCAACCACTTTGTCTGCTATTCATAAATTGCAGATTTCAATAGTTTGATTCCAAACTTTTAACTAAAATGTCGGACCACTTTTTTCAATACATCTGCAAAAAAAAAATATCTTCTGCATTGTTAATTTGTTGTTTTTGCAACCCCACACTTAAAGTTTTATTTTTTTCACAGAAAGAGATGCCCAAGTTTCTCATTTGTTACTTACCCCTTCAACTGTTTCTAAGCTTTGAAGAAGGAATTCTTCGATATCTCCATCGGGGTCCTTCTAAAACAAGAAATAGTGAGAAACCCGCCACAGGCAGTTAGTCTACCATGCTCAGAGCACGCCATGCGGGTTGACAGAAGAACAGAAAAGTGCTTGCACGGAAAGGGGTGGAAACTGGGGACAGTGAAGTAGGCACATTGACTAGCATAGTGAACACTGGCCATTCAATCAGTGCAGGATGTATTCAAAAAATGCCCAACACCATATTTAGTTTTGAGTTTCAGTAATAAAAAGATGTATTCGATTCTGGTACAAGTATAAATGGATGTATTGGTTTCTGAACATCAGGTACTTCATGGATGTACTTGATTCTGGGGCATTTTGATTTTGGGTCATTTACAACAATGTGTTTTATTGTGAGTGAGTGAGTAGTGTTTTAGCAATATTCCAGCAATATCAAGGTGGGGGACACCAGAAATGGGCTTCACACATTGTACCCATGCTGGGAATTGAGCCCGGGTCTTCGGCGTGATGTGTGAACGCTTTAACCACTAGGCTACACCAACGCCTGTGTTTCATTGTGATAAACTGTATAATTGGATTGAGATAAACAGTTTGAATGAACTGTTACTGAATAAAAATGCATGCTCAGTTCTGTTTTTGCTAAATCTATATACCATTTTGTTAATGTATTGGTTTCTGAATTTAAAACTCTTGGATGTACTTGCTTCTGATACAACCCTCAAAATCTCTTTAACTTAATAATTAATAATGTAATCATCTCATTCACAATCTTTATGTCTCCTAATCATTTGGGAATACAAATAATGTAAATTACTTCATAATCAATTGTCTTACACAATTAAATAATAGTAAATAACAATACATGGATGTGGTTGTATCTGAAGAAGTGGGCACTGCAGGACCTAAGATTGTAAAGACAATTCTGCATCAAGTTATGGAAATTTCAAATGTTAAACTTTCAGCAGCAGGGAAGGATTGAATTTGGGATAGGTTTGGGCAGATTGGGGTGGGTGGGGTTTATATGAAATTAAAGTGTTTAAGGTCCTTCAGGAAATATAGTTTATTTATAATCTAGCCATCACCATAGTTAATTTATTGTGAAACCATCACCTTAACATCATAAACACAATCCTAACATTTATTATTAAAACAAAATTCCATCATTACATTTGTATGCAGACCATACAAATAACGACTTTCTACATGAAAATAATTGGTTGATTTCCTTTTACATTGAATTACTGGTGAGACAGAAAAAATGAAATCGACAAAGACATCAACCACACTTAAACACAGACTTACAATAACTAATTACATACATTCTTAGACTAAAATAATCAGAAATGAAACTAACTTTCTAAAATCAAAATTTCATCGGAGAAAGTTCAAGAAAGAGATCAAAAGATACATGCCCAAACCATTGCACAGCACAATGAGAAAAACGTTGACGCACAGGAGTGGGTCAGCACGGCAAAGATGAAGTGAAAGTAAGGGTGGGTTGGACAAAACATTAAGTGAACACGGAAGTGGACAGTGTAGGAACACTACAAAGAACAGAGTCTAGCACATCGACTAAGGTAACAGGGCTCTAGGTTAACAAGTCATTTTCTTCAACTTGACAAGATTCTATTCTAAAGTTAACTATTCCTCACTGTCACTTGCAACAAGCTGACATACCTTTTCGGAGATGGTTATCTTAAAGTTGATAATATGTTACATTTAATGACACAATAGCTAAAATTATTTTTTTTATTTTATTGAGATTGATAAATTTTTTAAGAGGGCCAAAACAATCTTTTCTTGTTTCACATATAAACACCCTCTTAATTGATTAACTATATCAGTCAAATTTTAAAATGAACAAAATACAGAAGTACCTGTATTCCTTCTTGAACTATTATCTTAAAATTCTTTCCATTTGAAAATATAACAAACTATTTTTTTTATAATATCCTGATATATACTCATGCCAAAAGAACCATAGAAACACATAGAGAAGTATGTACATGAAGAAGAGATGCTTCCAATGTGTACCACTTAATGACAAATCTAACAATCAGTCAAGTGTTACCACAGAGTGTCTATATTCGTTTCACGATATGCTGCACATGATTTCCAAACTCTACATGCTAATCCTGCACGAGACAAATGGTGCATATTGTGTCATGGATCTATGACGTCACATGTGATTCGTTCATGAGCGCCGGCTCACACATAACAGTATGATTGTTTGTGCATCGAACCAATCTAATATCCCTTGAATATGAGTAATTCTTCATAAATTAACAAACGTATGTTATTCGTGTTTCTTTTGGCGGTGAGTATATTTGGTTATCAAATATAAATTTACTTTTCTATACTATTTTTGAATCTCTGTCTTAATATATTGGCCTTTAAAGTAAAACAAGAAATAAAATTGTTTTGGCTCATATAAAAATAATTATTCTTTATAAATAAAATTCAATAAGTGTATGAACTTACTTGAATGAGCTTCTGCTTTGCCTGTTGGAGCAGTTCTTGCTCCCGTCCCGAAAAGAAGCTCAAACCAATTGGCACCAAACGTTTGAGACAAGCAACGTGTAAACTGTTATGTGGCTCAAGACGTTTCTTTTCCTTCCTTTTGGTGGTTATTGCTTTCTTTGCAGTGCCATCTTGAGGATTAATTTTGGATACAGCCATTCCTTTTGATTGGCTGGGCATGATAAGTGCCATGTTGTCTATTTCATTGTGGGCAACAAAGTTTTGCTCTTCTCGCTTGAACATCTGGAAACAATATATTCAAACTGTTAGTTCCAGGATTCCTAGTAGAGACCTAGTACCATAATCATCCTTGCCAGCCTTATTAATAAATTTTGTCAGTCATTTCCAGATTCAGATTCAGATACCATGATCTTATTAGTGACCAATGTCGCCATATTAGAATCGCACTGAACCTATGAGAAATGTAAGGTAACAAAGTATAGCAAAACTACACCAATGAAAGCAAGGCGACTAAAAGTGATACTTTATATGTCTGACCAATATTTATATTATTTTTTCCAAACAATATCCATAATTATGCTTTATGATCCATTCATGGCATTATAACTAACTGAAAGAAAGTACGCTGTAGGAGTCAAATCATGTTTACCATGTTTCTACTGGACACCAGGATCAATAGCTCTTGAGTTTACCAACCAAAGCCATATTTTATTATCAACATCCATCATACACCTAAGAACCAAAAGGCAGTGTTGGTTTGTTCTGACATCTGCGGGGCATAGGTAGGCCAGAGGTTTAAGGCACTGTAATTAGCTCTCTAGAGAAACCTTTTGATATTGGGTTTCAATCCCGGTTCGCCTCGATCATGTTTCAAGGTTTATCACACAGAGAGAGAGTGAGTATGGTTTTACACCGCTTTTAGCAATATTCCAGAAATATCATGGTGGGGAACACCAAAAATGGGCTTCACACATTGTACCCATGTCCGGAATCGAAACCCGGGTCTTCGGCTTGACGAGCAAACGCTTTAACCAATAGGCTACCTGACCGCACCTCAAGGTTTATCAGCACCATAGCCGTGCTCCAGGGTTTCATCGAAGTGGTAAACACCTGAGACGTACATCACTTCAGTCTTTCCTCCCACATCAAGCTGACACGCCGTGATATAACTGTAATACTGTTCAAAGCGATGTAAACAAACTCACTCACTGTAACTTTAGAGAGAGAAGACTCACCAGGGACTTGGACCACATGGAGAAGATCTCTGCTACGCCACTGAACAGTTCCTCACATTCCACTGCAGGGTACTTCAGCCAGTGTGAGCGGTGGAGATCTACATACTTGATCAGTAGTGGGTAGAACGCGTAGATGTCTCTGGTCAAAACACTGTATTTCTGGAAGTGTTCATACACACTCAAGTAAATGCACTCTACTGGCGGATGACAAGTGGGGGTGAAGGAGGTGTGTACCCCCTTTTTTTCAGACACCTAACATGTTAACTGTGCCCTCAGCCAAGTCATAAATATAATATAAACTTCTAAATATCAACTCATAAGTTTGGACTCTTAGATATTCTACATTTTGCTAGAATTATTTAATATTACATCTGGTAGCAGAATATCAAGCAAATCATTTGTAGAAAATAATACAATCACATATCATGGACAGCTCGCTAGCATTACTTTATACTATAGAACAGCAATCAATCTCATATCTTATAGCAGAACAGCCAGACATTCCATTTCCTAAAGCGGAATAGCTAGCAATTCAATTCTTATAACAGAACAGCAAGAAATCCCATTTCTTATAACAGAACAGCAATATCACATAGCAGAATAGCCAGCAATCCTATATCAATGACAGCTGTCATCACTATATCTTATAGGAAAATATCTAGCAATCCCACATCTAATAACAGCTACCAATACTCTATCTTGGATAAGTAGAAATCAGAGAGAAATCAAGGAACTCATACCTCCTGCACCACTGCCTCCATGTCGGAACTGTCAGATGTTGACCTCTTGTCAATGATCAGTCGCTTTTCATAGTACTCCACATTGACGGATGCTTCCTTCAGCTTCTTGGCGATGGGCAGGAAGTGATCCTTGATCATGTCCGGGGTGGAGTTGCCAATGATGGGCTGGGTGCGAGCTGTCAACGACATGGATACCATCAATACGTGTCTACATTTGGAACATCTGTTCATCATGAGGTAAAATGAATACAAGGGACAAACTAATTCATATCCTCTAGGACTTGGTTAGTCATTCATAGTCATGGGCGAAATACAGGCTCTACACATTAACCCACGTGTGGAATCCAACCCAGGCCTTCGGTGTGACAAGCCAAGGCTTTCACCACTAGGCTAACCTATCCCCTCATTATTTTCAATCAAATTATATTATCAAGCGAACTTTTGTCTGACGATTTAATTTTCTCCCCAGATTCTCCCCAGGCAAATTGTTTCTTTTTTCAAACAAATGTCAGACACACCGTTAGCACATGAAATGTCAGCGTAAATGTTGTGACAAATGCCATGCTGTGTCATGAGCTGAAGGCATTTGCACTTTCCTGATATATGTTGTCTACCAACAAGATTCCAATCATGACACATAGAAGGACACAGCTGGAACCACTCGAAAGTATCTACTCATCCTAGTTTTATATATGATGCAGCAGCAGTCACTCACTGGCAATCCTGTTCATCCAAGGAGCATCTTCTGACCCAATGTTATTGAGGATGAGCTTCAGCACATTCCCCAGGACAGCATTCATCTGCTTGGCTGTCACTGCTGACACACTGTTTCTGAAAGCAGACATTGACAAATGCTAAATTATGTAAAGTTACACATTTCTAACATTTTCTTTAAAACGTCCCCAAGATGTAAAAGTAAACACACAATCTGAGTATCAGAAATGGAACATCTGATATACAGCTGCAAGTTTGAACATGTCTCCCAACATCTCACAGAGCTCCACTGGATGCTAATTGCTGCACGGATCAACTATACGATCCTCATCAATGCCTACAAGTGTCATAACAACCTTCCACCTGCCAACTTCTGTGATACTTTCCTCAACAAACTCTCAGATCTCAACAACATGTGTTCACTGTTCGCCATGTTAAAATTGTGAAAGAGAACATTCCCATACGCTGTAGAATAATCAGATGGAAAATCTGAAATCTGCTCCCACTATTTCCTCTTTCAAATCTCAGCTTAAGACATTTCTGTTTCAACACTCTTACAGTTGCTGAAGCGCACATAGCATATTATATACTTTTCAAATTGTTGCACTATATAAAAGCATGCATTATTTATTGTTGCACTATATATATATATATGCATGTTTTATTTATTGTTGCACTATATAAATGCATATATTATTATATTAATCTTTTATGAACAGGCCATGAACTCAAAGAGTAGCACACTCACCCATCCGATGTCATTTCAGGCCCATGATTCAACCAGAATGGCAGGTAACTGAAAACAAGATGTCCACATAAATTATGTTGCTTTACTTAGGCACAAAAACAGTCTAACAAGAAGTTAATCAGTCAAACAAAATGCAAAAAGACCAACTCCAAATGTCACCAGTTCAATACTTGCCTGATGTGCATTTAAAGGTTCACAAAGAAATAGTGAATGGTTAATGAACCATGTTCCAGAAATGAACCCTACCCTTATTTGAACCTGAGTACAACTTGTCACCTTTGAACACACAACGTTGTAGGCTTAGTGATAGGACTCTGACATGCTTCATCAACTGTCTAACACAGAGGCTTCATCTTGTAAACTCCACCAGGGCCAAAGATTCACCCAGGAATATGTGATTGAAGAGACAAAGATTGTTACCAGACACTACCTTGTTTCTATACAATCATACAGCTGCCCTTACCTGCACAACATTGGGAGTGTGACCTCTATAACGTGTGGGGCCTCAGCATATTTGCCACCAGAGTGTGCCAGTTCCTCAATTTCTGCCACAATCTTGTTCAGATTTGGAAGGTTCTCTGCCAGTTGGTCCATAACCTCTGTACAAAGAGAATACACTTGATGATAATTGAATTAAGTTCTGCATATGACTCCTGTTCAACTCCAAAACTGCTCCATGATTTAACAAATGAAATTTCGGGACACAATTCATGAAATTAGAACATGAAAAACAATTAAATAATTTGCCTAAACAATAGTCTGACGATATGTCCCAGAAATATGTCCCAGAGCAGGAATAAATGCCTTCATGCATGGTGTTCTGCTGGAGTTCCGTTGCCTGGCAAAATAATATACAGTGAAACCTCAAAAAAACTTTATTTGATACTGTTTAATATTTTGTAAATTGTGGTGTCCTCATCAACACTATGGTATACCATCAACACTTGTCTGGAATAATTTGAATGATCCCAAAGACGTCAGAGTCAACCAGGGCCATGATTTTAGCAAACAGCAACTGTACATGTATAGTCATTCTATTCAAACAAAAAATTCAAGCTAAATTGTCAAGCAATTATCTTAATAATGATTTTCAAAAAATTTCATTTTTACAATTTGGTAAGGGAAATAATTAAATAATGTTTTCACAGTATAGCATAACCCTTCTCAGCTTCATAAGGAAATCATTCAAATCACAAACCCTGAGCTTCCAGAGAGTGCTCGGAGATTTTCCCTTCCAAGCCAAAGAGTATGGAGTAGCGGTTGTACTTGTTTCTGTCTGGCTCGAGGAACGCGACGGGGAAACAGCTGGCTAGAGACCCCACACACTCTCCAAGTGCTGGACGATGTCTGACAGGAACAAACACAAGCTACAGAGGTCAGTTCAATGGCAATAGTACTTCTTTACACTAAATTGTCCCATTCAACAAAGTAATCTTTGAGTTACAGCTTTGAATGTCAGAGTGAGTTGGATTTTACAATACTTTCAGCAAAATTTCATCACCATCAGAATTTCTTATATATAACATTTGAATAAAAAAAAATTTACAACTAAAGTGTAACAGGCTTTTAAGTTTAATAAGATCAATGCCTAAATCATCTGCAGATTACTTAACCTTCCTAACGGGAGATCTGTTTCTCATAGCATGTTCAAAAACATCACATGCTTGTAAGTGAAAAGCATTCCTTCTTGCAAAAGAAATGAAAAATACATTTTTGTTTAAGGATTTCTGTCTGATTGTTTATTGTTAAACACACTCAGCAATATTCCAGCTATATTAGTAAAGTAAGTTGTGTATGGACCAGATAAACCAGTGATTGATAGTATGAGCAGTGTCCCACGTCAGGGTACAATGACACACAATGGACAAAGGCACTGAGCCTGACAACCAGACCTCTTTAGTTCCCTCGTACAACAAGCAGCGGTTACTGCAGTCCTATTCAAACCCAGAATCTTCATGAACAAAAGTTCAACAGAAGCTTGAGAATATTCTAAGCTAAGAAAGCTTCCTGGCAGAATAACATCCTACACAATGAAAGAATCTACACTACATTTGTCTCCACCACGTCACTACACAACGAAGTATCTCAACACAGTTGTTACAAAATACACATTGTACAGACGCTGTAACCAGTAGTATAGACAATGGGGGTACGACGCCATGTGGGAAACCTATACAATACTTAATAAGAAAAATATTCAAAAGACACTTCAACATATTTGGGGAATGGTAACACATGGTTATTGAGTTTATTTCACAATAAATAGCAAGTGATTCCGTGAAATTTCGTTAGGTAACGAAGCAAATTTTAACATCTATGTTTCCATCAACCTATTTTCAGATTTATGTTTCACGAAATAGAGACTGGTTATTCTCTGGTGTTGATTATTTATATATTTACAGTATCATTAAGGAGACTTGATTTGGGGTTGATTTTCTTAAGGATAATAATTATCATAAATAAGGGACATTGGCTCTTAATGGGTCTGTATCTTCAAGAACAATGCAGGATGGTCTTTGTGAACAGTTCTCTAGTTTCAGACACTCATGTGGTTTGTATAAGGAACTAGCATCTAACATTAAAAACAGGGCTATGGGGGACGATGAACAAAAATACACACTCACTCGACATCAATTTAATCTACATCTCACATCAAGACAATGTTGTACAGAATTTCAGAAAATACTCCACCTCTCTTAATGTGTATGTACCAGTATGCATGTGCAGTTGTTAAATCTTGGAATGATAAACAGGTGGTGCCCCCCCCCCCCCCAATCCTACTTGCAAATTAGCACTTGATACAATCATAGAGAAAGGCATGGTCCACTTCATCTATAGTCACATTCATTATTGATATTAATATCAAATAATCTCCAATGAAAAAATCAAAAGTGTTATTCTGTAGACTGTGGCAGCTCTGAAATTGTGAAGCTATTAGAATTGTGATGTGAAAAACTGCAAGAGGCAAGAACAGACAGAAGAGGAACAGGACTCTACAAGCAACTTGACAGCAGAACAACAATGGCAGACTGCTAGAGTCACATAACCGTCAGATGGAATCTCCCCAGGGAATTCAACTAACATTTTCTTTTAGCCAAAAGTTTCAAAATATGTTTCCTTTCATCCTGAAAATAATGTAATTTTCAAAAAATACACACAAATATATACACAATGATTTTAAGCTAAAATTCAAGTATGTATTTTCTTTAACTTTGCCAATCTACAACTTGAAAATGTCCTATTTTCCAAAAATAAACAAAAATATTCTTTCTTGGGTTTATTTTTAACAATCGTTTTAAGCTAAATACCATGTATTTATTTACCTTAACTTTTCCAGTCTGAAAATTTAACCCAAAATATTTTTTCATAATTTGCAGTCAAACATTTTAACCCGCTGGAGGAATGCATTCTCATATCTGCATCCAAAGCAAGTGTCACAATTACCCTCTGTGATTCCAACAAATCTTTACAGAAGACTTTGCTCCTTGCCACTGTTGTTTTACTGATACACCGCAACACTATTCAGTGGAACAACCATCTAACACACTCACTGCTTCAAGGGGGAACCAACCCATCACTTCACAATGCTGGATGGGCAGACAAGGCATCGTAGGATTTCTTATAAAACCTTACGTGATATTCCTTTACATTTGACTCTCCCTGTGAACCCATGCTCAAATGTTCCACCTAGTTTCTTTTTGAACAGATTTTAAATTTTTCCTTTCAATATTTAAATTTAAAAATAAATTTAACAATAGTTTTAGAAACTTCATAATTGTTAAAAAAGATCATCATAAAAGGAAAATACATGCCATGTATTGGACAAAAAGTGTTTAAAATTTGTAATTGATGAATAAAAAATGTAATACATGTAAAACAAAATACATGTATATCAAATGACACAAAACACATTTCAGGTTGGAATCAGAGGAAATGCACACAAGAAACATCACAAAGGTTTCTAGAGAAATTATTGAATTTGAATACTCAGCAATGCCAATGGGTTATAAACAAATGCAGCGGAGTTTAGTCTCAAAGTAAAAATACTCAATTCATGCCCAAGTGTGAACGAAGTACCTGGCGAGCTCCGTGGTAATTGTCTCCCTATTCCCACGAGAGTTAGAAAGAGAAAGAAAGATATGAATACACCCAAGAAGCCTGGCGTGGAAGGTGATGATGGTGCTTGTCAGATGATGATGATACTTTCCTAAGAACTATTCAGATACTTAACATAATATTTTCGAAACAACTTTCCATATCAACATGATATTTTCCTTACAAATGTTACATATTGAACTTCTTCCTGACACTTTTTTTCTGTAATCATGTTAAAAATGTCAAACAAAATTACAGGTTTGCATTTAATATACTTATTCTCATAAAATCCAGAACAATATAATAAAATATTGATCTCCATGCAAATAATGGAAGCAATATATTTCCATGAACTAAAACAAGACTATTCAAGAAAGTTTAATTTGGAAAGATACTATTCCGGCTACCTCAAGCAATTTTAGCAATTGAATTCTCCAAAATATTAACAAATCAGAGTGATATATAAAATATCAGTTGTAACAGACACACATGTCTATTATCGTCTCATTCTTTTCAAAGATTAAAATGAGAAAAGAAACATCATTCCAAAAACTTGTCAAATGTCACATAGCCATAACAAGGCAAACCAAGGGAGCAGACGCATACCATAGTCGGAAAATATGCCACTTTCCTTGAAACTATGCAAAAATTTAAAAAGGGGCCATGAAAAAGTGTGAGAGATGAAAAGAGGCATAGCCTCATGCAAACCCTGAAGATATGAACCCGAAAGTATCATCTACCTAGGTTTGTCAGCTTTTCTAGACTTGGTAGGTCTGCTGCATTAATGATAATTGATACTGATATGAATTCATTAATATATATATACGATGCCGCAGGTAAGCGGAAATTCAGATGAAAATGATTCTTAAAGCTTAAAGTGTGAAATTAACATGGTTATCCATCATATTGAACAATATATATCTCTAAAAAAAACACAGACATGGTTAAAAAATAAAACACACAATCATTTTTATCAAGTAATTAATCATTCATTGTATCTGGTATTGAATCAGTGTAATATGAAAATAGAAAAAGATTTAAATTCAACACGCTGAATATTTTTTATAAAGTTTCAAGACTAACTTTTACCAAGTGGAACTGTTACAAAAGCTAGAACAAAGAATGGTATCTTACCTTTGCACAAACACGGAGCTGCTCGTTCCCAACGTGTAGAGGGCGTTCAGGATGCGGTAGCAAGCTAGCTGAATGTCTCCAACTGAAAACAATTCATTGAAATCATTTATGACATAAGCAAATTACATTGTATGTTTTTTAGACAAACTGCAGGATTCCTTGCTTAAAAAGCCCACAGTATACTGTCCTCATACTAGTTTCCTTACAACTAATTGTTTAACAGTTGATACAAGTTACCTTGCAATTCCTATGGTAAAAGATGAATTACCTGTTTCCCATGCCATACAGAAATAGAAGGAGAGATAGTTCCCATACAAATCATGATGGTAATAATGAAATATAGTTTCACGGAAAATATCTCACCAACAAATATCATCAAATGCAGTTTTAAGTCATTAGCTCAGAATGTTTCTACAATAACACTTTGCAGAAGGAAATGAAATAATCATCAGTGCAATATTTTCTGTCAGATCATAAATATTTTGTAACATACAATAGTGTTCATCATACCTCCATGTCAGAATGATAAGATCTAAGAGGTCCATGTGATCTTGATAAAATACTATGTATTCTGCCTCAGGGGTAAGTAAATTTCTCAGCAGGTGAATGAACCTCTTATACCCCGCCATGTGCAAGTCAGGCTGCACATGGATTTCTGAGAGGCAGAATAAATCCCTTATACCCTGCTTCCAAGCAAAGAGCCGCACACTTTTTCCGACTCAATGGAAGTCCCCTGACATAGCACAAGTTAACCTCAGCTCAATTCTTTTACAATGTCATACTAACACGTCGGTAAGATAAATTCGTTGTAGCAGGATCACGAGGGGTACATGGGGTTTTATGTGCCCTCGTTAGGATACAAAGTTTTTGCACTACCAAAGGTTATCTGAATGAAAATGCTATACAAAACCCTTTTTTCTATTTCTGACACATGTTCCTACTTTGATCATATAGACTCACCCAGAAGATCTGTGCCGAAGCTGTTGTTGCCGAGGTGGTCAAACTGTGCTGACAGCACCGGCAGTAGCACCATGTGGACGTAGTTAAGTGAGGTGGCACCACGGGTGATGGTGCCCTTGACATGACTGAAGCGACCTTTCAGCAGATTGTCCATGACCTGTGCAAGGTCATCTGCAGCGTTGTTGAAGAACGGCAGGAGGTGGGAGCGGACAATCTCAGGACAATTCTTTACCACAGACCTGCAAGAAGTAGACTCAAATCATGATCCTTTTGTTTTGTGTATATTCTTTTGAATGATTTTGACTTGACAAGAAACTTCTTTTTTTCCTTAGAAGAGTATATAAACTCTGAGAGTCAATGCGACTCCTTCACAGTTACAAAATGAATGAAACAGAAACTTGGCAGTATGACTTCAGCAATTAATTAGTTGTACCTTGGAAATGTGGCAAAATATCATTGATACTTATAGGGGCATAGCCACATTGCCACATTGCTACTGGCAGCTATATTCCAGCTATACTTGTACTCTGGGCTAATCACACCAGTGAATTTTCCTACACATAAATCTTAGCCATAAACTTTATTAAAATACTAAATATGGAGCTTTTCATATTACGAGTTACATTGTGAGCTGCATTTGGCTAAAACTCTGTCCTCTGCAGTAACATCATCAAACATACCTGCCAGAAAAGTTACCTTTTCAAGTAATGACCCAAACTTGAACATTTATTCATCAAACTTCGTGTTATTGTGTTAGTGCATTTCATGGCAGTCCAATATTTTCATTGGCTCCATCTTGTGAGCTCATACATTTTAGCCACTGATGAATATGAAGATTGACTCACCTAAAATCTACAGCCTTGACAAGGACTCGGAGGCAACGGACGGAAATGTTGACATCGTAGCCGAAAGCAGTGATCTTGGCTCTTAAAGTCTGGGCCAGCTTACAGAACAAACTGCAATAGAGGGATTTTGTAAAGACACTTCTCTGAAAGTTACACATCCACATTGATGCTTCATTTTTAATCAGATGATGTGATATTCGTAACAAAGGCATGAAATATATATTCCTTTTAGTACATATTAACTTAGTAATTAGTAACAACTCACATAGCATACAACTCTTATCTGACTGGGTTTTATGCATAGTCAGCAATATTATGCCCGTTATGATGGACAGTGAAGTATGTGCATGAATACTTCTTTAATCAGAAATTTTGTTGTTATCTGGAATGGTAAAGACTATAGTCTGAGGCTCACTTGTTTACATTGTAGTGTCAGGTACACCTACACATACCTTCGTAGTATGAGTGGCGGGTGCTACCGGTAGTGCAGGACATGCTTACCCATTTCGTGAACACCTGGTGTCACTACTCATTTTCAGTGATCCATTCATATAAATTTCACAACTATTTTGCCTATAAAGCACAGAGGAATCTGTTTTGTCAGATATTCAGGACATATAAGCCCAATTAACACATCAATGTCAACACTGTTCGTAAATATCCATGACAGTGGCGAAAGTCACAGAGGAGAGTTATCTTCCCTGACCATCAACCTGCTCTCAAACATATGTTAATGACAAGCAAGAGGTACTGGAGTGGTATTGGGGACCCACCTTGCTGTCATCTCCTTCTCCTTGACAGATGCCATGCTTGAGGTGCTGGCAGGTGTATTCGGGCACGCCATGAAGTACACACGGTGAGCATGGAAGTACTTCTCTACAAACGGCAGCACCACCTACAGGGCACAAGCAATAATGGTTTCATGTTAGCTGTCATGTCATCTCTACACACAACTAAACACATTCATATAATCCGAAGTGACATTGTTACACTGAAAGTAAAACCAACATGACACTGATTATATTAAATTTTCATTTTCATTTAACTTCCAAGCAGCTAATATATTGTTCGCAAAACATTCATGTATTCAAAAGAATAGAAGATCTACACATATTATTTGCTTTTCTACATCAGTACTTTTCAAGTCATTAATAACATGATGTTTCGTTCATCACAGAAGAAAAATAGAGAGTCCTTGTAATAAACATAGTAATAAAATTTGAATTTCATGGTCCGAGAATGAAAATACGACAGCAGTACCTCTTAACTTCTAAATCAGCTGTTCCATATTTTCAAAAAACTGATAAACTGCATCTCTTCTGGTTTTCAGTATTTGTCTTACCTTTCCAAAGAATTTGACGTCCTCTGTCGCTTGTGTGTAGCTTCCCCTGCGACTGAAACGAGAGCTGGGTCGCGTCTGCCGCATGTTCACCGAGGCGATCTCCACGTAGTCGAGGAGTTTCTCCAGGAGGCTGTACGCGAAGCGTCGCTCGGTGGCTGACATCCCAGGGCCGCCGTCCGTCTCTGACTTGGGGTTGTGTCTGGAAGAAGACTCACGTCTACGATCCAAGCCTAGGTCGCCACCGCTACTCGACAACGGAAAAGAACGGAAGAAAAGAAAAAGGTGAACACACAATGCATACCTGAACACTCATGCTGCAAGCCTCGGCTACTGCTTGTAAACAAACTGAAAAAATACAGAAATCAGGATGGCTGAGCTGATTTCAGTGAACATGGAGCAGAATATGTGGCAGTGTTGTACATCAAAGGCAGACGAGGCATTGAAGCATGAAACACATAAAACACGTGGTTTTGAAGACTGTGTACACAAAATACATCTTTAAAAAAAGTGTTGGACAAAATAATGTTCTTGGTAATGATGAAATTTAAGGGTTTTAGCAAGACAGAATATCTCTGACATACATAACCTCAATAACTGTATGTACTAGTTTGGTAATGACAAAATAAAAGAGCAATGTCATAAATGTCATTTTGGACAACCAATGATAGCCGATGACCGTCAGGGGTTCAAACACAGATTTTCCGTATGACAACTTTATATCATTCAATAATTATCAACTTCAGGACAAAAACTTATAAAGTTTTATTGAATTTTTTTTTTGAAATGATAGATATGTTTTGATAATGAAAATATTTTGGAACTGTACTTTGAAATAGGTCATGCACATGATGACGATGGTACTGATGATTATAATGAAGATGATGAAACAACAGCTTACAATATGTACATGCCTAGAATGGAATTGACACAGATAAAAGTAATCAATACTCTCAAAATGTCACTGACAGTTTTGAACATGCAGACACCAAAGTGTGTAATAGAAATTGTGCATGAGCAAAATTGTCGAAATTAGGGGAATTTAAATATCCAATAGCAAAATCTGGCCAACAGAATCTTGAAAACATATTATTGGGGGCAGCGTTTGGAAAACAGGAAGCAGAGAAAAGAAATACAGATTACTGCATAAATTCATCTACAATAAATTATCAAGTATTTCTGAGCAAGTCTGTATCATTATTGGAAATATATCAAACCACTGTTCTCTCTGCAATTCTCAAACCTATTTCAACACATTTATTCAGAAACAATGTTGATCTCATCAAGGAGGAGTGAATGAGCTGGAACCTATACCACTTTAAGCAATAGCATTATCCAGCTAAGGACACAAAGAGTGGGTTGGCAACACACTTTATGTTCTCATACTGGAAATATAACTCTTGGCATGAGGAGACATTTAATCACTATATGCTACCTCCCACCTCACCTTGAAGAGACCTCCTCTCTGAATACAATATTACCAAGTCACAGTAAAACCTCATTATTACAGACAATTCTTTAATATTCCAATGCTACCATCTGGATTTGGGGAGCTTCAAAGTGTGAGCATCTTCTTCAATAAGACAGCATCGATACAGACTAAGATGCTCCTGAGGCGGATCCAAGATTTTGAAAAAGGGGGGGGGGGGGGCACCTAATACCCAAGTCATAAAGTGAGAGGGCGCAGTAAACATGTACGGTGTCTGAAAAAAGAGCGGTGCGGACACTGTGCACCCCCTCATTGGATCCACCAGTGCCCTTTTCTTTTGTATGTCTGCTGGTAAACAGACACATCTCCCCTTGATGGTGCCACCTGCCACCGACTGAGAAAAGAGGTGGTCATTATGAAGTACCTGGAGATCCGGAAGTTGAGGAATTGCAGGAACTTGAGGAGCTCCAGAGCATGGTCTCGATACTTCTTTTTCTCCTTGTCCGTCAGGATGTCGTAGGGGACAAGTTGGGGGTGCAGCCCTCCGCCTGGGGACACAACAGAAGGGGAGGTCAATGATTAGCTGTCTCTTTATTGGTTCCAACTTTACAGATTAAACTCACAGATCCACTCACCTACCCAGAGTTCCTTGTGATCAACCTAGTGCCTCTGCCACCAGTCAGACAGATGCAAAGATTCCTCACATCTTACACAGTACATTCAACAAATTAAACATGTTTTTTATTCATTTTTTTAAAGTACACACTTAGGTAAGCATGTCATCAAATTGTTAACTGTTACTGAGAAAATATCCTGAAACGTGAAAACCTATTTCCAGTTACATATTTATCCTTTGCTTATAATGGTTGCATGGTTCCACAGGCAGACATCAAAGCCCTACTAATAGTTTCAAGTTTAGTTGATGAGATAATACACAGAGTAACCATAATCTCTGCACACAAAACAATCCCTAGCAGAACCGAAAATACAATTTAAATGGTAAATCATCATGTGAAGTGATGTTTTATTGCAAATTTCACATTTTCATAGACCAAGTTTGTTATCTAATCTTTGTCACCTGAAGTGGTACGATGTAGTTCTTGAATGCTCACAATACTCCTCAAAGAAAAACTTCGTTCAGAATAATGCATCCCCTAGAGGGAGGTGTGCATGATGTTTAGGTGCACATAAAGTCAAGAAAATATGGTAGTCGTTGTATACTAATCTGATATTAGAAACATAGTAAGTGATAATAAAGTTGGGAAACGCCTGTCACATAAGCGGCAAATCAGTAAGATACTATTGTCATACTCCCTTGAGTAATGAGAGTCAACTGTACACATAATATGAGACTCTACAGCATCACATAGTCCCTCACCAATCCTCTCTAGTTCTGCCTTCTTCCTCTTGGCCCACAGTTCATGAGCATTCTCAGCAAGTCTGTCCACCATTGTCTGCAACAGAGGAATCTCTTGTTACTTCACTGCATCCCACTCAGACTGACCACACACACCACACTGTCCACACTGTCCACACAGACCACTCTGTCCATACAGACTACACAGACCACATGGACCACACTGTCCATGCAGACCACTCTGTCCACACAGACTACACAGACCACAGTGTCCATGCAGACCACTCTGTCCACACAGTCCATTGAGACCACACTGTCCACACAGACCACACAGTCCTTCCAGCAGGACTTCCTCACAAGTAGTGATGTGTATTGGCCTGACTTTTGTATTGTAAGTTATTGCAATAATGATACATGTATTGCAATACGTACCACAATATATTGCATGTGTTCTTTCATCTGTAATCTGTATCTTGTTAGGAATACAAATAACCCACATGTTTGACAACTTCATAGTCGTCTGGCACTTTGTTGTATGTTGCTATGGTCACAAAACATACCGTATATGACCGCGGATAAGCCGACCCCGTAGATAAGCCGAGGTGTTAACTTGACCATTGAAATGCGAAAGAAAATGATATGACCCGCAGATAAGCCGAACCAGGAATTGAAAGGCAAAAAACACTGCGAAGTCGGACTGCAAGACATGTGCCGGTACTCGCAGATATTCAAAACTATAAGATGAAAAACGTTGTAATTATATTGAAAAAGTCATTATTATTTCTAATAAAGATTTAACAAACCAGTCATCCACTTTCATAATGTGGGAAGCTGTTTCTCGTGGGTTTTTTTAATCTCATAATGATCGTTATATGTTGCCATCAACAACGAAGCGCCATTTTGTGAATCGGTGTATATAGAATTATGAACCCGTGAGAAAATATATCGGCTAGAGCGAAGACTCGCAGTTTGAATTCAGCATCGTAAGCATGGCGTTTTCGTTTCAAACTCATGATGAGAATATACCAACTTTTATAACCCCCTTTACACCACTATTGTATGTTAATCCAATTGAATTCAATAAACTATCATACTATGAACACATTGAATGACCATCACTTACTCACAGGCTTCTCCAGATTATTAAACTAATCTCACTTACTCACAGGCTTCTCCAGTTTATTAAACTAATCTCTCGAAAACAAAGGAATTAAGCCCCTACTCCCAACACGATCGCTAAGCACCCACAACTTGAAAATGTTTGTGTAAACAACATGACAATACCAATCGGCCCGTTATTAATAATGCTCATTTCCTTGTGTACCGTGTTGTGTACCGTGTTGCTTTTTAAACAACAGGAAGCAATCACAGTGGTCACCGTTTGTGACGTCACAGGAAACAGCTGATCACATGTTTTTGCAAATGGCGGACGGAATAACTAGCCGATACAGTTGTTTATTTGCCTCTTTCAATAAAGGTAGACACTTGTTCACTATCAATTTATGAACTTTGCAAAACGTACGTAATAGCTATTGGCGATTTCATCTGGGGATTATATATTATAGCTGTGAATTACATATATTTTTACATGTAAAGATCGCGTAGTTAACGAAGAACGATAAACTTTGAACATTGAATTGAAAACTTATTATCGGAAGTAGTAACATGCATAAAAAATTTTTAATAATGACAACATTGGTGTATAACTTTATTGATAATTTATAACAATAATGGCTCTAGTCATGGCAACTTCCAAACTTTCGGGAAGTTGTGACCTAGCGGACCGTCATTCAGGCGATGTTTCTGACAGATCACGATCTGAAAAATACTATCATGAAAGCGTATCCCGTGGATAAGCCGACCCCTTTCTACAGAATCTTTTTTCTGGTCCTCAAAATTTCGGCTTATACGCGGTCATATACGGTAATAGAGACATTATATACAGGAAGCTGGTTCCAAATAGTTTCCCTTTTGTTTGTCACAGGATTCAGTTGCTAATTTCTGAATTTCATAATTTCAATTTGACTTGATGAAATTAAGAATGATTTTGAAGAACGCAATACACCAGTATTTTCCAAAAGGTATTGTGATACATATTCATAAATATTAAAAATCATGGTTTGCCAGTGCGCTTCTCCTCAAAAGTTGACAAAATCTGCAATATCTCACCTGAGTGTCTCTAGTCAAGGTGACATTCCTCAAATCATAAGGTCGTGGACTGTAGCCTTGCTCAAACTGAAATGAAATACGCAGGGTACAGCATACAGCTCACATGTAACATAGTACAGATGTCAGTATAAATCAATGTATATCAATGTCATATTTTCACACCATACACAGAATGTCAACGAACATCGACAGGATATGTTTTGATTATAGCTGTGGGAGTTGTGTTACTTCTAATTTTGGCCTTAAATTGGGCATTTGGCCATTGCTGTTGTGAAACATAGCCACACAAAGCAGGTCCCTACATGTAAGCAGAGGACATGAAATCCATTGCCATTTACAGTAATTTGTAAACAAACTTTCAATTTATTCCCAAGTTTCCAAAAAGGTTTTAGAACAAGGTATGTTTAATTGAAGTACATTATTTTAATATACATTCCTGTGTCACCTATTTTAATTTCTGCATAGGTAGTGGGCCATAAATATTTGGACCAAGAAACATTTGTATAATATGCAAAATACTGTAGATGCAACACTACAGAAGTTAAAGGTCCAACTGTTAAACATTATGACAATGTAATGCTATGGTCGTTGATTCTGATTTACTGCAAGTAAAACTGATGCAACTATTGATCATTATGTAACTTCTAGCAAGATTATACATCAACAAAAACATGGTTAAGTGGGAGTGAGTGAGTGAGTGAGTTGGGTTTAACGCTGCTTTTAACAGTATTCCAGTTATATTGCGGCGTGTCAGCTTAATGTGGGAGGAAAGCCTGAAGTGAGGCAGGTCTCAGAGGTTTACCACTTCTGTGAAACCCACGAGCACGGGTATGGTGCTGACAAACCTAGAAACATAATCGGGGCGAACCGGGATTCAAACCCACAATCATAGGTTTCTGGCGTGGCCAAGGGACGCAACTCTGCGCAGCGAATCACGGCACCTTAGACGACTGGGCCACCTGTGCCCCCTGGTTAAGTGGGAGCAATCACTCGAATCTCTAAAGTTTTCCATGCTGTACAGTGCTATCTGTCTCATCACTGACCACGTTGGCCTTGGAGGCCCTGCGCTTGATGGAGTCTTGTCTGGTGGGGGCTCGGGAGTTGTCCTGGTCGATGCCCCACCCCAGGGCCAACATTGTCCTCAGCGTCTCCCGGGCTGGTTCCGTGTACTTCCTCTTCGCCTGAAGAAACAACAACACTTACATGAACCTGACTTAATGTGTCCTCCAGCGCTGTACAGAAACATGTTAAAGTCACTTTGAGGGTGAATGATAGGGGTGAATGAACACCATCTTGGAACAATAAAAGATCTTATTTCTCATATGGTAAAAGAAAACTGATTTAACAAAACTCAAGATGAAGCACATGTGTAACAATGCTTTCATAAGCCATCCATTGTTGAAATAATGCAGACTTTGAACCATGGACCTTCTGATCCTATGTCTGACACCTTGTCCCTTCGACCAAAGAGGTTAACTCCATCAGCAAGCTGACAAGGATGTCATCTGTGGGATGACTCCATGGCCAGCTATATCTACCCAACTAATTCTTATTGAACTGTTGTCAGAAGTCATGTATTTCCCTTTCCCGCAGGAAAACCCAAATCCTCAATATCTCACCCGCTCATCAAGGAGATGGTACGGTTTCAGCAGAGGATGAAGTTTCCTGTCCTCATCATATGAGGTTCCAAACAGCCACCCGCTCTCCAGCTGAAATCAAACACATACACTGTTACAGCCACCCCCTCTCCAGCAGAAATCAAACACATACACTGTTAGAGCCGCCCACCCTCCAGCTGAAGTCAAACACATACACTGTTACAGCCAACCACCCTCCAGCTGAAGTCAAACACATACACTGTTACAATGGAAAAGTAAACATGGAAATGTAATTGACCGATCGTTTCAAAATGCCAATATAATTATTACGAAACATACTGAGTGTATTGCATTTTCAAGAAATGGAGGTTGTGGGGTAGCCTAGTGGTTAAAGCATTTGCTTGTGCCGCAACAGACCTGGGTTCAATTCCCCACATGGGTAGATGGGTTAAGCCCTTTCTTGGTATGGCTGGAATATTACTAAAAATTTCAGGATTAAGCTGAACTAACTCCATGCTGACGCAGTTTTATTCTCAAACATCACTGTTAAAATGCCATTATTGACAGTCGTCTTGTTTCCAATACTCTAGCCTGGGTCCTGGCCCCTGTGTAACACTCTCCACTCACCTTCTTGACTGCCCAGCTGTCGTGGTAGTGCTCTGCAAACTTGTTGAGAGTGTTGTCAAATGATGGAGTCAGGTTCACTCTGAAAACATTTGTTGAACGGTGAGATAAGATGTGTTGGAGGAACATCAACTGTTAGTTATTGCCAGGAACGTAGTTCTCTTGTGCTTCCTACAACGTCACTGTGTATTTGATCAACAAAATCTGTACATAGAAACATCACTGCTATAGACCAACCAATGTGTTTGATTGACCCTATAACCACTAACCTGTTATCATACTGGCATATATTACACATACAATCAGATTTCAAAGTGAAGAGATGCCTTGTTTGTATAAATTGTCTGCACTTCCGAAACATATTTGGAACAATATCATCCATCTTTGATTAAATATATATCTTGCATGTAAACTCTCAATAGCTTTCTTTTATTTCAGAATGATAATCTTACCCCTCCTGCAATATAAAACCTATGTCCGAGAATCATTCCGTGCATGTGTTCAATGAACCTTGCTGTCTCAACAATTTGTGCATGTTTACAATGTACCTAGCCGTTTTGACAATTAATGCAGTTTTACTGCATACCTTCCTGTTTTGAACATTACTGCATGTTTACAACTTATCTTGCTGGTTTGACAACATGTTCAGCACATACTTTGCTGGGTTGACATGTTCAACACGTACCTCGTTGTTTCGATGGGTTGAGGCACGTAGTTGCCCTCGATGTCACTGCTAGACTGCTGGTACCAGCTGGCGTCGGTGTGACTCAGGGAGTAGTCAGGTGACAGGGCACAACCAATCGCTGACAAACATGGCAGTGCCTTGGAGAACAGCTCTGGGTCGTATGCCTGTACAAAAAATGTTTTCAATGCTATTGTTGCATAATCATTATGCAGACAGAGAATATAACGTACCACACATTCAGGTAAACGAACATATGTTCCACAAACTTGTGTCCAGATAAATGGCGCTCGACTGTATATTAATGCCATTTGTTACTAGTATGAGAATTGATATACACAGAATGTCTTCAGATTACTCCTGGACAGTGAACATAAATCACAAGATATACTTTAATTTAAATGATAAATATATAGAGGTTATCACGCGAGTGTGTTTGGGGATGGTAAATATCCTGCATTAGGAATAAACATTGTATAAATACATAGTGTTTATTCCTAATACAGGATATTTACCATCCCCAAACACACAAGCGTGATAACCTCTTTATCATATAATGTCATGCTTTAATTCTGTGCTTTAAAATCGCTATCCCCCTCTCACAAACATTACCGAAACATTGCGAGTTTTCCTGGAATGCGCGCATTAATATTTATTACGTCACAGGGTAAGTGATGTGTCAGTCGGACAGTGACAGTAGCCAATATAGTTCCAACTGAAATCTGTTTCTTATACAGTGGCGAAGCAACATATACGCAAAACAACAGTTGTTTTTAATTGCCTTTCGCGGCAATCCATCGGTCTGTCCGCTAGAGTAACTGCCCTTTGTCAAAGGGAAGCTACTCTAACCCTAGTCTATGAGACGTCACGGGCACGGTCATACGTTGTTGACAGTCGGTCTGTCCTGTCATAACAGTCAGATGTACACACAGCGACAAAACCAAACAAGGTAACAATTCAAACATATTTCGGCCAAATCCAACTATTTTAGTTTGTGGAGAAGGTTTCAAGTCGCAGAGGTCTACAAGCACAGATATTGCTACTGATCCCGCTTGGCTAGGCCTCGCGCCCTTGCAAAATTGTTTCGAAATTTATACCTCCAAAGTAGCCAAAACTTATAAAATGCCTTAGCTACGTCACAGTTAGATACTGATTTTCAGTATATTAGACTGTTCTTTTGATAATGATAGCAACTATCCCTGTTGTTTATCCAGATTCCCGATGGTTAATTTTGACTCGATCGCCGAATGACGAGGACGACGCCATGTTTGTTTATAAACAGTGAAAGTCCTACTTGACCTTTGATATTTGCATCTCTATCCGCATATCACCCCAACGGATATCGTTTTTATCCGTTGGCTTTATCCTGCCGAGAAACCTGCCCATTATATGATAAATATAAGTTATTGTTTGCTTAACATTGAACCCAGGAAGAGTCAAGTCACTGAGCCTGGTCACCCAAGGCACTTGGTCGGCTCGTACAAGCCTAGGTTGCTTGGGCCTATTCTATCCCTAATGACAAGCTTCACATAACTTGGTCAGCTCGTACAAGCCTAGGTTGCTTGGGCCTATTCTATCCCCTAATGACAAACTTCACTCACCCTCTTTGCCAGAGAGTCAAATATTCCACTGAAGAGAATCATTGACAGCCTCTTCTCCTCCTCGCTGGCCGTGCCCGACCCGTACCCTCCGCCACCACTGCTGTAGTAGCGACCACTGCGCTCGTAGTGAGCTGTCAGAACCTGCACAAGGTAAACAATAGCACTCATGTGATCCTGTATACATCACTGAAAAAGAATTCTCAGTACCAATAATTTGTAATGTCATCTGCCTCATTGATGGGTAATAATCTATATTAAAGTCTGAATTACACAACATTTGCAAAACAATGTTCACTAAGTTTCAAGTCTTTGTTATTGACAACATATTGATGACCAATGTAGACCTGATGGCACAGCACTACTGGTCCCAAAGACACTGATAAGGGAACAGCTTCTCCAAAAATGAACAAGCTCCCTTTTAATGTGACCAACATTTGACTAGGTCTCCACCTCCAACCTACCCTGAGAGGCACAATGGCATGTTCTGACAATGCTGGGACATCTCTGGTGAGCTTCTTCAGCAGGCTGGTCATCATCGGGGGCCTCAGTTGCCTGTAACATTGAGTATGGAGCCACATCAGTCACTTGGTCATTAGTTTGTGAGTGAGTTCAGTTTAACATCACTTAAACAGTATCCCAGTTATATCTCAGCATGTCAGCTTATGGTGGGAGGAAAGCCCAAAGTGATGCATGTCCCTGACCTTTACCATTTCGTGAAACCCACGAGAACGGGTACGGTGCTGAAAAACCTAGAAACATAAAATTTATATTCCGGGGTGAACCGGGATAAGAGCCCACAATCATAAGTTTCTGGCATGTTAAAACAGACGTATGAGAGTCTTCGCACCATGACTGTCATAACTCTTTTATGTTATGGACTTACGAGAGTCTTAGCACTAGATTGCTTTCTAGAACAAGGCCCAGGTCTCCAGCATGATACAAATGTATTAACTGCTAATGAAATGCCTTACCTCAACAAGACAAATTAAATGGGCCTTGTGAAATTTGTAGCCAGCTTATTGTAACACAGACTTATGAAGGTCGTATTGCTGTAATGGGACAAAAGCAATCTGACTCTCTGCTCTCTGCTCTGTAGTCTAAATACACATGAACCTAAAGAACAGCATCTCACCCAGTGAAGGAGACAAGGAAGTCGGACACAGTCTCCTGCTGGCCCTTGGTCAGTGTCCGGCACTTGGACAGTCTGTACACCGTGTGGAGCAGCGAGTCCATCAGGTGGGAGTAGTGGTCAGCATCACTGAAGTACTGGCTGTTGTGGGTCAACATCGGCAGCACTGAGTTACACAGGTACCGGTTCAAGGCCAGGGCCATGTCACTCTCAGATGCCATAGCCTGCAGGAAAAACAGTAGGTTAGAATCAATTAGAATGAGCATAGATACCCCTTGGTCAAGCCAGTTAGAATGAGTGAGTGAGTATGGTTTTACGCCGCTTTTAGCAATATTCCAGCAATATCATGGCTGGGGACACCAGAAATGGGCTTCAACCACTAGGCTACCCGACCGCCCCCAGTTAGAATGAGCATAGATACATGCCATAAGCATTGACAGAAGCATCCCAGCTGTTTTTACATTAGAGTGATCCCTGCAAAGAACTATCGATATAAAATAAAATTGTACATCTGGATCTTTTCTTAGTGACGAATATGGGTATGAAACTTTTCATTTCATGCTATTTGAAACAAATTTTTTAAGCATGTGTCTAGAAACAGTACAAGACACTGAGCAAATTATTGAAGTTTTAGAATAATGTCTTATATTTGAACTTGCATTGTGAGGGGTAATGTAAATCCTGGCAATTCGCACCTATTTCTCAGTAGTAATTAACATGGTAAAACTTGAGATGGGAGAACCGCTTCACTGAAGGATTATGTGATGTAGTAATACTCTACTCACAGAGTCCAATGTGGTGGCCGCTCGGAGATCTGGCAGGAAGGCCTCCTCCAGGATTCTGAAGAAGGTGCTCTGGTCATCCACGCCATACACTCTCTCCAGGAACATGACAATGGACATCTTGTGGTTGGGCAGCAGACCGGGAGGAAGGTCACTGGCCGGGGGAGCTGCAGGGAACACACGCACAGATAAATATAGGTGTCTGATCAGTACGCAGTCACACATTGGCAGAATATGCTCAAAAACATTGTGTGGTATCAGATGAAGGAATTGTCTTTTCAGTTGGAGAATCCATACAAGGTCTCAGTTCCAGGCATCTGATCAGAGACCCAGTCATTAGAGATACGCATTTCATGTTATTGAATGAAGGTTGTTTCATGCCTGAGTTTGAATTCTGCAGCTATTTCAGGCAGGGCCAGGCAGGGCCAGGCAGGGGCTGGCATGTCAGAGGTTGATAACATCAGCAACAATACACAACAATGTGGCATGATTACACACAAAAGCCAAGCTCTTAGAAACCAAACAATTGACATACTTAGAAGGTCTGGGATTCGATATTGTCCCCCAAAATGGAAAAACATAATTATGTTTCAGACTAAAAAAAAGAAATTGTCTGACACACAAAGACATCGTACAAAATCCCCCCTCCTCTTCCCCCACCAAATCAAATGGTGCGGTCCCTTACTACAATCAGTGGGTACTGGGGACCTATCTGAGTTCCATGGTACACCCAGTCAAGACAGACACTGCCATCCCATTCGTGACTAACTCGTGTTATTCCGGGACAAGCCGAATAGCGACTCGTGCCCCTCTCGTGGCCATTTTTGCGACCGGGTTCAGTCTTAGCGCAAACAGGCATACCTAAAATAATTGTCAACTCATTGCGTAATGGTTCACATACATTTCCCCATATATTATATATGCAATTTAAAGCACATCTGGACATGCGGAATTATACAGTATGATTGATCACATTTAACTGTGTCTTGGGTATATTTTAGATGCAAGACATATGTGAAACCAAAAATTATTTCTGAAGGATTCTTTGACGAAGAACATGAAATCATACGCGCATTCTGATTGGTTTGTCGTAATTTCGCACATAACATTCATCGATAGGGGGACGAGTCTTCTTGCAGGTTACGGAAAGGGGCGAGTGGTGACGAATGACTGCCATCCATGTAACTGGTGCGACTCACCATCCTGGTCTCCTCCTGCATTGAGCCCTACTGGCAGGATGAAGCGGAGGCCCAGCACCCCCTCCAGGTCCTCCATGGACACCAAACTCCGGAGGATGGCCCGGGCCCTCAGGGACCCGCTGCGGCCCTGCTTGATAGTCTCAGCATCCGGGGCACACCGACCAAGCAGGTCCACCAGACTGGCATAGAAGTTCAAGATGGCTCCTCCCATGTCAATGTAGTCTTCGTCATCCTCAGACGGGAGAGCAGAGAAGTCGTACTTGCTGTAACAGAATAGGAGTAACATGATAACAACCGAGTGAAAACAATGCTAACCAATTCATCGGACATAAGTAGTACTCAAACTTGAAATGTAGCATTTTATCATTTCGGAAAAGAAGTCATTTTCAGGAACAGTTCAGCTGAAGATTTACATGTCTCAGACTGGCCAAAAGACTCTATTCTTAAAGCAAATATTATGAGTAATATGTGCTCCACATTACAGGATAGAAATTTGAACTAGGCCACTAGCTCGAATCAGTTCATTTGATGTTAACGGTATTCTAGTGAAGTACTTACTGATCGCCATCATATAGCTGGAATATTTTGGAGTGTTGCATTAAACAACAAACAAACAATTTCTACCACTGATATCAAAATCCGCATATTCCTCCCAAACCTCTTTAACCAGCCTTACCTCTGGAACAGATAGTTGCCACCAGTGTCATCATCATCATTCATGGCTGCCAGGTAGCTGCTGGAAGCTCCATCTCTGGCTGCTGAGATCTGCTCGGACATTCGGATGCCATCCTTGACGGCCTTCAGCAGACCTCCTCCCTCACCCTTCAGGGCGGGGCCCAGACACTCGGGGCGGCGGATCAGCAGACGGACGACCAGGTTGGCATTCTCCTCTACACTCTCACCTGCAAGTCAAATGAAGGATGAAATTAAGTAAGCACCTTAAATAATAATTTTCTCAGGCAACCATTTTGGGAGTTTCAGCTTGAGAAGTAAATAGTTGAGAGTTTGTAGCGTAAGTTTTCTTACAGCTGTATCACCACTGCCTGTCAGTAATCAGTGACCAGTCGTTGAATGTATGAGCTAATATCCATGCGGTCAGGGCAAGGGGAGATAATCTGCCATGATAATCAGCCACACAATACAATCTCTTATCCAAATTGTGGTTGCCAGTGACAAACATTAGGTACTGGGACCAAGCTTTTTTGCTGCTGAATTTTCTATATTTGTGTGAAAGTTTTTTCTTGGTGGTTAGAAACTACTGAATTCTCTACTGATGTATGAACGTTTGTCCCTTGGTATTTCATGATTAAGTGTTTCTTATAACGTAGGAAGTGTAAGAACCAAGAAATCGTGTCAGACTCAATAATGTGTCTAATTTACATTTGTATTTCTAAAATTGGCTTATATTGTTTGCTAGTCTATGTTTCAGTCAGCATTATTCCAACTTCATCATGTCAATCTGTAAATAAGCTTGGTAACATAAACCAGTGGTTGATACTACAAGCAACATCCCACTCAATCCAGGTGACAAGTCAGAGTGGAAGGGTAGCCTAGTGCTTAAAGTGTTTGCTCTTCACGCAGAAGACCTGGCTTGCATTCCCCTAACTGGTACAATGCGTGAAGACCATTACTGGTGTCCCCCACCATGATACTGCTGCATTAAAGCTGGAAGTAGCATAAATTCATACTCACTACCTCACTCACTCACCAAAAACGACAAATCACTAAGGCTTACCATTAAATCTAGTTTAGTCGCCTCTTATGACAAGCACACGTTACTGGGGACCATTTCTAATCCGGAATGCCCACAGCCTTGAAATGTTTCAAAAAGCATATAATGAAGCATCAATAAGCCAACTGACACATTCCTGTGCCAGCATCCTGACTGCATTCTCAACTCACCATTGACCCACACACAGAACCTGAGGAAGTCCAGGAACCTCTCCCCCTCCACCGGATCCCAGCCGATGTCAGGATAACCCTTCTCAATGAGCTCCGCATTTGTCTGCAGGCCACACCTTGACAGGTAGATGGCGATCTTCTCCAGGTGAGACTCCCGCAGAGCCAGGGCCAACTCGTTGTTGTCCATGAGAGAGGCACACGCCACGTCCAGTGGGCAGGACCCTCGCAGGGAAGGCCGGGCTGCGCACACAAGGATGAGATTGGTGAAGGGTAGGACATGTGGTTTGGGGGAAGAAAATTTACATCAAAGAGAATAATTTGACAAATTGAGTAAAGAGTTGCTTGCTCTTAATACTTCAAAGTCAATTTACAAAGCTAATGCTGAAGAAAAACACTTCATCATAAAACAATATAGTGGCTGTTATCTTGAAAGTGTTCTGCATTCATAAAAGTAATTATCTTTCCAAATTAATTTCTGACATATCTAATATGACTTCTTGGATATGTCACAGTACTCATGGTACTTGTTACCACATTGTGTCATATACTGAAAAACAATGGAGAGTACTGAAAACTGAATAAAATTATTGAAAAGGATCCGAAGCCAGGAAATCTTATTGACTTTTTATTTGAGTATGGATACTTTTCTTGACACATATCATGTACTAAATTTGTGACTTTTCACCAAAATGACAAAAAGCTGATCCTTCACACACTGTGACCTACAGGTAGGGGAAGGTAAAATGGGGTCTTAACGTCATGTTCAAGAACATTGCACTTTTAAGACAATCATGCATGTGAGTGTATGTGGCTGCTATACTTGTCTTCATAATGCTAGCCCACTGAGATAGCATGCCACAGTTTAACATGGATACTCCACTCAGACACTGTATACAGACTACGAGCCGACCAGTCCCTGTTTTATACTCTCAATGCCGAATGTCAGGGTAACAACAAGCACCATCTTTTCACGTCTTTAGATGTGACACAGCTGGGATCGAACTCGAACCTTCCACTCTCCGTGCGGACGCTGTTCTGCTGGACCACGGTGGTCAAACCTACAGCAGGATCTCACCTAGAAGCATGCTGCTGTTCTCCAACAGGTAGCTCAGATGGTCAAACATGGCACTCTGGTTCTGACGACTTGTACGACAGAAGTAACACAAGAATCGACAGCACATGACCACCATCTCAGCAGCTGCATCCTGCAACAACAAACATCACCAAATGACATCGTCGTCTCCTACACCCACTGTCCACCTGCTCTCTCTCACCAGACATCCAAGCTATGATGGTATGATGGAAACACTGACATTATCGTGACGATTTCCTACAAGCTCAGACTACTATACACACACAAGTTTTACAATGTCAATGTTTACAATGACAAATATCTTACAATTTTACTTAATTCACACATATTTTTGGAAAATTTGAATTATCTCTTGTTTCAAAGAACCACTGATTCCACTTTTACATGCATCCAAATAAACCATTTTTAGAATGAATCTATTTCCAGTTTTGAAATTGAAACATCTTTTTCAAACTATATTCTCCCTTGCTATTGCAGGCAAACTGATAAGTCTAGTGACGGAAATATACAGTCTTCAGAATTTCATTCAGTTATTTTAAACCCAATCTCATTAAAATCATATCTTAGTTCTCGTTACCGCTAAACAAAGATCTAAGGACATCCCATTGCAGGTCATGTCAGAACGACCATTCAACTGACCAATCAGAGCATTGCTTATGAGCTATGAAAGCGACAGTTGGAATGTGATTTTTGCTCGTGCAACCTTGAAAAAAAAACACACAGGGTATTCCAAACGACAGTTATGGGCTTTATGTCTGTATTCATACAATCTAGACCATCTGTTAGCCATTCCAGACTGTTCTTTTGTTCAGTTTTTAATTTTTTAGTCGAGTATATGTCAAAATATGTTTCGAAGCGTAGTTGCCAGTTTGAAACTTGTGCCGTAAAGCTTGATTAATCTGCCTTCTGATTGGCTATTGTCGACTTCTTGTTAGTCATTCCATTGGTCAGTAAAAGTTCGCGAAAAGTCGGTCAGACGTGACCTGTAATGGGATGTCCTCAGATCTTTGTTTAGCGGAGCGAGAACTAAGATCTGATTTTAATGAGATTGTTTTATTCCGAAACCATCCCCAGTTCATACTTTGAGTATACACAGAAACATGGTAACACAACATGCATCCAGTGATGGAGGGACCACACAGAAAAATGACAGAGTACTATGCTTTGAAAAAAAAAACACGGGTAAAACCCAAAACATATAAAAAACATAAACTTACAAAATAAAGCAAAATGTATTTCTTTACGTAGTGTTTTTCAGTTTAACACATGCCAACATCCATAAAGTCATATGCAGCTCTTATCTAACATCATATCAAATTTGATAATGAAAAGATTTTGACATAAATTTTTCAAATACTTAAAGACAAATTTGAAATCATGAATGACTTTGATAAATTAATTATTAACATATTTATGACTGATCATAAATCCTCTGCTAGTTTACTTAAAGTTAGTTTTCTTCAAAGAAACACTTTATTATAGTAAGAATACTTATGTCAATATAAGTTATAATGCTCAATTAACAAAGAGAAATATATAATCTAATTCTTACTTCTAATTGAGGGTGATAACATTGCACTATATTTTCTTTTAAAAAAATACTGGCCATAAAAATTATTTCTGCAGTCGTACAGCAAATGAATTATTATCTAAACCACATTACAGTAATTGAACTGATCATACTACTCCCTAAAAAGTTGACCACTGTAAATCAAATATCAAAAGCAAAGTACATAGCACTGTGACGTCATTCTACACAGAATTACGCACCCAAATATACATAGTTACAATCTTTGACAAAAGTATCCCATTAAAAACTTACCCAAAACGTTTTCTTCCTCTCCTTATTTGATTGCTAATTAAAAAGTTCATAAGTATGATGTGCATGGAACGAACAGAAGCAACACGCACATGTATATCTGGAGTATTAGGCCGTTATATCATGGTTTACAAGCTCAGGCAATGATGACAAACAGCAAATGCAGGCAACGCTCTAGTGAATGGTAGCCAAGTGACAATTATTGCTATTTACCAATTCTGTTGCTGATCAGTGAGCAGGTACAGTAATAGGGATCAACACCCTCCTCCTCCTCCCCCCCCCCCCCCCCCCCCGGTATTGGTGACATAAAACCCCTTGACAGTAAATCTCAAAACACAAACCCCCATTTCCTTCAAGAAAATCATGATAAAAAAATGTGACTATGAGTTACCCTATTCACTATAGCCAGTTTTGTATACCGTATTCGACGTAATAAGCGCCCAGGGCGCTCTCAAAATTAGAAATAGGGGCTCTTATTAGAATATTATTTTGGTTGAAAAAACAGAGTTGAAAGATAAATTTCGTGGTTTATGCTGAAGGCCTGAACTGTTTATATACGACAGATACATTTTTCCAGAATTTAATTGCCCATTATTAAGGGTGCATATAACACACAAGTGCGTATTATACACAAATAAATAAGTATTGGGTACATTGATCAATCGGAAGGGGTGCTAATTGGGATTGTTCACTTGCCAATATATTAGCAAATATCGCCGTGGGCGCTTATTAGAGCGGGGCACTTATTACGTCGAATACGGTAAATGAAAATTCTTCTGCAAGAAGCTGGCAATCAGGAACGGCTATTACAAGGCTGCCAACCAATCCCATCTGGAATCAGTACCAATAATTGTCTCCTGGCTCATGAATGGCATTAAGATGAAATTGGAACCAAAGGATCACATGAACAGAACAAAGGTGAGTTAATCACTGAAGGTGCTTTCTGTGTAAAGGTCAAGCTTTCTGTGGAAATCAGAGGTTGGAGAAATTTAAAACAGGTGATCCTTAGGAAGTTGAAAATGCAGATACTGAGGTGAGAAATGAACAATTGAAATTAAATAAGAATGAGTCGTTATAATAATGTTACAAGTTGTAGATGTACAGTAAAGCTTTTTCTCAAATTTCCCAACATATCCTTTCACCCAAAAAAGTAAAATATAATTTCGCAATAAAAAAATGTTTTAAAAATTCATAAACATATATTTAACACAATCTGGTAATTTTTTAATTTGATGAATCATCTCCTAAGAGATATTAAATGATGACAAGAAAAGTGAGATTTCATCAACATTCGAATGATTTTTCCCTCTTTTTGATCCTCATTCTATTCCAAGCTTGGCCAGTGTACATCTACCCAGAGCATTCATCACATAGATATGTAGGAAATGGCTGATCCACAGTAAAGAAAGCTCACCTTGTTCTGTTCAGAGATGCTGTCGATGGTCTCTGATGTTGTGGCAGGCTGGCGGCCTGCTGTTTCAGGTGCTCCACTGGTGGCGGACTGCTGCTGCTGCTGAGCTTTGTTCAGAGTGTTCACCATCAGCTGCATGACAGTCTCGTGGACACACAGGGCTCGCATCAGGTCAGGGTGCTGGAAGAACACCTTGTTGTCCATGGCACGACTGCAGGGAAGGGTCACCAAGTGGAATCAGTTCAGAAGCTACATATTTCTGATCAATTGCATTTTAACATATATTTATTATTCAATATATATTTTCTTGATATAGAAAAGGAACCTAGGTAATGGTTATAAACACAATAACCAGAGTTAATATCATACTCTAGCCACATAGATTGCTACCTTCATGAGACTAGCCAGATCTCGTGCTACCTACTTGAGAATAGCCAGAGCTCCTGCTACCTACTTGAGACTAGCCAGAGCTCCTGCTACCTACTTGAGACTAGCCAGAGATCTCATGAACCGACTTGAGACAAGCCAGTTCTCATGCACCTACTTGAGACTAGCCAGAGCTCCTGCTACCTACTTGAGACCAGCCAGAGCTCCTGCTACCTACTTGAGACTAGCCAGAGCTCCTGCTGCCTACTTGAGACTAGCAAGAGCTCCTACTGCCTATTTGAGACTAGCCAGAGCTCCTGCTACCTACTTGAGACTAGCCAGAGCTCCTGCTACCTACTTAAGACTAGCCAGAGCTCCTGCTACCTACTTGAGACTAGCCAGAGCTCCTGCTACTTACTTGAGACTAGCCAGAGCTCCTGCTGCCTACTTAAGACTAGCCAGAGCTCCTGCTACCTACTTGAGACTAGCCAGAGCTCCTGTTACCTACTTGAGAATAGCCAGAGCTCCTACTACCTACTTGAGACTAGCAAGAGCTCCTGCTACTTACTTGAGACTAGCCAGAGCTCCTGCTACCTACTTGAGACTAGCCACAGATCTCTGCTACCTACTTGAGACTAGCCAGATCTCGTGCTACCTACTTGAGACTAGCCAGAGCTCCTGCTACTTACTTGAGACTGGTCTTCATGAGCTCCTCCTCATCTGGACCAGCCTGAACCAGCAGCAGGGATCTGATGATGCCCAGGTTCTTCAGCAGCAGGTTGATATCCTCGTGACTCTTGCAGCTGATGACATATCCCTTGTCCAGAGCAGTCATCAGCTGGACAAAGTATCATTCAGTTACCTCTCATCCTCTTACCAGACTTGTTACATATATGACAATAGGGTTATTTTTATTATTTATCAGTTCAACAATAGACTGAATGGACAACTCATTTTGAACACAACTGCTGTATGTATTTTCTAGACCAGTACAAGGAACCTACCTCCCCAATACCATCATACTGCCTGTGGAGTAGGCTGAACATTTCTCTCACGAGGTCCTGGTTGGAGATGAAGCTCTCTTCAGACCATTTCACCATTGTTTGTGTTATGAGTTTCTGCATAGAATCTGAAATCAAAGAGTCATAAGTCACTACCTAGTCTCAAGAACACTCTACCTGTCAATACAATTATCCTTATCTTGTTTAGGCACATCATCAATGGCCTTCTCAATGCTCCCTCCCATTCATCATCAGGTCACTTGATCCCCAGCTGACTTGAGGCCATCACCTATGGCTTTCTCGATGCTCACTACCATACATTATAGGATCACTATGACCACCTGGCTTGAGTCCATCATCATTGGCCTACTCCATACTCACAACCATACATCATAAGGTCATACACCCACCTGGCTTGTGTCCATCATCAATGGCCTTCTCCATGCTTCCTACCATACATTATAGGGTTGGTACATACACCTGGCTTCAGTCCATCATCAATGGCCTTCTCCATACTCACTACCATACATCATAAGGTCACTATGCTACACCTGGCTTGAGTCCATCATCAATGGCCTTCTCCATGCTCACTACCATACATTATAGGGTCAGTATGCCCACCTGGCTTGTGTTCATTGTCAATGACTTTCTCAATGCTTCCTACCACAGTATCGAGTCACTACACTACACCTGGCTTGCCTCCATCATCAATGGCCTTCTCAATGCTCACTACCATACATTATAGGGTCACTATGCCCACCTGGCTTGAGTCCATCATCAATGGCCTTCTCCATACTCACTACCATACATTATAAGGTCACTATGCTACACCTGGCTTGCCTCCATCATCAATGGCCTTCTCAATGCTCACTACCATACATTATAGGGTCACTATGCCCACCTGGCTTGCCTCCATCATCAATGGCCTTCTCCATGCTTCCTACCACAGTATCGAGTCACTACACTACACCTGGCTTGCCTCCATCATCAATGGCCTTCTCAATGCTTCCTACCATACATTATAGGGTTGGTACATCCACCTGGCTTGAGTCCATCATCAATGGCCTTCTCCATACTCACTACCATACATCATAAGGTCACTATGCTACACCTGGCTTGAGTCCATCATCAATGGCCTTCTCAATGCTCACTACCATACATTATAGGGTCACTATGCCCACCTGGCTTGAGTCCATCATCAATGGCCTTCTCAAGCTCACTACCATACATTTTAGGGTCACTATGCCCACCTGGCTTGAGTCCATCATCAATGGCCTTCTCCATACTCACTACCATACATCATAAGGTCAGTATGCCCACCTGGCTTGAGTCCATCATCAATGGCCTTCTCCATGCTTCCTACCACAGTATCGAGTCACTACACTACACCTGGCTTGCCTCCATCATCAATGGCCTTCTCAATGCTTCCTACCATACATTATAGGGTTGGTACATCCACCTGGCTTGAGTCCATCATCAATGGCCTTCTCCATACTCACTACCATACATCATAAGGTCACTATGCTACACCTGGCTTGAGTCCATCATCAATGGCCTTCTCAATGCTCACTACCATACATTATAGGGTCACTATGCCCACCTGGCTTGAGTCCATCATCAATGGCCTTCTCAAGCTCACTACCATACATTTTAGGGTCAGTATGCCCACCTGGTTTGAGTCCATCATCAATGGCCTTCTCCATGCTTCCTACCACAGTATCGAGTCACTACACTACACCTGGCTTGTGTCCATCATCAATGGCCTTCTTCATGCTTCCTACCATACATTATAGGGTTGGTACATCCACCTGGCTTGAGTCCATCATCAATGGCCTTCTCCATACTCACTACCATACATCATAAGGTCACTATGCTACACCTGGCTTGAGTCCATCATCAATGGCCTTCTCAATGCTCACTACCATACATTATAGGGTCACTATGCCCACCTGGCTTGAGTCCATCATCAATGGCCTTCTCAAGCTCACTACCATACATTTTAGGGTCAGTATGCCCACCTGGCTTGTGTCCATCATCAATGGCCTTCTCAATGCTTCCTACCATACATTATAGGGTTGGTACATCCACCTGGCTTGAGTCCATCATCAATGGCCTTCTCAATGCTCACTACCATACATCATAAGGTCACTATGACCACCTGGCTTGAGTCCATCATCAATGGCCTTCTCCATGCTCACTACCATACATTATAGGGTCACTATGACCACCTGGCTTGAGTCCATCATCAATGGCCTTCTCGATGCTCACTACCATACATCATAAGGTCACTATGCTACACCTGGCTCGAGTCCATCATCAATGGCCTTCTCGATGCTCACTACCATACATTATAAGGTCAGTATGCCCACCTGGCTTGAGTCCATCATCAATGGCCTTCTCGATGCTCACTACCATACATTATAAGGTCACTATGCCCACCTGGCTTGAGTCCATCATCAATGGCCTTCTCGATGTTCTCCTGCTGACCCTTGCTGAGTCCCACCATCAGCATCAGCTTGTCCTTGAGGCTGAGGTTTTTCGGCACATCCTCCTCCTCTAATGGCTTCTCTTCAGGGACCTCGAACGTGGGCATGTCACAGTGCTGCAGGAGTTCTCCATGAAAAATGCGAAGAGACTCGCGGATGTCTTCGCGGCATGGACACTGCTGGTCCTGGTCCTGGTCTTCCACTATCTTGAAGGTCAGTAGCGCCCTCATCTGAGCAGAAAATACCAGTCAAACACCAGTTACACAATGAAATCATCACAAAGATGGAGACACATGAACTATATCATCCGTAAATAATATCCACAAAAGTATTTAAAACGATCAAAACATGATAAGTAAGCAGGAACCAGAATGACCATGTAATCAGCTTTCATTAGCAATAATGGCAACATAGTTATGGCAAGGAATGGCAGCTCATCTGTTACAGTATACACAATCCTGGCATTCATAAAAATCAATCAAGTTTTAATCAGATATGTTACCAGACAAAGCAAACAAATTAGTGGTCATCTTGAAATGTTACTGTTCACTCTACTTGACACACAAGATACTGAGAAACAGAGTTTTAACTTCTAATAGTACAGGCGTGACAGGCTGCAAGTACCTGCTCCTGTGGCGGACACCGGAACTCCCTTGTCCTCTTGGCAGTCACTGATGAAGGGAGGTCAGCCTGCTTGATCTCAATGTAACGACGCTTCTGGTCCTACACAAATAATGTCTTCATGAATATCATAGCAAGTTATATATTCCTGATTTCAAAATTGTCAAGAATAAAATCTATTATGTAGAAGGCACACGCTACTGTCCCCAAACTTAAATATGACCTTTCAGGTTCTACTACACCAAATCAGTACCAGTTTGGACAGTGCGGTTTTCGTAGGGAGCCTTCAGTGCAGATCGAGAGATATCTGCAGGCTGTGATTGGAGGATATTCTGTAAGATTTTTATGTCTTTCAAATGTACATCCATCCAGTTATTAGAACTGACCATGTTTTTCTATATTTAGTACTGTCTTTTTCAACATGATGACTTATGCTGAATCTGACCACAGCTATTTTCAAGTAGGTGACATTTGGTGCGAAACTGGGGGTGGTGTGTTTAGCTTCTGGTACTCGGAAAAGGAGCTGGCTAAGCTAATCATTTTTTATTTTTTTATTGCTGCTCTAAGGCCAAACTGTGCACACACGTACAGGTAATAGCTGTTGAATGCTTAGTTATTTTTAAAAAAAATATAACGTTACTATAGAAGTCTATGGGAAAACATTTGGTTGTGTGTAACCCTTACCACTTGCATATACCCCCATTTTCAGTCTAAGTCAAAGTTGGTGCTTTGGAAACTAGAAAAAAATATATCAAAACGCACCAGACCTATGTGTCAATTTTGGTGAAAAAATATTGTATGGTTTCCAAGATCTGCCCCTGAAATGACATGTATGGCCAGATGCATGGGGGATAAAAAGGATCCAGGTGTAGCACATAAGAAGTGGAGAAGTAGTGAAATAGAGAAAAGAAATTATGCCTGTTGCAATCAACTCAGGAAACATATTAATCATCCTTGGCAATTAACTGCTCAAAATGTCTGCAACTAGAATGAATAAACCTGTCAACATGACAGTAATCACAAACTTACACTCTGGACACTGTGTACAAATCCATCAGAGAAAGCGATGATAGATTCGACCCTGTGCCGCAGCTGAGTGTCACACAGATGTTGGAGGATGAGGCACACCTGGAGGAGGGAAACAAACTCGGCATCAGTGAAAGCAGTAACCACAGTCTCAGAGCTAAACATGATACAAATGTACCTCCACCAGCTGAATTCTAGCCCTATTCACACACTGGCAATATGTTTTTGTGTGTGATTTCTTCTGTATATACAGATTTCTCTCGGACAAACCTGTACCCTTCACTAATTAGAGTTCATATCTTTTATCCCAACAAGTATCTGTCTCTTGTAAAGATTCTAAAATTATTTACCTTTTGGTAGATCTTTCTTTGTATGTTTAATTTTATGAAAATCAGCACTTTCATGCGTAAATGTAAATTTCCTTGTGGGTAATAAAGCATCCCCTACGCCTCCAGTGCTTGCAGTTCGGTAAACCTACACTAACCCCTGGATCCATTCCTGCGGTTCTCATGATTTCAAATTACCTGCCCCCTTGATTTTCATAGATCCGGGGGAGGTCGGGTAGCCTAGTGGTTAAAGCGTTCGCTCGTCACGCGGAAGACCCGGGTTCGATTTCCGACATGGGTACAATGTGTGAAGCCCATTTCTGGTGTCCCCCGCCGTGTTATTGCTGGAATATTGCTAAAAGCGGCGTAAAACCATACTCACTCACTCACTCATAGATCCAGGAGCGAGTGTAGGCTAGTGTACAGCCCTTGGGATATAGAGGATGGTAATAAAGTACTTTTAAGTGATTGTCAAGCAGGAACTTTCCATACCTCCAGTTTGACAGTTTCAGCCAGCTTCATGTTCAACAGTCCCAGTCCCACAGCATTTTCTGGAAGATGAGACGAAGGCATACACATCCAGAGTGGACAATCAGAGGTCATCAAGAGACATCTAAACACACTGAGAGCTGATTCAGGACAGTGAATGTTGATTAATAATATTAGAGCAGAGCAACCTCGGCCCCGTTCCACGAAGCAATCTTGACACTACAACGATCGTAAGCCGATGTTGAAGTACTGGAGTTACGATCACCTTAGAGATAAGATCACTTTGAGGAACGGGGCACTGGACTAAACAAGTGGTTGATAGCACGAGTATATTTCCTGTTGTCATGGTATGATGACAGACATGCAGGCAAGAGTTGCTGTAGCCTCCTAGCACCAGTCATTGTGGCCACCTAAACTTTGACGTGTTCCTCCGCTGGCCTGGTGAGGTGAGGTGAGGTGAGGTGAGGTGAGGTGAGGTGAGGTGGGGTGAGGTGAGGTGAGGTGAGGTGAATGAGGTTTAATATTACGTTTAAGATTATTGCACTCACATAGCAATGTGGATGGATGTGTTTGCACCTGCTTGTACTAGTCCAGATGCTAGTTTTTATAGTGCTAGCCAACACAGATACCATGCCACAGTTAAACATGGATACCCTATTGAGGTACATTATCCAACTCCAAGTCCTTGTTTCATTTCCTTAACGCTGAACACCAGGCAGGATAACAAGTACTATCTTTTAACATCTTTTGGAATGGCATGGTCAGGAATCAAACCATAACGCTATCCACTACACCATGGAAGCGGCCTTCACGCGCCTGGGTTCTCTGGGTACATATGTTGCTTATTATGATGCTTATCATCTCTGGTCAGAGCAACACCACACTCAAACAGACCAAATAGCTACATAATGCGCAAGGGTTGATGTCAATGATTTCTTACACACTGAAAACATAGAAGCAGTAGCTACTCACGTCTTGCAAACTTGTCCCCGAAGACATTGGGCTCCAGGAGGATGAGTAGTTGGCTCAAGTCGTCGTCGTCCATGAGACCCATCACCAGCATGTTGTCTATCACCTTCAGGATGGGGCTAGAAACAAGACATAATTCATCCTCCCAAAGTACTAATACACAGACTTCACACCAAGGCATGTCCAAGGAACACAACATATTATTGCCCAGGTCAATGTTCCAGTACGCAATTGTAGCAGGGCGTGGAGTCATCCCACAGATGAAATCCTTACCTGTCAGCTTGCTGACGGGGTTAACCTCTTTGGTCATGTGGACAAGGCATCCAACCTGTGATCAGAAGGTTGGACGCCTTGTCCACATGACCAAAGAGGTTAACCCCATCAGCAAGCTGACAAGGTAAGGATGTCATCTGTGGGATGACTCCACGCCCTGCTACACAATCAATGTCCTTTCTTAGTTCCCTGAGGAATATACAACCCCTGCTGCCTTCTAGGTGCTAGGGGTACATTGATATTACCATATAATTCTACTGGGTACTCAATCAACGGATGAACTGAGCTATTATAACGACGTTATATGCCTATGATGATGATGCATGTTTAAACTTTTAATTGTCAATTGCTAGAAAATTCTGTTAAAAATAGGACAGAAATAACGCACACTTATTTCTATTAATAATGAACCCTATAACTATAACTTCCAGACACTTTATATGAAATGTTAATCAACTGAAACCTGGAATTGACAAATCTACTTTATACAAGAAATACATACACAAAGAGGTTGGCATTTGACCAGCCAATGGGATCTCTGATATGGGAAGCTCCCTTCTCAGCAGCAGTGTTGAGAGCTTGCATCATGTATGACTTCAACTTGGCCAGTGGAAACACAGGTGATGTGCAGTCCTTGCCATCACGCTGTACCCTGGAGAGATAAGACAGACATAATTAATATTCAAATAATAATGTCCTGAAGCATAACAATACTGCAAAGCTCATATTTCCATATCTACAACACAACTATCACACAATAGTATGGGTCTTACTGTGGATAATGAACATCAGTAATACTAATAGCTCAGAGTGATTTGACGACCTTTCACTGAAATGTCAAAATCAAGAATGACCCCCTAACCACAGGCACAGAAGATCTGCATGGTGCACATGCAATGTTTCATGTTTCTTGGGGTGTTTTGATTCGGGGATCATTCTGTCTCTGGCAGTCATTTTTCAAAGCTGATTTTTCTTCTGATGACCGATTAAACCTATATATTTCTTGATCCCCTCCTTCTGGAGAGTGCATTTTAATTGTTCACTGAATAGCCTGAATTTTCAAAACATTTAAAAGACCCCAAAAGTGAGAGAGATACGACAATCGGTATTGGGAGAAAAGGTACAGGTAATCGACTTGAGGATTGTGAAAATATGTAGGAAATACCCACCCCCTGCATAAAATGGACTTGTCCGATGTTGCCTTGGTCAGATTAGATTGAGGGAGTCATCATTGTTAAAATACTGGTAAATATTTTTTAAAGCTTGTACATTTTATCATCATCCTTAAAGAGGCCATACATAATGTTAATATCTCATATACAAAAATAAATGACTTGTGGTCGCTGTTTATTTCTTAACTATACTGATGTCCAAAAGGGTTTGTTAAAATCAACTGTACATGCTGGGTTAGAACTGCTCTCCAGGAACCTGTTCGTAAGAGACGACTTAATGGATTAGGTGGTCAGGCTCAGTGACTTGGTTCATTGTGTGCCATCATACACCAACGGCATGGATCGTTGCCCACAGCATTGATCACTGGATTGTCTGGTACTTGATTACTTCAAGACCACTGTAATATAGTGAGTGAGAGAGTATGGTTTTACGCCGCTTTTAGCAATATTCCAGCAATATCACGGCGGGGGAAACCAGAAATGGGCTTCACACATTGTACCCATGTCGGGAATTGAACCCGGGTCTTCGGCGTGACGAGCGAACGCTTTAACCACTAGGCTACCCGACCGCCCCTTACTGTCATATAGCTGGAGTATTGTGCTAAACAACATACAAACCAATAAATCCCAACTGTACATACCTGGCGTCTATGTCTCGGTCTGACAGAGCCAGGATAGGTCTGATGGAGACACTCTGTTCCATGCTAGGGATCTGGTGCTTGATCTTGTAGCTGCCTGCCAGTGGACTGAGCTTGCGATACAGACTCAGCGTTTTGGTGTTCGGGGTGAGGGGGATGATGTACTCATTCTGGGTCAGAATCCTGAACCAAAAGATAACATCGTCAACCTCCAAAAATAGGTGTATCTTGTACAGTTTAACAGGTGATAGGCAATAACTATAAACAAACACATCTGGTGCTAGGTAGTATGAAATCATCTAAGTGGCATCACAAACATATTGTATCTCCTTGAACATCACAAACATATTGTGTCTATGTGTGGTTTTGAAAGCGCATATTAATATATATCAATCTTTTTTTACACTATGAATCATTAACAACTTCTATTCTAATCTTTTCTTAAACTCTGAAATGTGCAACATAGATCATGTTAGGTAGGCAGAGCATGTATACTGTTTTGTTGGTCATCTACCACCTACGACTTGACCTCGGTTAAACCGCTGATCATCTCTAACGCTCATCAATCATTTGGACACCGAAGGTAGTGTTGTAGTGAGGGATCACTGTATTTCATCATTGACGACCTAATGTCTGTATGCTACTTACCTGGCGGCTGTATGTGATGAGAGATGCATAGTGACGAGGAGGTTGTGGAAAGCATGTCGCAGAGGACCAGACATGTCTGAAAGGCAATACACAATACATTAACCTCATACAAAACATAATGACATGAAAAACTAATTTTCAGACAAAAGCAATCAGAATACAGACAGATGATATAAAGTAGATACCACTCCCTATTGTCTCAAGCAAGCCGTTAGATGTCTCTGTAATTTCTTTCTAAAACAATATGCTATTAAATACTGTACTCTTGACATAACTTCTATGCACAAATACTCACATTCACTCTGAATACAGTACATAAGTTGCTTCTCATCAACATGCTTTGTTAGGGCGTTGGCTACACGGTGGTTGCCATGGGCACAGACAGCCATGTACAGGTCAAGAGTCCGAGCATGGAAACTGGAAGAGCAAGAACAGGATATATAAATCACAACAGCTACAACCATAAACATATTGAAAAATAGCCTAATCAGAGGATAACCAACAAGCTGCAACAAATTAAGAATTGTCTGTTTAGCAAGGAGATTCATTGCAATGCACATGTACAAATATTGACAAGTTATTTTCACTCGATCGTTCTACTATTACATAAAATATAAGCCAAAACACTTGTTGGCACAGCAGAAATCTCTGGTGCTGATAAACCTAGAAATATAATCGGGGTGGACACTTGGACGCTTAAGGGATTAATTTCTGCCCAGCAAAGTACAGTGCCTTAGATCACTAGGCCACCTGTGCACCCTTCTCTATATAAGGCTGTGAGATAAAAGCAACACTTACTCCAACAGATGCTCATACTCTATAAGCTCCAGAATGTCCAAACATCGATTCTCTTCAGGTACATGGATTGCCAACATTGCAACTGAAATAGGTCAAACGTGGCATTATTAAACTTACATTTTATCAGCGATAAAATAATATAGTAACTTGAGGCTTTATTTAATGTTTTTATTGGATAATGAGTGAGTGAGTGAGTTGGGTTTAACGCCACTTTTAACAGTATTCCAGTCATATCGCGGCGTGTCAGCTTAATGTGGGAGGAAAGCCCGAAGTGATGCAGGCCTCAGACGTTTACCACTTCGGTGAAACCCACGAGCACGGGTATGGTGCTGACAAACCTAGAAACATAATTGGGGCGAACCGGGATTCGAACCCGCAATCATAGGTTTCTGGCGTGCCCAAGGGACGCAACTCTGCACAGGGCATTGCGGTGCCTTAGACAACTGGGCCACCAGTGCCCCCTTATTGGAAAATGGATTTGCTGACCCTATGTTCATTTAAAAAAAGAGGGGAAAAAGACAAATATCAACATTTAGACTATTTTTTAATGTGAAGTTTACATGACTTACAGCCTTTCCATTGGACAACAGGTCGGTCACATGACCATGAAACTCACATTCATAAGTGTATGAATGACACAGTTTGACATTCAAATTCTATTATTACAGTTATTATCTATTAGATTATATTCTAAAAATGATGTAAACACTGATGGGCTACATCCACAATCATGGGGAAAACCCAGGGAATTCCTGAGCAAGAGTAAATACAGAAGTGTTGTTTCTGATCATTCACGCCCTTTAATCAAATCTTTAGCACACACTGGGAAAAGTCAAAGCTCCGATGTGCATTCAGTTTGGCCCTCACTCTATGAAAGTTCATATTGAACAAACTCACACAAAGTGAAAGTCAATTCTAAACCTGCAGTAACATGTCTCCATCTTACCTGGTTTCTCACACAGCATACTGTGGCCTCTGATGTCAGACAGCTTCATGGTGTGGACATTGACGGCGATGTTGGGCACACGTGACCAGTGACACGGGGCAAGGACTTGGACGTCCAGGCGGGGAGGGCTCATCGGTATCACAGACTTTGGACCTCGGAACACCGCGGCCGACAGTGGCAGCGACGTCTGCAACACAAACAGGGTTTTACAGCTGCTGTAGAACTCATTGGAAGGAATCCATGTTTTGTTACAAAATTCATGCCATGGCAGATTAACCACAGTAAATTGAAGGAATCTGGTGGTCTTTAACTTCATTTGAGCAGTATATGTCATATATGAAAGGTGAAAAGGTAAGATCTTGTATTACACAAGCTGTGACATCAAGTCAAAATCTTATAATCGTGATATGTGATTTACTGCAAAACAGATTCTTATCCAGTCACTTCAAACATATATCTGTGGCTGGTGAAGTAACTAGCATGAGTCTTCGCACTCACCTTGTGGCTGCCCATTTCAAACTGGAACATTTCTTTGATTGTCGGCTCACATATGACAGCAGGGAACAACATGGTACCTGGTTCCACCTGGTAACATCAATTCTCATTCATTAGACGTTGACACCTTCACAGGTGAGCAAGGGACAGGTAACATCAATTCCTACACATTAGACATCAACACCTTCTCAAGAGAGCAAGGGACAGGTAACATCAATTCCTACACATTAGACATCGACACCTTCTCAAGAGAGCAAGGGACAGGTAACATCAATTCCTACACATTAGACATCAACACCTTCTCAAGAGAGCAAGGGACAGGTAACATCAATTCCTACACATTAGATGTGCATCATATATAAATGTTGGGCTTTGATAACGCTTATATTCTAAATAGGGTTAAACACAACATAGAAACACATGTACAATTACAAAGCAAAGCTATGTATCCTTTGAATTTGAATTTCACTTTGTGATTGTGTATTAATCTGACAGAAGTACATGTTTTATTTTCGGTATAAAGTGCAAAAGTGGGGGGGAGGTTTTAACACTTGGACTCTGGATCCACCTGTAGTGCTCTGAACTTACCTGGAACTTGTTGGCGACCTCTTTACCATTGACAGTGAAGCTGAGCATGCCCGTGGAGCAGTCGATGAAGCAGCCAATGGCGAGGCCTGGTGATGACCTCTTGCCTGACATCTCCTGGTTGGAGTCCGCGTACCTCTGCTGGAGGTCTCCTGCTGACACCATATAGCAGTTCTTCCTGCTGACGCTGAGGAACAGATTCACACCAAGGTCATACAGAAATAAGAGCATGTGTCAGTGTGAGTATATATGTCACAGTCACCAATATTCCAGCTATATTAAGTTCTTCCTGTTGACGGTGAGGAACAGATTCACACCAAGGTCATACAGAAATAAGAGCATGTGTCAGTGTGAGTATATATGTCACAGTCACCAATATTCCAGCTATATCAAGTTCTTCCTGTGGACGCTGGGGAACAGATTCACACCAAGGTCATACAGAAATATGAGCATGTGTCAGTGTGAGTATATATGTCACAGTCACCAATATTCCAGCTATATCAAGTTCTTCCTGTGGACGCTGGGGAACAGATTCACACCAAGGTCACACAGAAATAAGAGCATGTGTCAGTGTGAGTATATATGTCACAGTCACCAATATTCCAGCTATATCAAGTTCTTCCTGCTGACGCTAAGGAACAGATTCACACCAAGGTCATACAGAAGGACATAAATGTGATATTATGTCACTGTTGCCCAATATTCCAATATAGCGTGAATAGAAACTACCAATAGTAGAGATACCCTTATCTATTTATTTATATATGACCTACCTGGACTTGATCTTGTAGTCCATGTCCATGGAGGATAAAACAACATGCCTGATCTTCTTGGAATCGAAGGCCGTTGCATTGAAGTGGAAGTTGGTTGTTACCCAGCCTACATACACCTGTGATGGGTCCTGACCTGGGAAGATCCTCACAGCATAGCAATACTCGTCTATCTGTTCAGCCAGGGCATTCAACTCTGCCATTTCTTCAAATCCATTCTCCGACCCTTCAGGAAACTCGGGTAACATCGGTCTCCGCTTCATCTGGTCCTGAAACTCAAATGGGATGAATTCTCCTTCCAGATCAAGGTCCTGAGAGTCTGTCATGTCAGAACCGGAAGTGATCCTGACTGGCGGAAGCGTTGCTGATTTCTTTGGTGTAGCTTTCTGTGCGTCCTTGCCAAGCCTCTTAGATATGTCATGTTTCCTGTCCAAGCTTGAGTACTCTGTTGAACGTGTTCTTCCCATGTTGTTGGGAGACGGGTCCCGAGACTTGGATCTCCTGAATATGGATGTGAATGGTGACTTGCCACGTTTGGTGTTCTTGTTATCACCGATGTGTTTGGCCGAGTCAAGCATCTTGTCTGCGAGGAGGGACAGTTTGGATCCAGATCTCTTCTGTTTGGGTGGTGTCAAAAAAGAATCGGAAGACTCATTCAGTTGGGATTCACTAGCAGCTGCTTTCATGCCTCCTCCTGTCCTGTCTGTGATGGCAGAGTCGTCAAGTGAACGTCCTTTACCAGACTTGGCGGTCTGTCTGAAGGTTTTCCTTCTATCATCAACAGAACCGTCATCAGTAAGACCTCTATGCAGGGCTGTGAAGAAAACAAAAGATACTTCTTAGTGAGTGTTTTTCAAAGGGAACAAAATTTAAAGTTATATCACAGCATGCCTGCTTAATCCGGGAGGAAAGCTCAAACTGGCACAGGTCATAAACGTTTAACACTTTGGTGAAGACATGAACATGGTGCTGACAAACCTAGAAACATAATCTGGGCAAATCTGGGACTCGAACCCATGATCATGTTCCTGGCAAGCCTAAGGGATGCAACTCCGCACAGCAAATTGCAACACTTCAGATGACTGGGTAACCTGTGCTTCCTCTTAACGGTGAAAATGTGAGTATTTGCTTCATTACATAAGATAACACTTACTTTTCCGGAGTGTGAGATCGGGTCCACCATTGAGCATGTCGGGGCCTTCCTCTGGTGTGTAGTCCTCCTCATCTGTTCATCACAACAACACCATCAGAAACAGCATCAACAACACCATCAGAAACAACATCAACGACACTACCACAAACAACATGATCAGTAACACAGTATTTAAAGAGAAACAACAATTATGTCCCATACATTAATTATTCTGAGGCAAATACTTTCTATTCTCAACATCACTTTTCTTGTACTCATCACAAGTTTAAATGACTGGCTTTTCAATTATTCTTCGTCTTGTGAAGCTTATGTGATGAACATGTTCTGCATTTTAGTCACAGAGAAACACATGATGTTCAAACTTTGTACCATATATACTTCAAGCAAGCTATTTCAAACTCTGCCTGAAAAGGTCTATATTTAAACATGCTGCATCATACACTATCTTAATGCAGAATACTATGCCTTCAATTCAAATCTCACACGATGCCTCCATGCAGAACAATTCACAGTTTCAATTCAATTTCATTATGTAGCCTGGCTACACTGTATCACTTGATACCATATACATCGCCATGCATAAAACGACCCCAGCTATAACGTGACACCCCTGTAGAATATGGTTTTTTAATTCATACACCATGCCTTTAATGTGACTCCCTTTTAGATACATTTAGTTAATATACCCTGCCTAGACACCCCTGTAGACACCTTTTTTTTATTTTGCAATGACAATTTTATTTTTTGCTCTGCACTGATCAATGCCTTGAAAACAATATTTCCTTGGGGTAAGTTGACGAATGATGACAGATATAATTGACTGAAATGTTCCACTATCAAACTGCCAAGTTGTTGTTTTCATACATCTGATGCACTATCACTACACCAGCACCATCCAGCACCAACATAGAAAAAAAGAGCTCTAAAAAGAGTGACACCATCCCCATGCATATGGATCCTGCTGCTAATAGACATATGTGAAAATAGGAATCATAATAAATGTAAATGTACCATTGTATTCCATGCAAAACATGTGGACACTCACCATCCTATGATTAATGAATCAATATTATTCACATTGCTACCTGAACAAGGGTGTCTTAAAACACTAAAACATGTTCCATTTAAAACACTGAGTCCAATATTAAATATTTAAGCAATTTGATCAAAATTGTACACCTAAACGGCTCATCCAACAATTCCATAAAAATTCCGCTCAAATACTTTTGACACAGTCCCTATTAAATATTTGCCATGGTAACAAGAAGAAGCTGTGATGATGTAGTGGACTTACTAGCCTCTGGTATGGTGTCCTCCAGTATGCTGTCGGGGACATGGTTATGGTGGGGACGGTCATCATGCTCGCCCGACCCACTCTCACTACTCTGGTCTATAAGGGGTTAAACACACTCAACTCTCAGCATACGTTCATTAATGTTAGTATGCTATACATCACAGTCATGGCTTGTCTGAACTGGAAATCACTGAATTAATATCTTTGCCGTTTAAACATTTCTTAAAGAATCACCTATTCATCAGTCATGAGAACCTAGAGCTTCAAACATGATAGCTGCATTAATAAATCCCTAACAATTCTTATAACAGACAGCCAAATCAGACAAGAATATCAAAAGATATGAAGTTTTCAATATGAATAATAAAATTTCAGTATGCAAAAAACACCATGCAAGAAATGAGTACATGTTAAAATAGATAAATCGAGAATAATTAGTAGGCAATTCAGGCCTTCTATTACTTGAAACCTGGTTTAAACACATTTTTCTTAAAATCACAAGGTCAGTGGTTGAAACAAAATTAAAAATGAATTTCAAAGTCACTGAATAGTATTGTTGGTAGAGTAAAACTAAAACATATGACCATTTTTACATTTGTTAAATGACCCATGAAGATCCGGGGTAGAATAGGTCTTTAGCAACCCATGCTTGCCATAAAAGGCAACTATGCTTGTCGTAAGAGGAGACTAATGGGTTTGGGTGGTCAGGCTCGCTGACTGGGTTGATGCATGTCATTGTATCCCAATTGTGTGGATCGATGCTCACGATATCAATCACTGGATTGTCTGGTCCAGACTCGATTTTTACAGACCACCGTCATATAGCTGGAATATTGCTGGGTGTGGCATTAAACCACAAACAAACATTTCTTAAAGCAGAAACTTTCAGAATAAGTAGGCATTGGTAACAACCACAAACATGATATGTCTTATAGCGTGTACAATATTGACTTGGCCTGCTACACATTAACTATTATTTTCTAGTTTTATGAAATACATTAACAGACTTGGCAAGAACAAAACATGACTGTCCTCACGATTTGTCTTTTTTTCCAAACACCTCGTCACCACAGTACAGTCAATGGACATGCATCAACCAATATGACTGAATCATGTGCACATGTTTGTTCTTGGTACTGTGGTCAGATAGAAGACAACTCAAGTCCACAGATATTTCTTTTAACAATCTGGATAACGGTTCCACTGCATGTACACTACATGTTACATATTATTAACCCTTTACATCCTGATCACTATTGATATCTATGCATCTATGAAGCCAACAAGAAGGAACAATCGCAATGCAAGACAGTTTCAACACGGTAATGTTAAGGCAATGTTTTAGAGAAGCCTTCAATATGCATGGTCATAATAGGGAAAATTAAAACAAAATTAAAAAAGTGTCCTTTACTAATACTCACTAAAAGCACCAAGTCTGAAACCCACACACTGTCCAGCAAAATTAATAACTGTGACAAAATACTAAAATAGAAAAGATGATTCCATATCTCCAAATTCCCCAAACAAATTAAATCAACTTAAAATAAAACAGAAAATAATTAGAATTTCTAACAAGCAAGATTGTTTACAATTTTTTTCCTAAGGTAAAACAATGCCTTTGCCCGAGCATGCTATTAGTGGGGCCATTCACCTGTGGTAGTTTTATTAGCACGTTCTAGAGAAGCGTCACTGATGTTAGCATCACTGTAGTTTTCCTGACTGCTGGACAACGTCCCACCTGTTGGAGCCTCCTCCTCGATGTCCACGTCACGGCGGCGCAGGTTCTCCAGGTTCAGCCGCTTCTCCAGCACGGACTGGGCAAAGTTGCGATCCCTGCAATACAGCAACAGTGTCAGCCAGGGAAATGTGGGGTTCCCTTAGGGGTGGGGGTTGACAGGTTTGGGGCTGGGTGCATGGGCAAGTAGGGTAAGAAAGGTGGGGGTTGGGGGAAGGGACAGATTAGGTTGGGTAAGTAAAGGAATGCAGGTGGAGGTTGGGAGAGGTTCTGGGTAGAGCAGGTTGGGGCGAGGGGGGAAGTAAGGGTAAGTAGGGTAAGACAGGTGGAAGTTGGGGGAAGGGGGGTTGGGCAGGTGGGCCGAGGGGAGAAGGTTGGGCAAGTAGGGTAAGGCAGGTGGAGGTTGGTCGACAGGGGATGGGTAGAGCAGGTGGGGTGAAATAGGTTGGGTAATTAGGGGTGGGGCAGGTGGAAGTTTTGGCAAGGGGGTGGGGTAGAACAGGTGGAGGTTGGGGAGAGGGGGTGGGTATGAGACAGGTTCAGTTGGACAGGTGGAAGATTAGGGCATGGGTAGGATGAGTGGTGCAGTTTGATGTTGGGGGGTAGACAGTGTTCTAGTAGATAGCTTTTACTTCACACAAACAAAAAATACCATTGTAACTTCAGCAAATATGCAATACATTCAGCTAAAAAATCATTGATTTCTGCAATTCCAAATTAAATTCCAAATTAACTATTAGTTTCACTGTAACATCCAAATTTCAAACAAATTCATTATGCTAAAAAATGTAGGAAGATCCATGTTTGCCTCCATGATCTAACCTGGTGACAAACTCATCGTTGCACTTGACTGGCAGACTGAGACGTAGGTAGTCCAGGTGCACCTTCTCCAGTGTCCCGAACGTCTTCGACATCACCTTAAGACTCGGAGTCACATTTGACCTGCACAAAGGACAAAAAGTTACAAATCTTTAAAAATAAAAAACAGATATATAGAGAAACAATACAAACAGACATATATGTGACAGGTTTTAGCAATTTCCACTCTGGTGTGTTCATATTTTTTATTGCAGATTATTAGATGTCCTTGCCTCAAGTAAAAACAACATTAATGGTACTTTTTGTGCACAGAATGTCTCCACATTATCATCTTTGCAATAAATGCCAGGAATTAAAAGTGTCTGAAAGAAAAAAAGAGGCCTGGGCGTTTAACATGTTTAATCAAGGAAATTCAATATGCCTTTAAGTTCAATATAATCTGCATAAGGATTCATCCAGATGCCAGGATGTTCCTGGTATACTGACCCTCCGGGAATCCTGCTGATCTCAAGGCTGGGGTTGACGTTCTCAAGCGGCTTGAACAGCGCCTGTTCCTTCCCGTACCACAGCGTCATCTGACGGGTCATGTTCCTGACAACACATCATGGCAGGTTAACACAGCTTCATCATCAAAAGTCTTCCAGACACTCTGTCATCTCAAACTATCAGACATGATCTGAATCAGGCCTAGTGCAGGGGGAACAATACAAAGCCAAAGTAGGGTTTGGCGTGACTGAACAAACACCAACGAATCATCAGAAAGGTTTTATGTTATCCATTTCTTAGAGACCAAGAACAGCTCTCAAAAATCATGCAACACCCTCAAAATTGTGCTCAAGATGTCCCTCAGAGTTTTCAGACGGTTGAAAACATTCTAACCTGATGTGTATGAAATATTATTAATATGGGAATTTATATTGCACCATATTTCCAACCCACATAGGTGCATGCTCAAAGCACTTCATTATTATTACCCCTGTAAATGAAACAGTGTGCACTCAGTTTCTCAGCTTCCTGGGGAGTATATAACCATAGCTGCCTTGAGGCACTGAAGGTTATCTGTCACATAAGCATCTTGTCCTACCGATTACCCATTCACTGCGGGGTGAACAGAAGCATATTTCAGACAAATTCACTTGCTTAAAGAGACACATGTGCTACATGAGCTTCTGTGTGGGGCAGGACTGAAGCCTTAGAAACTCCCAGATGTCAAGCTGCTGAATGCAGTCACCCATTTAACTTCTCCATGCGGTTGACGCTGCTTAATTTCACCTTATTCGTGGCCTATGTTTAAGTCAGCAAGATTCCAGCACTATCTAAATATATACTTGAGTCTGCACAAGACAAACCAGTCACTGGAAGCATGATCTACATCCCAAGCTAAAGCGGTATGATTCACAGTGACCCAACGTGACCACCAACCCAAACTAGTCACCTCTTTTGTTTGTTTGATTGTTGTTTAACGCCACACTCAGCAATATTACAGCTATATGAAGGCAGTCTGTTCATAATTGAGTCTGAACCAGACAATCCAGTGATTAAAATCATAAGCATCGATCCACGTAATCGGGATACGATGACATGCATCAACCAAGTCAGCGAGTCTGACCACCCGATCCTGTTAGTCGCCACTTACAACAAGCAGTAGCCTTTTACGGAAAGCATGGGTTGCTGAAGACCTATTCTACCCCGAATCTTCATGGAGCCACCTCTTATGGCGAGCATAAGAGTACTGAGGGCATATTCTAACCTTGCTTCCCATGGGGTTTCTTAATACCAATTCCACGTATTAATATCAAGCTCTACTTACACACAGAATGGCTCATAGCCCTCCTGAAGGCCACAGCAGGTGAAGTACTTGAGTGTGTTCACATCCTGCAAGAAACAGGAGGAAAATTAGGTGTTATTGAGATTCTTTCTGGGATCAGTCAAGTTTGTCACACACGTGACACATAGAGACATGACTTGCAAAACAGTCAGGTGAACAACATATCATAATGTAATGGAAAAGAGAATGCATTTTATGAAGTCAAGTGATTGAAATAATGGTCAATGATTGCTGGTGTTCCATACCTGCCCAAAGTTGAACTTGGCCTGCTGGTGAGCCGCCAGTGTCAAGGCAGGGACATAGGCTGAAGAACAAACAACATCAGTTCAGGAATCATGACTAACAACAGCCTCATATACAAATCCTGTAACATCTGGAAGAACTTCTTATCCATAACATTTATACACTGAAGTTTGTAAGAATATGAAACAATCTAACATCAGTTATATGAATATTTTATTGTCTTATATAAAAACCATGGTGAGGTAAAATGGGGTTTAACATCACATTCAAGATTATTGCACTTATATAGCGACATTACAAAGACAATTGGTAGGTACATGTTAGCACGACAGCCAGTCTATGATTGAACATGGACGAGACCACCCCCCCACCCCCCACACACAGGGGACATGACACTGGATATGTTTCCTCATATAAAGATTTAGCGCATCCTTGTAAACATCAATTACAAACAGGCTATCATTTAAAATTGAAACTGTATGGTTCTGGAAGAATTTTAAGGTCTATTAACTACACTCATTTAAAAAAACAGATCACTTGATATAATTTTGATGAACCCAAGTTGACAAGGTTTCCTGTATTCTACTGAACATGTGACTTACATTCCTCTACATCCACCTCTCTGAAGGCAATCTCCTGTCCCAGAGCATCCATCATCAGCTCACCGTTCAGGGAGAACGCTGCAACAGAGCAAGTAGAGACATCCATAAAGAAGACAACTAGTTCCATCAAGACATGCTGTGCAAGAAGCTGTGAGATATAAATAATCTGAAAAATGTATCTTCATAGCACTTACAGACTGTCTTGTCATTCATGTCAAGGAGACAACCGATGACGTCGCCCGTCTGCCACACTTTGCCGTACTGCTCAGATCCTTCATGCCACTTACGACCCTGAGAAAAACAAACATGGAATCAGTCCATCAACAAGCTTCATAGCGTCAAATACAATCTGATAATAAATATGATCACTACACTTGAATATAAAGCAAATATTTCAACAATAACAAGTTTTATTATCTTTATCTTGAACCTAAGGGTCAATTAAACTGATGTATCTGGCAATGTCAAAGAGATCAATGCTGACTTTGGGAATGTCAAAGAGATCAATGCTGACTTTGATAATGTCATAGAGATCAATACTGACTTTGGGAATGTCATAGAGATCAATACTGACTTTGATAATGTCATAGAGATCAATACTGACTTTGGGAATGTCATAGAGATCAATACTGACTTTGGGAATGTCATAGAGATCAATACTGACTTTGATAATGTCATAGAGATCAATACTGACTTTGGGAATGTCATAGAGATCAATACTGACTTTTGGAATGTCATAGAGATCAATACTGACTTTGAGAATGTCATAGAGATCAATACTGACTTTGATAATGTCATAGAGATCAATACTGACTTAGAGAATGCCATAGAGATCAATACTGACTTTGAGAATGTCATAGAGATCAATACTGACTTTGGGAATGTCATAGAGATCAATACTGACTTTGAGAATGTCATAGAGATCAATACTGACTTTGAGAATGCCATAGAGATTAATACTGACTTTGGGAATGTCATAGAGATCAATACTGACTTTGGGAATGTCATAGAGATCAATACTGACTTTGAGAATGTCATAGAGATCAATACTGACTTTGAGAATGCCATAGAGATTAATACTGACTTTTGGAATGTCATAGAGATCAATACTGACTTTGAGAATGTCATAGAGATCAATACTGACTTTGATAATGTCATAGAGATCAATACTGACTTAGAGAATGCCATAGAGATCAATACTGACTTTGAGAATGTCATAGAGATCAATACTGACTTTGGGAATGTCATAGAGATCAATACTGACTTTGAGAATGTCATAGAGATCAATACTGACTTTGAGAATGCCATAGAGATTAATACTGACTTTGGGAATGTCATAGAGATCAATACTGACTTTGGGAATGTCATAGAGATCAATACTGACTTTGGGAATGTCATAGAGATCAATACTGACTTTGGGAATGTCATAGAGATCAATACTGACTTTGATAATGTCATAGAGATCAATACTGACTTTGGGAATGTCAAAGAGATCAATACTGACTTTGATAATGTCATAGAGATCAATACTGACTTTGGGAATGTCATAGAGATCAATACTGACTTTGGGAATGTCATAGAGATCAATACTGACTTTGATAATGTCATAGAGATCAATACTGACTTTGGGAATGTCATAGAGATCAATACTGACTTTGATAATGTCATAGAGATCAATACTGACTTTGGGAATGTCATAGAGATCAATACTGACTTTGGGAATGTCATAGAGATCAATACTGACTTTGAGAATGCCATAGAGATTAATACTGACTTTGGGAATGTCATAGAGATCAATACTGACTTTGGGAATGTCATAGAGATCAATACTGACTTTGGGAATGTCATAGAGATCAATACTGACTTTGGGAATGTCATAGAGATCAATACTGACTTTGATAATGTCATAGAGATCAATACTGACTTTGGGAATGTCAAAGAGATCAATACTGACTTTGATAATGTCATAGAGATCAATACTGACTTTGGGAATGTCATAGAGATCAATACTGACTTTGGGAATGTCATAGAGATCAATACTGACTTTGATAATGTCATAGAGATCAATACTGACTTTGGGAATGTCATAGAGATCAATACTGACTTTGATAATGTCATAGAGATCAATACTGACTTTGGGAATGTCATAGAGATCAATACTGACTTTGGGAATGTCATAGAGATCAATACTGACTTTGGGAATGTCATAGAGATCAATACTGACTTTGAGAATGTCATAGAGATCAATACTGACTTTGATAATGTCATAGAGATCAATTCTGACTTTGGGAATGTCATAGAGATCAATACTGACTTTGAGAATGTCATAGAGATCAATACTGACTTTGAGAATGCCATAGAGATCAATACTGACTTTGGCAATGAATGACAGTCTTTTATTCTCACCGACAGTATTCATATTGCAAGGAGAAAATTTTAAAACCTACTCCTGGATTCTAATCTTTTGAAACTAGTACTGAGTGGACTCTCTGTCCCAATGATAACTCCTGACAATTAAGGTAAGGCTATCATCTCTGGTCTCCAGACAATGTTAGAGCTGGCCTCACTGTATGCTCCTTGAATGCTTCACTCACCACATATCCATCAAACCCATACGACATCCCATCAAGACCAATGTCCACGCCAGGGGCTGCTGATTTTTTCATCCATCCGACCTTCATGAAGCCAGTTGTCACAACCTCAAACTCGTAGTACCTAAAGTGCATTTTCATGTGTCAGACAGTGATATAATCAACATTCACTATATCTGTTACCTGGGGTTACATATCGTTTTTCTTTTCTTTTTTTATGTTTAGTGCCGCACTCAGTAATATTACAGCTAAATGACAGCGGTCTGTAAATAATCGAGTCTGGATCAGACAATCCAGTGATTGATATCATGGGCATCAATCCACACAATTGGGTTACAATGACATGCATCAACCAAGTCAGCAAGCCTGACCACCCGATCCCGTTAGTCGCCTCTTATGACAAGCATAGTTGCCTTTTACGGCAAGCATGGGTTGCTGAAGACCTATTCTACCCCGGATCTTCACGGGTCGGTTACATATCCTATACAACAACAAACCCTTCAACCATGTTATCTATACATGTAAAGTCAGCAAAGCCAAAAGAGGAATGATTAAGGGTATGTGTGGTTTAAACATCCTAGTCAGCAATATATTAACCCCATCACAATCGACCAGAATCAGACCTGGGCCCACTTGCACAAAGCAATCTTATCGCTACAATATTTCCAGCTATTGTAAGCCTATGTTAAAGTATGGGAGTTACGATCATCTTAGCGCTAAGATCGCTTTGTGCAAGTGGGCCCTGACCTAAAGCTAATATTTACCATTTTCCTCCAGACACAGAATAAGTCAGCTCTGCCCTGTATGTTCTTGTTTTCACAGAAGTCTCAGAGATTTCACGTGTCATGGCTGCAATACAGAAGACACTGATCAGTCTCCATCAAACAAATCTAACAGGTCCCCAATTACTCCCCTGATCAAACACTGACATAGGACAGCACCACTTTCAGGCCTTACAGTCCTGTAACAAGTTATCCTTTTATTATTCTTACCTGCTCCTGTAGTCCTAGGAAAGTGACTTTAATTAAATAATATATCCTGAAACACTACCATTTTGATGCTTCTTTCTCAAAGGTCAAAGACAAAAACTTATGAAGAATTTATAATTTTAAGTGCTGAGAGTGGAAAAATAAAACTTTAGTTTTAAAAATGTATCTCCCCAGCTGAAAATAAGTGCATCTCAGATGAATGTTCAAAGTGATGTCTACAATTCACAATACTATAGCAACGTAGCAGAGCTGTTTGTCAGATTGTTAGATCATTATAGAAGCTAAATATGCCGTCATAGATCAGTCACAGACACGTACAGGGTTGGGGGGAGATATATGATGATATACAATAGATATACTACAATGGGTGATACATGATATATGTGGGATAGTGCATGTATATCAACTTGGGATAACCCTGAAAACCTGAATACTATCAAGCAGAACAAGACCCAGAATCAAGGTCGCTGATCTGGTTATATCATCAAGTTTATTATTCAAAATGCTTTTACATGTTGATTTAAAAGTTTGACCCCAAACATCAACCATCATGCTAGAAAAATAGTTCAAAGAAAATATGATATGAAGAAGAGTCATGCATTTCAGAATGAGACAATATGACAAGCTCATAGATCGATAAGCAAATCAGTTTCTAGCTCCGATGAACCAATGAATTTCCCAAAACCATGAAACTAAGGTTGTGTTTTCTAAATTCAATTTTCGCATGCATTTTTTACCAATAACAGTTAAGTTATTCCAAATTGATATACGACATATCCACAAGGTTGTGTGGTAAGGTGAGCTTCTATTGCCATTTATCATGCTAGTTTATTAGGTTAATTGATAAAGAATAGCACAATATGCATATTTATCTTAAACACTGTTCATAAAATGTAGTCACAGTTAACAGGTTATTGCAAATATTGAAACGAATACACACCAGAAGAGCTAGCGCCATGTTTAAGTGGCTGTGTAAGTACAGCAAAGCAAGCCATTTTTTCAAGTCTCATATTCTTTTGCGTTTATGCAGCCAAAAATCATTCCACAACCAGAACCACTGAATTCAGCTCGGCAACCAGCATTTAGGTGTTTGAGAATGTAAAACTGGTAAGTACCAAAAATTATTGTTTTATGAGAAGATTCAAGCATTAAACATTAGAAGATTAGGAAACAATTACCAGTTGTAGCGAATCCTAAAACAGTTCAAAGACTTTAATTCACATTCTACAATGTGACAATCAGTTTCTTGAAGCTGTCCATTTTTTTTAATGTAACATTACTGTATTACAAATCATGAAAGAAAACATGTACAAGGTGCTTTTAGGATATTTCATCTTCGTTACATCAAAATTTACACAGATAGAGTTAGAGAGTGTAGCATTTGGGTCACTTGAAATAAAACATGAAAATATATAATCCTAAAATGAAAGAAAAGACACTGTTTAAATATTCAAATTTTGATTACACAATTTACAATTCAATCAATTAAATCCAAAGAAGTTAATATCCAAACCTAAACAAGTAGTCACATCAACAAAAGACATTGCAGTTGAATCACATGTATTCAAGGACCAAATGAGCTATGACATGAAATAAATTCATCATATTGATATTTTACAGTTTGTTTATTATTTTAAACAGGAGACGTTAAGGATGTGACCCAAACGTTAAAAAGATTGACAGTCATTGCAATAGGTTTACTGACAGTTTTGTGCACTTGTGTCTAAGATCTATTGGTAATGAGATATAGGACTATGATGTACTGTATGTTAAATTACCTGTTCGCAGACCTAGGGCTGCTAATCGGTCTTGTAATTTACTTCCTTGAAAGCAGTAAATGATGATTGACACAACATGAAATAGATTCTACACACACCACTGAAGCCTGGGCAGTGATGAAGCACAGGTGAGACAACACTACATATAATGTACCATCGTTTACCACCAGCGTTCATTCTAGTTGCTGGAATGGCACTTTGGGCCTAACAGTGACAAAAGGCGGGATCATTTTTCGAAATTTAAACTAAGGTAACATCCTTTCTTGGCACAAAATATCAATCTGATCTTATATTCTAAGATTTGCCCTTTGACTTATCCTGCTCATGAATCTTCAAAATGGTAGTCAGTGATTCAGCCATCACAATTTTTCCTTTATATGTTTTCGAAAAGAATTTTCCCCATCACAATTTTTCCATTATATGTTTTCGAAAAGAATTTTCCCCAATCTCAAAAGTGCAAAGACTTGTTTAGTTTGCACACTGCTCATTTCTGATGTAAACACACCAGCAAGTGAAGAATGACAAATGCGTATGTCTTAGATGTTTATCTGTTATGCTTATGGTAGAAATGAATTTGTATTTGAAGCTATGTGCCCAACTCCTGCAAGAAGGTGACAGTTCTTCCATTATGAATGAAACTGATGCAGCAATGGTGCAATCTAGAATGAACCTTGATTTACCATATCTTGACCCAAAGAATAATTTTACTACATAATAATAATGCATATATTACTTCTTACTTAATCATTTAAATCCCATTACCACAAATGATTTCACACAAATAAATATTCCAAGAATGCATAGTATCAAAATATGCATTACAATTTGACAGTTTCAGCAGTATACATTTGACAGATTTGTTTCAATGATGACACCTAGATTGAAGAGGAAACTTTTGTTCAGTTATGATGATGATGATTGTGTTAGCAGGTAGAACAGTTAGTGACACAGAAAGCACACAGACCTGTCATACCGCTCTCCCCGGTCTCGCTGGTGGGAGGCTCCAACATGTAGTCGTACGCCATCAGCGTCCGCACAGCCTCACTCGCAGTGTCTCTGAGAACATGGTCCATGCAATATACATTATACAATATGCAAAATCCATTATACAATATCTTTACGTGGCACAAAGAACCTGTATGGTATCAATAAAGCCAGGGGGACTCATGGATTTCAGGAATCATACACGTATCCAGGACGGCTAGAGTTTAAGGGTCTTGTCATTACCTACCAGTGTATCTCTGGCACAGCACCAAGACACCTATGTGACCTCATTCAAGTGTACCAGCCTACCAGATCACTGCGATCACAATACCAGCTTTTGTGTAGTGTTCCAAGATGAAGATTAAAGGGACATGGCTTCAGATCATTCTCCTGTCAAGCACCTATGCTGTGGAATACACTCCCAGAAACCCTAAAAACTGCAGAGACCCTATCTGTCTTTAAGGCTAGACTAAAAACATTTCTCTTTGACAAGTATTACCCTTGTAGTATGTAAGCACCATGAGCACACAAGCTGGTATGGAGTTTGGTGCATACAAATGACCTCATTATTTATTATCATTATTATTATTAGACACAAAGTTTCATTACAAGTATGTACAATCATATCTTCCCTGTGTCATATTTGCTAGTACCAAAACACCCAAGGGACTGAAACATAAATTCTTAGTTTTTTTATTTTAACATGCTTCAAGCAACAGAATATTCATGTTAAAATGGGATCACATTTTTTTTCTTGGCTTACTGATAGGAGCACCCAAAAAAAAAGTTACATAGGCAAAATGTTTGTTTTTTTAAGATAATACAAATTAGAATTTTTTTGGGCTTTTGCGTAGTTTTTTCTCAATCTCTTTTTTCTTCAAAATATAAGCGATTAAATTTTTTTTTTACTATTTTCTTTTGAAATTGAGACACACATGTAAACCAAGGAATAAAAAAATCGTCAAAATAGCAAAATGTTTTAGAATGACTTGTTGTAGGGCACCAAATGGATGTTGACTTACCTGTTAGCCTTCTTGATGTGTTGGTCCACCTTGTTGTAGGGGACGAGATGGGGACTTCTCTTGTGCAGGGGGTCCTGCAAACAGGAAACAATCGTTCGTAATAACCGTAGTTCGATATAAGCATATATGCAGCCTATATACAGCAAATGGTCGCGACAAAAATAATAGCTTGTTATAGTCTGGAAGGTAATTTAAGGTACCGGCGTTTACTACAATATCTGAAAAACTATCGGACCTACTCCAGTCAAAGTTGGTATGAGATTATTAAACAGTCAAACATAACTGGATATTACATTTAAAGACAATCGGTGCATGAATAAAAAATCTGTCTATTTAGCTATCACTATATTTCATCAACAACCAGACCTGTTCGTCACGGGTGGAACGAGCATTCATTGAAACAGCCATCTGTATAATGCTACCCCTGCGTCACAGGGCCATATGACACAGTTGAACCAATCAACTCAACCTGAAAGGGTGCACGGGAATCCCGCACGTTGAGACGCCCAACGCTAACACCATATTCATGAGTGCGTGATTTCGTTTTAAGCGTGCTTGTTTACTGCATATGCATATTCTATGTTTTTCCTAAAATACAGATATAATTGTTAAAGGGGGACCATGCTCAGGTATAAGGCAGTCCCAGCATGTTTGTTGAACGTGAATTTTATGATTTGATCTTGCAGTGTTTACCTCACTGATCCAGAGGTAAACTCAAAGTCTCACACACATGGCATTAATTACATCTTGATCTCCTGACAAAGGGCTCCAGACCTTGGAGGATAGTCCCTCTGTAAGATACTGTCACACCTGAACCCTCTGAACCTGTGGTGGACTGCACCTCTCTACCAAGTTTACACATGAGGGTGAAGGGGTAAGGATATATTAGTCTGCAGTATCAACCCATTGTGGCCAACGGATACTCATTCGGCCCCATTTCTATCACCTACAAAAGGTGTTGAGTGGCTACTGAGCTAGAAGGGTTGTTTTCGTAAAGTTTATTACAGATATCTACACCAGGAAACATTCAGAATACTGTTTACTTACCAAATCAGAATACACAAGTTATTCATACAAACATATCAGGGTTCATAAAAATCATATGTGCCCTTGGGTCATATCATGTCACGAGACAACAGTGTATTGTTTCCCTCATCTGGACGGCAATGTTGACGTCATTCGAATCTTATTGTGACGTGAGGTCAGAATGAAGTCACACTAGAAACGATATCATAGCTGAAGATTGTTGACATCATTCGACAAATTGTGTTTTTGCTGCTGTTGTACTTGCTGTCCTTATTAGGTAACACTAAACTTCATTTCTGTATATAGTCATCTTCTTCAGAAATATATAGAACATTATATTCGTGTTCATGTCATACTATGTTTAAGACACTTGTGCCAAAAGTGTCTTAAGCATAATATGACATGAACGCTCGTGTAATATCCTCTATGTATACTTGGCACTATGTGCTTGGCATGAGTGATCACTAAAGTTAAGATGTCAAATCATGAAAACTATCATATAATAACTATCATACGACAAAATTGGGTTTCTTTAGCTTCTTTTGAGGAGCCCATGTTTGAAATTCACATACCGAAAGGGAATTCCATTAAAATCCAAGAAAAAGACAACAACAACAAGACATGGACATGAGCCCTTGAGTTTACTGACCTCATTCAGGCCGTATGTCCAGTGGTGTTTGATCCTGTCCTTGGCCCAAACGTTGTGAGTGTTCTCAGCCAGCAGCTCCACCAATTCCTCCATCTTGTCGTTCAGCTGTATCCCGGACAGATCCAGGGGGGTCGGCTTGTAGCCGTTACTCTGAAGGAAGCTGTAACAGACACATTGTAACTTGTAACATTGTATCCCGGACGGCACATTGTAACTTGAAACATTCTGTCCCTAACAGACTGCGCTACTCTGTGAGTACTGTTCATTGGAGGAAGTTGGACATTCTGTCCCTAACAGACTGCGCTCCTTTGTGAGTACTGTTCACTGGAGGAAGTTGGACATTCTGTTCCTAACAGACTGTGCTCCTCTGTGTGATGTGTATCGTTCACTGGAGGAAGTTGGACATTCTGTGCCTAACAGACTGTGCTCCTCTGTGTGATGTGTATCGTTCACTGGAGGAAGTTGGACATTCTGTCCCTAACAGACTGTGCTCCTCTGTGTGATGTGTATCGTTCACTGGAGGAAGTTGGACATTCTGTGCCTAACAGACTGTGCTCCTCTGTGTGATGTGTATCGTTCACTGGAGGAAGTTGGACATTCTGTCCCTAACAGACTGCTACTCTGTGTGATGTGTATCGTTCACTGGAGGAAGTTGGACATTCTGTGCCTAACAGACTGTGCTCCTCTGTGTGATGTGTATCGTTCACTGGAGGAAGTTGGACATTCTGTCCCTAACAGACTGTGCTCCTCTGTGTGATGTGTATCGTTCACTGGAGGAAGTGGGACATTCTGTCCCTAACAGACTGCTACTCTGTGTGATGTGTATTGTTCACTGGAGGAAGTTGGACATTCTGTTCCTAACAGACTGTGCTCCTCTGTGAGTACTGTTCACTGGAGGAAGTTGGACATTCTGTCCCTAACAGACTGTGCTCCTCTGTGTGATGTGTATCGTTCACTGGAGGAAGTTGGACATTCTGTCCCTAACAGACTGCTACTCTGTGTGATGTGTATCGTTCACTGGAGGAAGTTGGACATTCTGTCCCTAACAGACTGTGCTCCTCTGTGTGATGTGTATCGTTCACTGGAGGAAGTTGGACATTCTGTGCCTAACAGACTGTGCTCCTCTGTGTGATGTGTATTGTTCACTGGAGGAAGTTGGACATTCTGTCCCTAACAGACTGCTACTCTGTGTGATGTGTATTGTTCACTGGAGGAAGTTGGACATTCTGTTCCTAACAGACTGTGCTCCTCTGTGAGTACTGTTCACTGGAGGAAGTTGGACATTCTGTTCCTAACAGACTGCGCTCCTCTGTGTGATGTGTATCGTTCACTGGAGGAAGTTGGACATTCTGTTCCTAACAGACTGTGCTCCTCTGTGAGTACTGTTCACTGGAGGAAGTTGGACATTCTGTCCCTAACAGACTGTGCTCCTCTGTGTGATGTGTATCGTTCACTGGAGGAAGTTGGACATTCTGTCCCTAACAGACTGCTACTCTGTGTGATGTGTATTGTTCACTGGAGGAAGTTGGACATTCTGTTCCTAACAGACTGTGCTCCTCTGTGAGTACTGTTCACTGGAGGAAGTTGGACATTCTGTCCCTAACAGACTGCTACTCTGTGTGATGTGTATCGTTCACTGGAGGAAGTTGGACATTCTGTGCCTAACAGACTGTGCTCCTCTGTGTGATGTGTATCGTTCACTGGAGGAAGTTGGACATTCTGTGCCTAACAGACTGTGCTCCTCTGTGTGATGTGTATCGTTCACTCGAGGAAGTTGGACATTCTGTCCCTAACAGACTGCTACTCTGTGTGATGTGTATCGTTCACTGGAGGAAGTTGGACATTCTGTCCCTAACAGACTGTGCTCCTCTGTGTGATGTGTATTGTTCACTGGAGGAAGTTGGACATTCTGTCCCTAACAGACTGCTACTCTGTGTGATGTGTATCGTTCACTGGAGGAAGTTGGACATTCTGTCCCTAACAGACTGTGCTCCTCTGTGTGATGTGTATCGTTCACTGGAGGAAGTTGGACATTCTGTGCCTAACAGACTGTGCTCCTCTGTGTGATGTGTATCGTTCACTGGAGGAAGTTGGACATTCTGTCCCTAACAGACTGCTACTCTGTGTGATGTGTATTGTTCACTGGAGGAAGTTGGACATTCTGTTCCTAACAGACTGTGCTCCTCTGTGAGTACTGTTCACTGGAGGAAGTTGGACATTCTGTTCCTAACAGACTGTGCTCCTCTGTGAGTACTGTTCACTGGAGGAAGTTGGACATTCTGTTCCTAACAGACTGCGCTCCTCTGTGTGATGTGTATTGTTCACTGGAGGAAGTTGGACATTCTGTTCCTAACAGACTGCGCTCCTCTGTGTGATGTGTATCGTTCACTGGAGGAAGTTGGACATTCTGTGCCTAACAGACTGCGCTCCTTTGTGAGTACTGTTCACTGGAGGAAGTTGGACATTCTGTTCCTAACAGACTGTGCTCCTCTGTGTGATGTGTATCTTTCACTGGAAGAAGTTGGACATTCTGTCCCTAACAGACTGCTACTCTGTGTGATGTGTATCGTTCACTGGAGGAAGTTGGACATTCTGTCCCTAACAGACTGCGCTGCTCTGTGTGTACTCACTTGTTGCCCAACTTGATGGTCTTCATGCGGTTGTTCTGTTGCTGCTGGGGGCTGATGGAGATGTGGTAGCCCAGGGCTAGCAATGTTCTGTGGGAAACAAGCAGACAGAACATGTTTCAATACAGGCAGGACTGAAGGTAAAACCTCGTCTATCCACAGCACACACAGCCAAGCTTGACCATTACAGATGTTTGTGCTTGCACATGATAACAAACAGAGAAAAATCTTAAACTTATAAAAACCGAAAATGCCATTAATTTTTTTTTCAATTCACTTCCCTGCATCAGAAGACCTACAATGTGCATCATCTGAACTTGTATCTAACTACACATTCTAAGTATTTTTCATTAAATGGATAGTGTTATCTATATAAATATTTAAGTGATGTTCCCTATAAGTTCAGCTAGGGATTTCCCAATGTGTGAGTATTCTGTAAACAAACATGGTTGCAAATCATTTGGCACTATATGATAATTGGGTGGTTCACTAAAACACTGTATTCATACGCAGTGTATAAAGTTTCGTCACTGAGCGTAATTACGACTTAAACATTTTAAGAATGACATTGTATGATAAAGAGATTTTTAGATTATTGTAAATATGCCCCGGTAAGATATAAGGATGAAAGAAAGAAAGGTTAAGCACGATTAATACATTTCCTATTACTAATATAACATATTAATGATACAGAAACACACTCGGCTAATAATCTCTATTTCACAAGTAACACACCTCAGAGTTTCAAAGGCCACTGTGATGACATATTTCTTCTCCGAGATGGGGACCTTCTCAAAAGCTGTGAGAGCAGGATTCTTTTTGCGATCTGGATCTCGCACCTTGAATATACATTCAGTCAAACATGTAATACAGACATAAACTACAGTTAACGTATAATTTACATGTAGCTCCATAAAGGTAAAAACATATTGAAGTCAATTTTCAAAATAAACATGTCTTTCCAGACAATAGTATGAATGAGTGACATTGTTCAGCGCAATAATACAACACAAGCCCCGCCCATTCTATCAACAGTAGTCTGTTCTTTGGCATGGACTTTTGTTTTTTTCTGGTTCATGAAGACCTAAACGAAAATTAATTTGCTTGTTTAGCCAATCAGAATCACTTGTACCAATAAGTTATTTATTCGAGCCATATCAAGGTGCCTGGCTAAGACACATTTTTCTTCTCTCCTGACAAATGAGTGAGTTCCGTATGGCGTCACATCTGTATTGTTTCAGACATATAATTTATAGATGCATTTGTCAAACATGCTGTAGCATAGCATAGCAACAACAGTCATAACTGTCTAAAACATTATCTTACAACAAATATATGCATGGCCCGGGGACTGGCAACTGATTCTGCCTTGAATCCCCACAGGGTTTGAACAGGACATAATCCAAGCTTCCTAATCCAACTGACCTCTCCATATGTCCATCCTTGCTCCACCTTGTTCATGGCCCACATCTCATGCAGGTTCTCTGCTAGCTTGTCCCGCACGTTCTCTATGAAAGCTGGAAGCTGAATCTACAACAAAACACCATCATCAACAAACCAGAAACAACGAAACTTTGTCAAAGTAGCATATTACCAAATGTCTGTTAATAATGTATCACTGTGTGATAGTGGAATGGCATATATATGTATTATATATGTCATACAGTAAAAATATTTATTTGACCACAATATATTAATCATTAGATTTTCATCTATTTTTATAAAAAATATGAGGCAAGGGGTATTATATTTGTTATATTTAATGTTAATAACAATCTGGTCAAGGCATATATCTGTATACATGAACTGTCTCCATGATGTGATTCCCATGAAGCATGATGGTTCAGTAGAACCACATGTATGCTTTATTTCATGCTTATATGCTTTAAGAAGGAGTGAGTGAGTGAGTGAGTGAGTTGGGTTTAATGCCGCTTTTAACAGGATTCCAGTTATATCGCGGCGTGTCAGCTTAATGTGGGAGGAAAGCCCGAAGTGATGCAGGTCTTAGACGTTTACCACTTCGGTGAAACCCACGAGCACGGGTATGGTGCTGACAAACCTAGAAACATCATCGGGGTGAACCGGGATTCGAACCCACAATCATAGGTTTCTGGCGTGTCCAGGGGACGCAACTCTGCACAGCGAATCACGGCGCCTTAGACGACTGGGCCACCCGTGCCCCCTTAAGAAGGATGGGAACAGAAGCAATTTTCTTCATCTGTAGGAACTTCGGGACAATAAAATGACGTGAGGCAGGGTTTTTTGTAGTGACGGTTGGGGATCATAATCTACTAATTTATTTATTGTGGTCTTACATTAAGTTGTTTTCAATGAACCAAAGACGTATACTTACTCTGGATGTTGTGACAGGGTTTGGCACAAAGGGGACATAATCCATGGTCTCTGTTGGGCCACTCAGCATGTTCTTCACGAGGTTCCCGAAGTAGAAATATGGCTCAATCTTTACCTTCTCTTTTGGCGGCAAGGATTCAATGATGGGGGAATGCTCTTCTGGTGGTCCATACCTTAGTCGACCATGATCGTGGCCAAATACAAAACGAGCACTGTCGAGAAATAAGTTGAAATCTGTTATTTTCCTTAATCATAACTTGACATTTTCACATGACTGACTTGACACTAACACATAGACTGACAAGATATTACTTGACTGATCTGATTTCCACACAACACAGATCTGATTTCCACACAACACTGACCTGATGTCCACACAACAGTGACCTGATTACCACACAACACTGATCTGATTTCCACATAACACTGACCTGATTTCCACACAACACTGACCTGATGTCCACACAACACTGACCTGATGTCAACACAATACTGACCTGTATTCCACACAACACTGACCTGATTTCCACACAACACTGACCTGATGTCCACACAACACTGAACTGATGTCCACACAAACTGATCTGATTTCCACAAAACACTGACCTGACATTGGCTCCGAGAGTGACAACAGGGAAGAACATGCCGCTCAGGTTGAAGTCCTTGAAGATGCCCCGAACTTTGACTCCATTCACTGTGAACATTATCTGTGGTATGGAAAGGTCAAGGGCACAGCCAATGATGTCATTCTTCTGGAAGTTCACCGTTCCAGGTCGGACACACTTCGGCTTGCCACCTGCAAAAACAAAATTCTCATATAAAGAAAAATAGTTGCAGCACTACATGTACTACATATTAAGATCTTACTAAAGTACACATGATGTGAAATCTGCAATCACTTTGCAAATTACTACAAACTGTTTTGAAAAGCTTACGTGTTAGTCCCATTATGATACAAGAAAACTGGTAAACTATTCAGAAAGCAAACATCTGACCAAATCCGATAACAATAGTGACATTAACACAACATAACTGAGCAATAGGACCTCGTCACTCAGGAAACAAAGTCAAAGTTGAGCTCACCTGTCCAGAGATTAAGTCCATCGAAACTGTATGAGTAGAGGTCGTCTCCAGCCCCGTTGGCCCCCCAGTGCTCTCCTCCCCCGGGGTAGGGCATGAAACCCTCGGTGTTGGCAAACCCAATACGGAGGTGGGGTGGGAGATGGGTGGAGGCCTCACAGTTTACAATCACAACCTCGAAGTACCACTTCTTGTAGATAGGAGATCCCTCACAGATACCAACAAACAGGTTTGGTCGCAAACTAGAAACAAAATATACATACAGTTTTATCCCATTTCCCCAAAACATGACCTTTGGCCACATTTTTTTAAGTTTATGCTTCCAGATTTATTCCAGCTTTTCCACACATGGTCGGTCGAAATAAAAATTAATAACTATGTCAATCATTTATTTATAAACTTATATGAAGGTCATTCTGCCGTTGAGTTAAAACTGCTGTTGCCTTTTGAATCACTGATAGTAATGTAGACATGGAATTTATATATAACATTTTTTATTGAATAAGAGGATCTATAGAATTGTTTGATAGGCGTTACTTAGAAGTTGACGCATGACAAAAGTAGACACAATTTATGGATAACAACCTCTTTTTTTAAATAAATAAATAAGCTGTTATCCATAAATTGTGTCTACTTTGTCAAGATGGTCAACATTACTATCTTTTATGTTTAATTTATTTCTTAGACCAAATACTTTTCAGTAGGAGCGATAGTCCCATGAAACGAAAAATAAAACTAGTGTGGCCTAATATAAGTGAGTGAATGTTGTTTAATGACACATTCAGAAATATTTCCACTTTATCATGCCAGCCTGTATATATTCAAACCATGGCCCATTCTACTACGTAACTTCTCACTTGGACTATCATAAATCTTAGTTAGAGTATGGGAGCTAAGATCAGTTTGTAGAATGTGGCCCTGGACCAGACCTAGAGCAGAGACCGAAAGTATGGATCCATGCCATGAGTGAGTGAGTGAGTGAGTTGGGTTTAACGCTGCTTTTAACAGTATTCCAGTTATATCGCGGCGTGTCAGCTTAATGTGGGAGGAAAGCCCGAAGTGATGCAGGTCTCAGACGTTTACCACTTCGGTGAAACCCACGAGCACAGGTATGGTGCTGACAAACCTAGAAACATAATCGGGGCGAACCGGGATTCGAACCCACAATCATAGGTTTCTGGCGTGCCCAAGGGACGCAACTCTGCACAGCGAATCGCGGCGCCTTAGACGACTGGGCCACCCGTGCCCCCCCATGCCATGAGGGTATGATGACACACAATCAACTAAGTCAAGAGCCTTACCACCTGATATGTTCTCATCAACAGACATGACAAGCAGGAGTAACAGGGAACAAATTTCACACCCGGATTTCAAAGGGATGAAAAATTAAGTCTGTGAATAATGTTTCAGGCCTTCTGGTCAATACTGATACAATATTGCTAAAGGTGCTAATATTCTTCATTGTCACAACATGGAATATATTCCGAGTAATACAAGTTATCACTTCTAAGATTTCTGTTCTGCATTTGCTGTATGAAGTAATCCTACCTTGTGACATGGTCAACAAGTTTTGTCTGCAGGAGGAGATCACGGCCAGGTAACAGGTTATCACAGATGAGATTCTGGTTGGTTCGGACAGCGATGTCATTACCAACACACAGAGACCGCAACACGTTTAGCACCTGCACAACCAAAAATAATCATTAGTAGCAAAACCCATCAAACAGTATGACCGCCAAGCAAAGGTTTTACATGTATTGAAAAATGTAGGTATTTTTCAGAAGAAGAGAAAATGGCTGAAACTACTAAAAGTGGACTCACCTTTGGGTCTCTGCCATGTTTGTCAATGAGAGATATGATAGTGATGATATGTTTCTCCTTGATCATGTTGAGAGCTTCTGGAGAGTCGATAAGCACACAGTGAAGCACATCAAGCACACCTTTGGAAGACTGCTGACTCTCCAGTCGGTTCACCAGCCAGTCCAGGCGGTAGGACTGGGCAAACTGGGCACAGTTGGCACGGTTACCACGGATCATGGCCGCTGAAATATACACATCAAAGTCACATTGTTGTTTCCTTTAATGGTGTCACACAAAATGTGTTGCTACATACGGTGCCAGACCTGATCCTACAGGGTAATTTTGATCAGAAATAAATCTTCATCCCAGCTAAGGCTTGATATGAATGCCCACCCAGTAAGAGATACAGACAGAAAGAGATGTCTACCCTTGATATGAATGCGCACCCTTGATATGAATGCCCACCCAGTAAGAGATACAGAAAGAAAGAGATATCTACCCTTGATATGAATACCCACCCAGTAAGAGATACAGACAGAAAGAGATGTCGACCCTTGATATGAATGCACACCCTTGATATGAATGCCCACCCAGTAAGAGATACAGACAGAAAGAGATGTCGACCCTTGATATGAACGCCTACCCAGTAAGAGATAGAGATAGGAAGAGATGTCATCCCAGCTCTCGGCTGCATCCTCTCCGGCATAGTGGGCAAACTTCTGTTTACTCTTGTACTGGCTCAGTTTGTCAATTGTCTCCAGAATGAGAGCAATCATACCCTGAAAACAACATTTCAGCATGAGTGAGTGAGAGAGTTGGGGTTTAACACTGTTTTGAACAGTATTCCAGTTATATCACGCGTGTCAGCTTAATGTGGGAGGAAAACCCGAAGTGATGCAGGTCTCAGACGTTTACCACTTTGGTGAAACCACAAGCACAGGTTCTGACCTTGAAACATAATTTGGGCAAACCAGGATTCTGAACCCACAATCATAGGTTTCTGCACAGCATATTGCCACACATTAGCTGACTTGGGAATCCGTGCCCCCCATGAACATTAATGTGTCATCATCGTCATTCTTGATATAACCAAGTTCACAGATAATGGAACACCATAAATATGTAAATGCATGGAAAATCTCACCCGAGTGCCTTTTGATATCAAATATATCAAGATGGGTGGATAAAAGTTTAAAACTTAAATCCACGAGTGTTGACACATTTCCTATCAAAAGTCACAAGGGGAAGATCCTATTTATCTTCCAAAATCATTCTTCCAACTTTTTCAATTTGTCAACAGCGATAAGCATTGTCTTGAGCACAAAATGTACTGCTAACGAGCTTCAATGGCAGAGAGATTAGTGATGTCATTTGATTGTGACATCTTGATAACCAATGATGTCACAATGGTCTACAAAGCATTATGATGCAATTCATTGCAGTGATAGAGATATTACTCGATAAATAACAATATTAATACAATCATCATTCATATATTCACAGAGTAAAACTTATTAGTTCATGACAATTAGTTTTTTCCATGATACAACCCAAACAACAAGTACAAAGTGTATCTTACCTCTTCCTGAAACAGATCTTGTCTGTTACGAAGAGCGCGAAGTTTATTTTGTTTTTCTTCATGTTCTGAAAAAAAAGCAAAGACACAATTCAGCTATAGTATGAGTCCAGTTATGGTAGTTCCCTGAAAAGACATACATACATACATCCTTCAACGAACGGTGAAATGTTATTTCAGGACCCACCTTCATGGTCTCCAGGCTGAGCAAAGTAGTCAATGAGATCCTCCAGACATTTGATGACCTCCGATAAACTTATCCGACCCCAGGCATGGGAGTTCCGACCTTCTGTCTTCAGGCTGTCCAGAGCTCTGCACAGAACAGTGAGCCATACTCAGAACATTGCCAGTCAGAAAGGCATGACAAGGGACACGGTTAGATACCTCATTGGTAAGCTAAGGGGACTACTCTAATTAATCATGCAAATCAATGATATGCTAACAACTTACAGAAAACCGTACTAACTCACTCACTCACTCCTAGGGGCACCAGATACATGGATTTCAAATTCTGTATTTTTTTATACATAATGTTTCGGGCAACATCTTTCCACTTTTTAAGGTGGAATAATCACCTTCCCAATGCCTATGAACACCTCATTTGTTCCTGGCTGTCAATAAAAAGATTGTTTGTTGTTTAACACCACCCTCAGCAATATTCCAGTTATATGTATTTGTAAATAATCGCGTCTAGACCAGACAATCCAGTGATTGACATCATGAGCAGCGAGTCTGACCACCTGATCCAAATTAGTGGCCTCTTATGATGAAGACCAATTCAAACCCAGATCTTCACGGGGTGGCTCTGATAAAATGCCACTAAGACAGTTAAGAGAAAAGGAAAGCCATCTTACTTGTTAAATCTTGTGAATAGCGACTGGCACTTCCTGATGACACGAGCAGATCGCGACTCCTCTTCCTGGGCTCTTGACAAGGTGAAGCCATCGTCCATGTGACCCTCCACCAACATCACAGCCTGGCAGGGTGAAGAAATACACTCAACTAATGCCATGTCAGATTAACTATATTTACATGAAAAATTGTGTGGTCCGTAACTTATTAAGCATGATTGGATATTGGGAAAAAAAAGTCCAATGGGACTAATTTTGAGGGACATTGTGAGATGGCCTTGCTCTAGATAGCTGGTCAGGTCATGAAAAACTTACTTTTTTCTCTTCCACTCTGCCAACGCCTCTCTTCTTTGTCTCGAATGTCTGATAGGAGAGCCACAGGTTGGTGGAGCAGTGTTGGATGAATACAATAGAGTCACCGTACTTGATGTCAGGGCGACCCATGCCCTCGTCCTCACGACCTTCAGACATCTTCTTGTCATCCTACAGCAGACAACACCATGGACAGGTCAACATCAGATCTATACATTAACCAGATGAATGATCGGTAAGGCTGTTACACATGGACACCTTCTTTTCAGTGATCCATTCATATAATTTGTCATGGAATCTGTTTTGTTGCATAATCGAGACTGGTTGTTCTCTGGCATTGACATTTTATATTATGTACATATACATATACATGACAGTGACTTTAGCCATTAGTTTCGGACTGGAACTGTTTTTCACCTTTGACTGCCTGACAAAGAATGCAGTGCTCTCCTCTGAGGCGCTGCTACGATGGACGGTGTGAACTTGGTTGTCCTTGACAGCCGCCAGGTAGCGGCCAGATGTTACATGGAGAATTCTGCACTGCTGTCCCCATCCCATGAACCCACCAGCCCATCTGAAACAATGTCACATGTCAGAGCCTTGTCACAACTAACAGAAATCAACTGTAACATAATGTGCATGGCATAACATATAGAAAGACAGGTGAAGCAATAACAGTTTGATCAATTGTTACACCCAATCTACTGATACTCAATCAGCCAGGTCACATGTTGCAGGGTCGGTGGGGTACCAATCGCTCGTCACGCCAAAGGCCCGTGTTCGCTTCCCCACATGGGTACAATGTTTGAAGCCCCTTTCTGGTGTGATGCATCAATCATTTGATCAATCGTTACACCCTCCGTGAACACTCAGTCAGGTCACAACAATCCCCACTTTAGTTCCCTGCTAGTGCAGATCTGCCCAGGACACCAAGAGGTTCTGTTCTGGGTCTCCCTTTGCAAGAATGGTGTAGCAAACAGACCCTTACTTTGTTCTGATGTGTTCAAGTCGCCACAGAGATCTAGCATGGCTGCATACAGCTCCAGTCTCATACATCACAGCACTGCAACACAAAGCATGTGATATACACTCTATACAGTCTTCTTCCTGTAGTTTTGCTATCCCTTCATGTTTTAAACAATATTACTCTGAAGTCGCATAGCAAGAATACCATTCCTCAAAGATAGGTTAGAAATTGACGATAAAGTTATGTGAACAGTCTCAAACTGAATTAGTATTTCAATGTATCTTACTTGAATTCAGTTTCACTGCCGGCTTCTGGTATTGTGAGACACTCATCCATATGTCCATGGAACAGTCTCAACACATCCCCACCAAACACATTAGCTGAAACAGGAATAATTTAAATGCTCAGTATTTGCACACCTAGAGTACTTTCGGCCATGGGAGCTGTGCCAATATACACTTCTCAGAGGGGTACACCAAGTATGTGATCTAGCCCACCAGCTGTCAGACTTTCATTTTTTGTGGAGGTACTTGAGGTTCATTTTTCAATCTGAAACCATTTATAATGTTATCCTAAAGTCGTAATGTTTTTGGTCCTGATAAGTCTTCAGCACTTTGGCACATTATTTGCTCAAATATTGTCAGGTCTATGTGTCTATTATGTCACGTGTGTCTATTACGTGTGAGTCAATGAATGTTTCTGATGCCATTTTTAGCAAAATCAGTAATATCCCGACAGGGGCAAACATAAAAGGGCATCACACAAAAAACCCATGGGCAAATTCAAACCCAGACCTTCAGTGTGATGAGTGAACACATTAACTACAAGGTTACAAGAAATGTTGTCCTGGAAGTGCTGGCATGTCATTCGATGCTCCAATGTTTGGACCACCAGATACTAGTATGAAGACCCGTGACAGTATCTCACCTAAAGCTTTGGTCCTGACGGCGCCAGAACACATTGGCACCACAGTCCACAGAGTCTGCTGGAAGGATGCTATGACTGCAGAACCACTGCCGATGTGCTGAAAGATGGAGGAAGGCGGTGATTTGTGTTTTCAACATTTAACAAACAAATCAGTAATAAACAATCAAGATCGTAAAAACTATCAACCTCAATTTTACTTTTAAATCTGCTCTAAATTTATGAAAAGTTTTCTTTAACTGAGAAAGCCAACAAGTAGGGTCTTATGCTTGTGTTTTCAATACTTACCAGGTATCTTTCTGAGGACACGCTGACGAGGATGAGATCATCTCCGACTCGGACTTTCTCACCCTCAGATCTTTGTTTGGAAGCGGGATGGATTGTCCACCAACATGACTCACCTGGCAACACAACAGGTAAGATATAAAACAAAACTATAGAATATTTCACACTTCCTCCTTGTTCACTCTATTAAAATATAGCCAGCTAAAGGTATCCTTACATCTAAACATTAAATTGTTCAGTTAAGTTGAAATAGGAAATTAATTTCATCACAAAAAAATATAATATTTGGAAATTGTTGAAATATATCTGAATTGATGATGCACTATGAGCTATGAATATATCACTTTTACTCTATTATTATATATATGCACTTTTATTTTCACAAAAAAAAATTTCTTCTCTCATGTTTAAAGTAAATGTAACACGTGTGTCTAACCATTTGCAGTTTCCTGCAAGCCGACATCAAAGGCCAGTTTGTCATTGGAGGAGCTGGTTGAAAGACAGGAGAGATACTGAAACCAGAAAAACACATTAAGTGTTACATTGCCTGGAACAATACACCGAATACTACAAGAATCGTGTGTGTGTGTGTGTGTGTGTGTGTGTGTGTGTGTGTGTGTGTGTGTGTGTGTGTGTGTGTGTGTGTGTGTCTGTCTGTGTGTTTTTGTGTGTCTGTGGTGTGTGTCTGTCTGTCTGTGTGTGTCTGTTTGTGTGTCTGTCTGTGTGTGTGTGTGTGTGTGTGTGTGTCTGTGGTGTGTGTCTGTCTGTCTGTGGTGTGTCTGTGGTGTGTGTGTGTGTGTGTGTGTGTGTGTGTGTGTGTGTGTGTGTGTGTGTGTGTGTGTGTGTGTGTGTGTGTGTGTGTGTGTGTCTGTCTGTCTGTGTGTGTGTCTGTCTGTCTGTGTGTGTGTCCCTGTACAGTGGATACTTATGGTTAACATGTGAGCAATATGGATCCATGGGACATACATTTCAATAAGAAAACAAAGATATCATCAACACTTTCATGCAGTTAGCACAGGTAATATTTGTATTTCCATGCTTAGACCACAATGGTTTACAAGGAATTTGTAAACTGTCAAAGTTTCCATGACAACAGTTTACAAGCACTATATATACTGACCATGTTTCCATGACAATGGTTTACAAGTACCATATATACTGACCATGTTTCCATGACAATGGTTTACAAGTACTATATATACTGACCATGGCTACAGGACAATGGTCTAACAGCACTATGTATACTGGCCATGTTCCCATGGCAACATGGCACTCTGTGTACAGACAATGTTCCATGGCAAGATGACAATGGTCTAAGAGCATTGTATACTGACCATGTTTCCATGGTTACATGACAATGATTTGAAAGCAATGTGAATACTGACCATGTTTCCATGGAGATGTCTGAGAAGAATTGCATGACCATACAATAATGTTCTGTGACCAGATTGGGCTGCCTGCAACAAAGCAAAGTCAATCGTTCTATAGTTGAAAAAACAATGGAAAAAAAATACTACTTTCTGCTGTGTCTGTAAATAAAACATTTTTTTTTTCTTGACCTTGGTTCAGATCCATCTATAATCGCTGAAGATGATGTCCAGTGACCAGTGGCCAGATTAAAATAAATTTAACCTCCAAAAAATGACTCTACTGACCAACAACCTTGACCCAACATTTCCAACAAACATATTTTGATTTACCATATTAAAAGCCCTACTCTCCCTGACCAACTTCTAGACCAATCTGCAAGTAATCTTTATGAGCGCCCATGTATAAGATGAAACGTTTACACGACAGTCCATATTTTCTGTGTGTATACTACCGGGTACTCATTGTATACAGAAACCAAAGAAATAGCAAAGAGACCTATCGAAAACGTTTTTGTTTCATCAACATTTGAACTAATGTGTTCACTACCACTCAATCTCTGAAAACAAATTTAACTTGTCTATGGTTTTCATAAACTCTCTTCATGTTCATTTAAAGCACCCTTAACTCTTACTATGGCAAAAACGGAATTAATGTTTTGTACATTGACTATGTCTATACATACTTGTCTACAAATGGAATTGTGTGGCAATCAACATAAGAAACTATCCAAATACTACATTTGATTGAAATCCAAAATGAGAAGACCAAAATGAAGTTAACATTCATACTAGAAACATGAATAGGATGGCACGATCGCCAACAGATGACAGATGCCTGAATGGAATAAACTCATGTCTACAAATAGTAGAGCAGGCCATGTAATAGTCATTAGGAAGCACCAGAAATCAGAATCTGTTACTAACATATCAATCAATACACTTATCAATCTTTGAGTACACTGTCAAAGACACAGTGCCTAGTGATGCATGACATACAGCTACCTAGACTTCCAGTAAGAAATGGGGTAGCAGACTTAATGGAATCAGTAGGCATGAGCAACGTCCCGATTTAAAGACTACAGTATCTTCTAGTTTCAAGCTCGTTGACCCTGAGGAACACAAGTATACACCATGTTATACAGGATGTCAGCACTGGATCAGGTGTCAACACCTCGAACATGCTGGCAACCAAGAAACACGAACCAATCAAATGTCAAGAGATTGAAATCTATTCAAAAGTGTGCGAAATTGTGTAAAACAGGAGATTAGCTTGTCACTGAGGTGACACTATTTCTTACTCAACAAAGGTTGGTTGGTTTGTTGTTTTACGCCGCACTCAGCAATATTCCAGCTATTTGGCGGCAGTCTGTAAAGAATCGAGTCTGGACCAGACAATCCAGTGATTGGTATCATGAGCATCGATCCACGCAACTGGGATGGATGACATGCTTTAACCAAGACAACGAGGCTGACAACCTGATCCCATTAGTCGTCTCTTACAACAAGCATAGTCACCATTTACGGCAAGCATGGGTTGCTGAAGACCTATTCTACCCCAGACTCACTGTGGAATCTTGGGATGTTGAGGTGACCATCTCTTGTAGAGCGCGGACCGAAAGGGCTTGTTCCAGCACAAACACAGACACAGAGATATCCGGAGGAACATCCTGAAGTAGAAGAGCAACAAACGATTACTTCACCTGATTCACATTCCTCTTGATCAGATTCTCGAGGACATAACCCCCGGGACAGTTTCCACTGTCAGTGTTTTCATCCCACGCACCCACACTCCACATTACTCTAACAGTCTGTGACCTTAGCCACATGTTCGAAGACAGTCTAGAAAAATATCTTCTGCCTAGTGACAATAGCTAATCATAATTCGCACTTTTAACACAAATCTACAGAAGACAAATTTGGCCCAGTAAGCATAAAAGATTTTGCACTACTGCAAAACCTAAAGCTAAAGTAAGTATTTGGCCCAAGGGCTAATTCTACTTTCAGAGTCTACATAATCACAAATATAACAAACAAAGGTTGGCATCATACACATCTAATTACTCTAATCACAAGAAAAAGAAAACAACTTCAGAACTAGAGACTTCATCTTTCATAAGATTCCTGCTGAAACCAATCTCCATGGAATCATGTATCATATGATATGTCCAATAATGTTTATTTGTTTGTTTGTTTGTTTAACACCTCACTCAGCAAAAAAGGTTAGGGATCATGAATATTTTTGGGTATTTTTTTGCAGTGGAGACTGAGCACACAATTTAAAAAACACATCCAAAAACTATTCACGATCCCTAACATTTTTTCCCCCAATATTTTTGAATATACACATATTATGAGAATCAGTTTTGTATATCACGTAAATATTAAAATATCCCTTGCAAACGTGGAGTGGTATAACTAGGCCACAAGTTGGCCTGTTCGAACTCATGCAGGTATGCAAGTGTAATGAACGTACAGTAAAATATGTTTATAATGAACACACTTACAACAAACTTACAGATGTTATGAACTTAACCCCAGATGCATGGCTATGTACCAAGGACATCAGGTGCAAATCTGGGATTTAAACACATAACCAGCAGATCCTGGCATGGTTAAGGGAAGCAACACTGGACATTAAGTTGTGCTAAAGGGGTCATTGTTGCATAGGGTACAAAAGAAATGTACCCTGGCGAAAATCAAAATACAGAAATTTACCCTAGCCAAAATCAAAATACAGAAATGTACCCTGGCCAAAATCAAAATACAGAAATGTACCCTGGCAAAAATCAAAATACAGAAATTTACCCTAGCCAAAATCAAAATACAGAAATTTACCCTAGCCAAAATCAAAATACAGAAATGTACCCTGGCGGAAATCAAGATACAGAAATGTACCCTGGCGGAAATCAAAATACAGAAATGTACCCTGGCCGAAATCAAAATACAGAAATGTACCCTAGCTGGCCACTGCATAGAATCCAATTCAACAGTGAGTGAAACTTGTTTCTGCAATACCAAACCATAGTCAAATCACATGGCTGTATGTGTTGAAGAATCATATTTTTTAATATAATCACAACGATTCAATCCTGCAGCAGGCAATACTGTATGTTAAAATGAAACCAAAACCAGCTCATACACCGTCATCCATCGCCAGTCACCAAAGTACCATGCAATGGTCTGCTAGGGTACACTTCTGTTTTACGATTTCAGCAAGGATTTATTTCCTTACACCGAAAGATACATGGGTTCATTTACAATAAGAGATACATGGGGTACATCTCTGTAGTACCCTACATGGCCTTGACCTCTTAACTTAGTATAGGGCACCTTAGTCTGCACGGCCACCCATTCAAAGTTGCTTGTTGCGCTCGCATCCCTTCCATTAAAATCAAAAGGCAAAACTGTGTAGGTATCTTCATGAAAAGACAAGCTGGACAATCAATACCTCCGTGATGACAGAGTCTGGTAAATTTGTCTGGGAGCCTTCCTACCATCAAATATTGATTGGTAATTCACATTAGGTCACATGGATAACATTTCAGCCAAAAGTTTTTCCCATACATTGGCAAAGGATGTTCCCTCTGTGTAACATTTCACATACATGCAAGGGCTTTCTCCTGATGTAACATCAATTATTCAAGCACACTTACAGACATGTATTTTTTTAAACTCCTCTAAAGTTGTACACATGCTCTGAAATAATCTTAGTGTCTTTGATGTTGGAATAAAAGAGCAGCTTTTATAATCTAAGAAAATCTTTGTAATCTTTTCAAAAATGGTACTTATTAGATCAAAAGTTATTGCTTAAAACCAATAAGCAGTATATTCGTTTGAAAAAATTGTTTTGAGCTGAAAGAAACTGAACAACATAGAATTCTTACTGCTTGCATTTCAAAATCCCAAATACTTCCATCAGAATGACAACACATGCTCCTATAGCAGCATGATAACAATTTCCACATCAAAGCAAACTAATTTCTCTCATGGCATGACCTTAAGATGGAGGTCACCTTGATTTCAACTACCCACAGAATAACAATACAAATGCTCATATGCATACAGAATGATTGTTAAATGCATCTTAACACAGTCTACAGGGGCTTTGAAGGAGCTGAGATGCAGAAACCAAATTATTCAGTTTTTCCCCTAGTTTCCCCATCGTCAACTACTTTTCACGTCTGGCTCAGTCAGTTGAGATGAAAATGGAGAAAAATATCATCCCTGAGAAAGTGCTTGAAGACAATACATAATTAAACAGATTCCCTGCAGAGCAGAGCTGTTTGTGCTCAGCACAAGTAGGTATGACTTTGTTTCTTTTGGAATGAAAATTAAATTTTAGAGATCTGGAATCAATTTTCCTGGGACTGGACCTGCTGTTTGCCTCCCCAGTTGAACACCCTTGTTGGGAGTTTCAAAATTCAAGAAACTACATGGGAAACCATTGCTTATTATTTTCATTTCATGCTTATTCATCTATACTGAGGGGCAGTCTTGTGGTTAAAGCGTTTGCTCGTCACGCCGAAGACCCAGGTTCGATTCCCGACATGGGTACAATGTGTGAAGCCCATTTCTGGTGTCCCCCTCCGTGATATTGCTTGAATATTGCTAAAAGCGGCGTGAAACCATACTCACTCACTCACTCATCTATACTGATGCAACAGAAATACTAACAAACTACAATGTACACCAACCTGCCAATACACATTTGACATTGGTGAAGAATTTAAGTTCATATTCAGTTCCTATATGGAAACATGTTTTGCTCATCATCACAGTCAGCTATATTCCAGCTCTATGACAGAGACCTGTAAACAACTGAGTTTGACCAGTGTACGATGACACACAAGCAACCAAGTTGCCAAACCAAACCACCTTATCCATTGAGCCACCTCCTGGGGGTAGGGGATGGGGGTGGATAACCTGGGCCCACATAGCCCACACATTTCTGGTATCTCCTTCCCTGATATTGCTGGAACATTGCTAAAATCGGCATAAAACCAAACTCACTCACTCACTCATCTGTGGACACTTATGGCAAGCATAGGTTAGTGAGGACCAATTTTAAACAAAACTGTTCATGGGTGAAATCTGTGTGTTGAAATACTGTGACATTACTGGTAAACAACATTGGCACGGGATTTTCAAGTATGGTTCAATAATACATGCAAGACTTTTATGTTTATATCAATTTGCGTACAATCTGTGTGATGATCCTACTTTCTTCTGTTTATATAGCATAAAGAATGCAAAGTTAACTTCATAGCAATACATGTGGCAATTGCAGTTTTTAAGAGTTATCTGCCCTTGCCATGTATGATTATGGTGGTTAAATGGGGCTTACCATCGCATATATAAGATTATTGCACTTATATAGCAGAGTGCATGCAGGTGAAGGTGGCTGCTTGTACTAGTCAGGTTTTATAGTGCTAGTGTAAGAGTGAATATTATCCTTCCCTATTTTGTTATCCCAGAGATGAAATTCTCTAGTGTCAGGATTATTCTCCCTAGTGAACTCATACCAGTGTGGCACTAAGGTAGGATACTATACTCTATAGTAAAACTTCCCCCCAGGATAATATTTAGGTAGGATACAATCTTTGCTTACACTAGCCCACTGAAACACCAAGCCGCAGTTTAACATGTATACCTCATTTAGCCACACAGTTTACAGACTCCGAACTGGCACATCCTTGTTTTAGCTCCTTAATGCTAGGTGCCAGGCAAGGTAACAACATGTACCATGACGCAGCCAGCGGATTGAACCACCGACATTCTACTCTCCAGACAGGCACTCTACCCACTAGGCCATGGAAGCAGTCTTACCATGAATTGAACTCCAGAAAGAGCTGTACCTGATTTGTCAGATGTAAAATGACTTCATGGAAATTAGAAGTAGAAGCGCTATAGATAGACTAATTTGCATGCACAGTGGACATAAAATAACTTAACACATTTTTAAGAAACACCATCACCCAACAATGCTTAAGTGAAATACACTACCCAAAGGAAATTCAAGAATACCTGATTCCTTCACATTGCTATGGTTCTTCTGTCATACCATGACAAAAGAGTGAGTGAGTGAGTATGGTTTTACGCCGCTTTTAGCAATATTCCAGCAATATCACGGCGGGGGACACCAGAAATGGGCTTCACACATTGTACCAATTGTCGGGAATCGAACCCGGGTCTTTGGCGTGATGAGCGAACGCTTTAACCACTAGGCTACCCAACCGCCACTCAAAAGAAGTTCAATGACACCTGATTATTTCATTATGGTTAACCTTTCATGCCATGAAAGATTAACTATAGCATTATGAAAGAATCAGGTGTTCTTTAACTTCTTTTGTGTATATATAACAAAATATAAATAATGTTAGTTGGATACAAGTACTGAAATGCAATCACATTAAAATCGTAAAACATCAAAATTTGAAAAAATGACAGATTTACAAATGCTGTATACACAATCACATAAAATATGACTAAAGGGGACCAAAATTGAATAATGTTGGATACACACAAGCAATATGTAAATATAATAACAACTGTATTTAACATTACAAAGACAAACACAGATATCAAGATTTTCAAAACTGAACAAAATGCACAGCCGGCATGGACACTAGACAACGCCATAATCACCGCTCACACTCATGCTTGCTAC